ACGCAGTCAACTTTAAGACTACATCAGAAGATCCACGCTGGTCTGAGAGAGTTTGTGTGCTTTGACTGCAAGAAGACTTTTATTTCATCTGGAGACTTGAAGCAACACCAGACAATTCACACTGGAGAGAGACCCTTTGTGTGTTCACACTGCGGCAAAACATTCAGACATTCAGGCCATCTGAAAACACATGAGAGGACTCACACTGGAGAGAAACCGTACACTTGTACTCAGTGTTGCAAGGGTTTCACGCGATCAACACACCTTAATAAACACATGAGGATTCACAGCTAATCACATTCTGTGGGCAATTGCTAGGGTGCTGTACTTGGTTGTTAGGGTGTGGCTAGAAAGTTATAAGGTCATTATTGATTGGCTGATTGCAACACTGGGCTCTATTTTGACTATCTAGTCGCAAAGTCTAAAGCGCATGCCGCTAAAGCATTTAGGTTGTGTCCAAATGCAGTTTTGCTATTTTAAGTACGGAGAAATTCGATCAGCGCCCTGGCGCATGGTCTAACAGGGTTGAGCTTATTCTCTTAAAGAGTTCTGGGTGTGTTTTGAGCATACCGTGCATTAAACCAATCAGAGTCTCATCTCCCATTCCTTTGTAAGAGTCAGTTGTGTCGCGCCATGGTGCTTTTGCTATTTACATGGCGACTTTGTAAGTATAAAAACTGAACGCTTCACTAGCAAGAAAACAGTTAAACAGAACATCTGCAGCGCGAGGATCAAGAACAAGCCTCCTCCATTCTGCCTCTTTACTTTCACTTTCTCTCTTTGGTGGATTGGTGCACAGTTTAGTTCCAAACCCCAAATAAACACACCTGATCAAACTGGTTGAAGCTTGTGTGAAACCTACAGGTAAGTATGTTGGAGTTGGGTTGGAACAAGACTGTGCAGGGCTGCGGCCCTCCAGGAACTAAGTTTGACCCCTGTGCGTTAAACTGACTGGAATTTTTAATAATATGTTACTGCCATGGTTCGCATATCATCACATGTGTTTGGAGTGTGGGGCAAACCGGAGCACCCAGACGAAACCCACACAACCACGGGGAGAACATGCAAACTCCACACAGAAATGCCAGCTCAAACCAGCAACCATATTCCTAAACACTGAGCCACCCTATAAGAAATAACAAGTGAAAGCAATTTAATAACTAGAATTCGGGGGCTGGTTTATGCGCAATTACAAAATAAAAGCACTTCTAATCTCATAGACAGCACTGTTGGTCCTGTATATACAAATGTATAATAATAAACATTGATCTCACAGGTGGGGTGACAGTAGGTAGCACGATAACCTCACAAAAAGAAGGTCACTGGTTCGAGCCTCGGCTGGGTCAGTTGCCGTTTCTGTGTGTAGTTTGCATGTTCTCCCCGTGTTGGTGTGGGTTTCCTCTGAGTGCTTATATTTCCCCTACAGTCCAAAGACATGCGCTACAGGAGAATTGGGTAAGGTAAATTGTCCGTAGTGTATAAGTGTATATGGATGTTTCCCAGTTATGTGTTGCAGCTGAATGGGCATCCGCTGCGTAAAAACATATGCTGGATGAGTTGGTGGTTCATTCAACTGTAGCGACCCCAGATTAATAAAGGGACCAAGCTGAAAAGAAAATAAATGAATGATTTCACAGGCCAGTTTCACCTTACATTGAATTAAACCTTTTTCATGGCCATCTAAAAAAATTCAAACCCACCCCTCACAGTAATGAAAGATATCAATTGTTGTACAGTGTCAAAAAAAATGATGCTATATTGAAGAAGTATTCGCAGCTATAAACCCCTCTGGACTTTACCGCTGTATATTTGGGCGCGTTTTTGTTGATCCTCTGTTGCGCCCGCCTCTACGTGATGACGTCAGCGCTGACGCGTTCATTCGGCGTCGAGTCTTCAGAGCTGAGGTGAGTCGTTGACGCTTTTTCTCGTGTTTACACAACAATAAAACACACTTTACAGTTTATTAAAGCGACAATCTGCGACTAGTTTCTGCATTGAGTTCACCTCTATCTGTGTGTCTGCTGACCAAAACAGTACAGCAGGCGGAGAGGAGCTCTGAGAGGACAATATGAGCTCGAGTTTTACTTTATTGGTACATTTGTATTTGTAATATCGCAAGTATGATCCGTGAAGAGAAATAATGTGAATCTGCTGTGTCAGATATATGAAGTTTGATGCAGAAAACATTACATGAATAGTTTTTGGTGCTCTTTATCTTTTAGGTTTTTGTGATTTCTCAGTTCTGTAGATGTGCTAGTGCTAATTAATTCTGTTAATGGTATAAAAACTGAATACTTAAAACTAGATATTGATACATGTAAAATATTTTTGTCAATGAATTACAATAGTGATGAGGTCATCCTGCAAACACTGAGTGTAAAATGAGCTCATCTGCTGCATTGAGGTAAAGTTGGTTTTATATTCGCACATTCGTTCATTTAGAAGTCTCTATATTGTTTATCATGTTACTTTGAATATTCAGTCGTATTTAGCATGCAAGTATGACTTGAAAACAATATTAGCACTGTTTATTTTACTGTGAACAATATTGTACTTTGATAGTCATCGGCTGCTAATATGATTAGAGGTTGCAGATAATACTTTTATGAAAATATATTATTAAGGGGAAAGTCCGAACGTGTGAATATAAAACCAACTTTACCTCTATATCTGCTGCTCCTGAATGCCTGTTCAATGAGTGTTTATAGTTTGAGACTCCTCAATATTCAGATCTACAAATTTCCACATTAAAGAAATTGCATTGGCGTCAACTGACTTGAGCAAATAACACAATCAAATATTGTATTAATTAGATTTCTCTTTTTATTCTCCTTAAGCTCCGCCGCCATCAGTGAAAGACAAAGACAGAGTTTATTGAAGGACAGTGAGAAGATGAGTGATCCAGAACCCTGCAGAATTAAACAGGAAGAGACTGAAGAACTAATAGGTTTGTGTTTATTCATTACTCTCCAATAATAAGGCTGAACAACAGTGAGGTTGTTAATCCGACATCTGTCTTCACTGCTGTATTGATCGTAACTGGTGAAAAATGAACACTCACTGACCGCAGTGAAACTGACCAATCTCCTGGGCCCGGTTTTTCAAAAGGTTTAATGCGGATCAAATTGATCCGGATTTAGTAATCCTGTTTTTGCGATCCGTGATCACGTAATCCAGCTTACTTTTTGAGCCAGTTTTTCAAAGCAACATCGGATTGGATCAATCTGATCCGGATAGGAATTTTTCAGGATCACTAAATCTGGATTACCAGTGCTCAATCACAATGTAGATAAAGATAGGCCTGTGTAAAGAGCAACAAGTAGAATAGCCAGTGTGGGGTCAATATAACTTTATTTTTATTTGAAATGAAAACTAAGAAAATTTAATAATAAAATAATAATAATAATAATTAATAAAAACAAGAAAAACCCCACCCCATCCTCTTCCAGCAGTCCGCTCATCTGAGACCTACAACACTGTACATTGAGGATATTTATAATAAGTTTCAAATTTAAATGTAAATAAAAAAAAAAAGACTTAGTCAAAAACTCTACAATGATTTCAGACTTCCTCATCTGATGTGGAGAGAGCAGCTTGTCTGAGTGTATTCTTTAGGAGGCGGATCTCAAGTGTGACCTTGGTTTGCAGCAGTTTGGTCAGAGTCAGTTGTTCTCTGTCAGATGAAGCTGTGCTTCTGCCCTTTCAGTCTCTTTTTGCAATTGTTGAAAGAGAAATCTAAAGTCATTGCCATTCTTTGCATTTTTATTTTTATTTTTGGTTATTCTGTTATCATTGCATGCATCACTAATAAATATTCCAAAAATAAAAATATTTTCCATTGTGATAAATATATATATATATATATATATATATATATATATATATATATTAATTAGTGACAGAAATTTTTTTTATTGTTTTTGGTAAATTTGACAGCTGTTTGGGGGATTATTTTATGAGGCCAAACTCTTTCTTCTTTGCTGTAGGCCTATACTGAAAGGCTGAATACGTTAAAGCCTATAATCACTATAGCCTAACGGATGAATAAATAAAATTAAAACCTTATGAATAAATAGTATTTCTCGTAAGATACTGCATGATCCAAAAATAGTTTTATTTAATATATTTTTTTTAAGTTTTCATTACATTTTAGGCATGAAATCCACACTAAATCCACCTTTCTGATGGGATCAGTTTAATCCAGGTTTTTTGGATCAAAGTGATCCAAATCCTACAAAAAAGGTCTGAAAAACCCAAACTAAAGGTTTGATCCGGATCAAAACCAAGATTGGATTACGTGATCTAATCCGATTAGGTAATCCGTTTTTTCTTTTGAAAAACCCATTTTCAAGATTTGATCCAATCCCTTATCCAAAATCCTAGTGGGTTACTTTTGAAAAACCGAGCGCTGCTGAACTCACGTGTGTATCAGTGCGGCAGAAATCCATTTGTACGGAACATTTTTTACCCGAGAGCTTTTCTCATCTGGTAATGGTGGAATCCGGATTTGCTGCTCGTCTCCTTTAAAAAAAGACGCAGCTCCAGTAGGTGTTGATTGTCCTGTCTGTACTTATACGACTGTCAACAGCTCAAAAATGTGTTTTGTGACCCTTTAACTGCAGTGTTTGGGTTCTTTTTTTGCCATAAAAGTCAAGATATTAATTTAATCCATTCGCTAAATTGATGATTTGATATTTCTACTGGAAGTGTTTGAAATAGATATAATAATTGACCTTGGGTTTCTTGAAAGGCGCTTTAAATAAAATGTGTTATTATTATTATTAATATTAGTGTGGGTTGTCTGGAAGGGGGAAATATTTACGCCTAGGCTCAGTTCAAGGCAAAGGTGCCTAGTGTGAGTACAGCCTTAAATGTATCATACAGGGTGCAAATTTATTTAACCAATTACACATTTCAGCCAATCAGACAAATTCTCTAAAAACTAGCCCAGAGCAGCATGTGTTGTTAAAAACTAGCTTCTTAAAATGTAATGTATTTAATTCATTTCAGATGTGATTGTGAAGGAGGAGAGTGAAGAACTGAGTGACGATGAGGAGAAACATCATGTCAAAAGTGAAACTGAAACTTTTTTATTAAAAACAACAACAGCTGAAAATGATTTCACCTGCACTCAGTGTGGAAAGAGTTTAAGCTGCAAATACACTCTCAACCTTCACATGAGGATCCACACCGGAGAGAAACCTCACAGATGTGATCAGTGCAACAAAACGTTTTTGAGGCCTTCAGAGCTGACGAAGCATCTTCGAGTTCATACAAAAGAAAAGCCGTATTCATGTTCTGAGTGTGGGAAGAGCTTTACACAGCAGTCAGGTCTGAAACTACATGAGAAGATCCACACTGGTGTGAAAGAGTTTGTGTGCTTTGCGTGTAAGAAGACGTTTATTAGAGCTCCAGAATTGAAACAGCACCAGAGGATTCACACCGGAGAGAAACCCTACGTGTGTTCACACTGCAACAAGACATTCAGTCGGATACAACCATTGAAAGCACACCAGATGATTCACACAGGAGAGAAACCGTACACATGTACTCACTGTGGGAAGAGCTTCAGACACTCAACATCTCTTAATCGACACAATCTGATCCACACTGGAGAGAAAACACACCAATGTGAGCAATGCAGCAAGACATTCTTAAGACCTTTAGACTTGAAGATCCATCTTAGAGTTCATACAAAGGAGAAGAACTATTTGTGTACTTTGTGCGGAAAGAGTTTTACAACGCAGTCAACTTTAAGACTACATCAGAAGATCCACGCTGGTCTGAGAGAGTTCGTGTGCTTTGACTGCAAGAAGACTTTTATCACGTTAGGAGACTTAAAACAGCATCAGAGGATTCACACTGGAGAGAGACCCTTTGTGTGTTCACACTGCGGCAAAACATTCAGATATTCAGGACATCTGAAAGCACATGAGAGGACTCACACTGGAGAGAAACCGTTCACATGTACTCAGTGTTGGAAGGGTTTCACGCGATCAACACACCTTAATAAGCACATGAGGATTCACAGCTAATCACATCCTAGGGTGCTGTACCTGGTTGTTAGGGTGTGGCTAGAATGTTATGAGGTCATCATTGATTGGCTGCTGGACATTGAGCTCTATTTTAATAATGTAGGCGGCGAATTCTAAAGCGCATAGCGCAAAAGCATTAAGGCCGTGTCCGAATCCACTTTTGGTATTTTAAGGACAGAAAAATACGCTCTGCACCGTGGCGCATGGTCTAACAGGGTTGAGCTTATTCTCTCAAAGAGTTCTGGGTGTGTTTTAAGCATAACATGCATTAAACCAGTCAGAATATCATCCCATTCTCTTTGAGAGTCAGTTGCAACGCTCGATGGTGCATTTGCTATTTATTTGGCGACTTAGTAAAACTGAACGCTTCACTAGAGAAAAAAATGTTAAACAGAAAATCTGCAGCGCGAGGATAAAGAACGAGCCTCCATTCAGCCTCTTTCACTTCTTTACTTTGGAGTAAGGAAACGGTGGAAACTCACTCCATTAAAGACATCCATTATCAAACAAATTTAATTTTGTTTAAGCGCAAAGATTTGCTTCAAAACTATTTCTAAATTCAATTCTAATTTCCAGCAAACAGATAAATGAACAATAATAAGGAAGTGTGGTCAAAAACTGAGTTCTATCCAAACACACGTCCTGTTCTTATGCCCATATGGTCATGCAGACGTCTCTTAAACCTGACAGGTGGACAAATCTAAACTTGTTTTTGTTAAAACAAATATAAGTCTGCATATAATAAACACTACACCTGATACTAACATTATACAAAAGCAAATTGTGTCGAATAAACTGACTACAACAGAGCCGCATTCCAAAGCCCCCCGAGGTGGAGAAGTCATGGAAGTAGTAGTTATTACATTTATGTAGAAACATTTTAATCCTTAAATTGTTTTCATATGTAAAGATATTTGTGTATTTCTGTGTGTAATAAGCAATGTGTTCCTGTGTTTCGGACCACATAGGTGCATAACTAACACTATCTTTAAATTACAAAAACTCTAAGCTATTGATTTTAGAGCAGCTTTCAATGGCACTGTCTATTTCAGTTGCCTCAAAATAGCAATGCACCAACAATCTACTTGTAAGGTAGACTAGTGTGGGTGCTGGTGGAAATTGAGCAGACATAAGTCGTCCTGTCAGAGACGAAGAACACTTTAATAAACAGATACTGGTTGAGAGTTTACAGTCCTTGGATTTGGAAGTACAGCAGAGTAGCACAATGCCTTGAAGTGTAGCTTAATATGAGTGGTTCTAAATGAACAGAAATAACAAATATCTATTAGTGCTGAACAGAAACAATAATATAATGACAATATGCTACACATAAATATTTCTTAGTCAGATATTATAATATAAGGCAGCATAATAACAACATACTGATATATTCAGACATGTATGACATTGAATAACACTTGTGAATTGGCATTATATACACTAACATGTAAACTTGAGAGAATCAGTCATTATGGTTTAACTCTCACCATAAATATCACTTATAACATAAAGTAACAATATGTAAATACTCAAAGTGACAAACAGTTAACAATATTATACCCAAATATTCCCTTTTACTTATCTCACATAAGTATTCATTAGCGAGCCGATGGATGATGCAATACTCGACGCCCGTGACACACTTATATGATTATAACCAGTAATCAGTGATTATACTGAACGTAGGCATAGACAGCTAAACATTGTGCTATATAAATGATAAATAACACTTCAAATAACACTTTAAATGGGCACTCACTTGTATTTGAACGCACTCGGCAATAACAACGTGATGCTAGCGAAGTCTGTCCGTGCTCTGAACTGTTTCCTCTTTAACTATTAAAGGGATAATTTAAAGGGGAAGGTGCGTCATGAGTGTAATACTTAGTAAAGTCACAAGAGGGCGCTATTGTTCCATGTATACACATCACAGCCTTTTCTACAGTACTTTAGCGCACTTTTTTTCACACAAAAAATGTGAAAATTAGAGCTGCATTGGTCTGAAAATAGCAAAAAATTGTGTCTGATGCACCGGGTGTATGATAGGACCCACTGAGTTAAATAAGTCCAGCCAAAGTCCACTAAAATGTTTTTATCCAGCTTTAAAATCTCAGGCGCTGTTCTCAAAATGTCCAGTTGGTGGGCGCTTGAGACATTTTGGTGGCTCGCTGATTTTTCTATCTGAGACTATTTGGTCACTATGATTTGCAAACCATGGCAGTAGCACAAATTCCTGTCAGTTTAACACACAGGGCTCCTGGAGAGCCGCAGCTCTGCATAGTTTAGTACCAACCCTGATTAAACACACCTGATCAAACTGATTGAGTTCTTTAGGCTTGTTTAAAATCTACAGATAAGTATGTTGGAGTTGGGTTGGAACTTAACCCTCCAGACAATAGCCCCTTTCACACAGTGATACCGGTAAATATCTGGAAAATTTCCGGAAAGACTTTACCGGTATTTTCAAAAAAGCGCTGTTCACACAGGCGAGGACGTTACGGAAATTTTCCGGAAAAGAGCATTCACACATCCATTCCAAAATACCGGTAAATTCTGACATCATTCACCACAAATGAGCTTTAAACGGCTGCGCTTGTATTTGTAAACATTTTACTAAATTACAAACTCTGTGGATGATCAGTATTGTGAATATGTGCATGTGCAGGCGCTCACAGTCGTTTCACAGGCACATGCAAAGCTTGAAGGTAAACAAACAACGGCTTATCATAAGCATCTCATCGATAATTATTTACACAGTTGGCATTAAGAAGAACATATAAACGTGATCTGACTATCTTCTAGCAGCTAAATGTGTCTGGAAAAATATTCAAAGGCTTTTATTCTCACAAACCGCGCGGACGTGAATGCGTCAGACTGTTGTGATTGGCTAAAGCAGACGTCTCACGTCAGCACGTTCTAGACGTGCACACGCTTATTACGGCAATCTTGCTTCTGCATTTACACAGCGCAGCATTCCGGCAAATTGCCGGTAATGTTACAACTTCTCTTTCCGGAAAATAGCCAGAACGAATTTACCGGTATTTTCAAAAAGGACCTGTTCACGCATGCAACCTGGCAATTTTCCGGAAAGGTCTGTATGTGTGAAAGGGGCTAATGAGTTTGATCCTCCTGGTTTAACCAATCTTGAGTGTTTATGAATATTTTGTAATCTTCTTTTTCATCTTAAGATATGGTTTGGGGAAAGGGGATAGCATGAGAGATGTGGTGTCTTATATTTAATGTTTTGTTATTTATTTATTTATTTATTTATATTTTTTGTATTGAATGGCAGAGTATGGCAGTTCAGTTCGATATCTCTTTTTGAAAAATATTTTTGAATAAAAAATGTGGTCACCAATAATATCAACATCTACTTTGTTTTTCAGTCAGTGGTCGGTGTGTTTGTCCCGCCCCTCCACCATTGACTTCACGCATTACTAAGTCACGTCTGTGTGGATTATGTTAAGACATGTTGTCATTTCAAGTCAATCAACTCAGCCTCTTAACATGTATTCGGATGTAAAAGCGCTACCTTAACGCACCGATTTTAGTTTAAACATGAACAATTGTAAGCAGCTATTATAGTAAAAAGTTAAAGTTTCTGCCCCCATTAAGTTGGTATCAGACCTTGTTGAATTCCAGATGGGGGCAAAAGAAAAATAGAACAAATATATTTGTTTATATTAGACACACATCTGATGTTTGTGTTTGCACCAGCTCCAAACCCACAATTTCATGCATTGGGTTAATTTAGGCTGTCCAGCCTCTGAGTTCATTGGTTTACTACCACTGTATCTGTTTAGCTGAGGGAACATAACCAACCCCGTGCTGTCAGACACAGCGATATTCCAAGATGGTGGTGCCCTTGTGCTAAAAGCTATTGTTTTAGAAAATGTAATGTATTTTCATTAAAGTAGAACATAATTTACAAAATAACGTAAGCTTGACTGACGGCTTCACTTCCACTTTAGTGCCATAAAAAACTGGCCACTCATAAACTGCATAATACGGTAGAGGCAGGTTTATGCACAATTTCAAAATAAAAGCACTTGCGCCCCATTCAAACGGGGCTTCAGCTTCAACGCTTGACTGAAGGCGTGTCTGAAGTTGGGGCTGAAGCGATCGTCATAGAACCGTCAGCCAATGAAATTCAGTCAGCAATAGGCCACTGTCTAGCTGGTGTATTTGCATACAGCGATCTGATTGGCTGACGCTTCTGTCGGTGCTTGAAAAGTTGAGCTAGTCCCAACTTCTGCAGCGAGCAACGCCTCTGAAATGGCGCTGACGGATCCACAATGCAGTTCGGCAACACCCGACAACACCCATTCAAAGTGAATGGGAAGCATTGACGCTGACGCCCTGTGTGAATGGGGCGTTAGAATCTTTTTTTTTAACAGGTCTGGAAGAAATTCATAGTTGATCCATAAACTTCAGACACCACCTTATCCAATTCAAAATTCTACTTAGATTGCACTACTCAAAAACAGGTATTGTTTTTGTTTACACACTGTGATCTATTTTATTTGAATTTATGTATATATTTTGTTCTCTTTTTCTTTTTCCTTCTGTAAATGTAACTAAGTTTTTTTTCTGACAATTCAGATAATGGTTAAAATATAAACTCTGTATAGTGTGAGTAGACATTTAATCACTTGTACTCAATAATTATAGAAGGACAAATTTTGTTTTTAATTAGTTTTTTTTTTGCATAAGTAAAATGTAGAGGATCTTTTTAAATATTTACAAACATTCTGTAATGGTACATATTCTCCCAATTAAAACAATAATTAAAAAAATCTTATAAACAGCACTGATTGCCCTGTATAATATACAAATCTATATTTATAAAAAATTGATTTCACAGATCGTATTAATTTCAGTGTATTTTGGCGCGTTTTTGTTGATTTGCCGTTGTTCCCGTCTCGCCGTGATGACGTCAGCACTGACGCGTTCATTCAGCGTCGAGTCTTCAGAGCTGAGGTGAGTCGTTGACGCTTTTTCTCGTGTTTACACAACAATAAAACACACTTTACAGTTTATTAAAGCGACAATCTGCGACTAGTTTCTGCATTGAGTTCACCTCTATCTGTGTGTCTGCTGACCAAAACAATACAGCAGGCAGAGAGGAGCTATGAGAGGAAGATATGAGTGAATGTGTTGGTGTTTCACTTTGTTTGCTAATTATGATCTGTTAATTGAAATATCGTGAATCTGCTGTGCCAGATATATAAAGTTTGATGCAGAAAACATTAAAATAATAGTTTGTGGTGCGCTTTATTTTTTAGGTTTTGAGGTTTTTGTGATTTCTCAGTTCTGTAGATGTGCTAGTGCTAACAAGCTAATTACTTTATTATTTTAAATACTATAGATATTGATATGTGTAAAAATATTTGTGTTAATTAGTCAATTACAATAGCGATGAGTTAAAATTGAGTGTGAGTGAGTTTAATAAGTGTAAAATGAGCTGATCTGCTGCTGCTCCTGTTTAATGAGTGTTTCTAGTTTGAGGCTCATCAGTATTCAGATCTACTTATTCCCACATTAAGTTAATTTCATTGGTGTCAACTTTTTTTTAACATAAAACATTTTTATTTTGTATAAAAGTACAATTTGCTTGTGTAATCAGACAAATTATAAACATATCACTGTACATATTTTCATAATATTCACCATTTTGAGGGACGTAAACAAAAGCAATGGTCCCAGCGTGTTTCCTGCTTTACATTTTTAGTTTTTATAGCTTCTGAGAATCCAAAAAGAGCCACATATTGATAAATGATGTTATGATAGCTGTTTTAAAGTTAGGTCATGATTGAATTGCCTCTTGTTACAGTTATGAAATAGTTTGATAACAAGCAGGAAACGTTCATGTGCCAATGACATGGCCACATTGAAATGGTCTATAGATATGATTAAAACTTTAAAGTTTAATTTTTAGATAAGGTGTAGATGTGCAGTATTGCTTGCTGATGGAGAAAATAATAAATTCTTTTAGTGTTACATTTGACAATTTCACTTCTTTAATTATTTTTTAATGTTTATTGGTTTTAATAAACGTACAAACAAAAAGGATAAAGGCTGATATCAGTAGACACAAGTATAACAGCAAAGGTCATTTGTTTTACGCAGCTCATGCCTTTCCAGCTGCAACCCATGTTTATTGTTGGTGTCAACTCTTGAGCAAATTACACACCATCATAATGTGTTTATTTCCTCAAACAGTGTAAATGAATCAGATTTCTCTGTTTGTTCTCCTGAAGCTCTGCCGCCATCAGTGAAAGACCAAGACAGAGTTTATTGAAGGACAGTGAGAAGATGAGTGATCCAGAACCCTGCAGAATTAAACAGGAAGAGACTGAAGAACTAATAGGTTTGTGTTTATTCAATTCTCTTCAATAATGAGGCTGAACAACAGTGAAGTTGTTAATCTGACATCTGTCTTCACTGCTGCTGTATTGATCATAACTGGAGAAAAATGAACACTCACTGACCGCAGTAAAACTGACCAATCTCCAGGGGTCCGTTCTTCGTACGTGGATTACTCAGTTAGCTGGATTTGGATATTGACGATTTGACACGATCCAGGATCGTTTCGTTCTTTAAAGCTGATCCGATAATTGTTGTCATGGCAACAGTTCTGCTAGGTCAAACCTGATTGGGAGCAGGTTCAATTCATATAAACAGGATTAGATCGGCTCAGTTCAAGCAAAGATAATACAGAACGTATGTTCCGAATTCTGATATTTTCTTACAGTAGTAGTTATATACACTTGGGAAAATGGTACATATTTTTTAACTATATATATAAAGTTATAGTCATTAATAAAATAAATAAAGTTATACATATTAATAAAACGTAGGCTATACAATCTGCACTCTCGAAATGAAAGTACAAAGACTGCCACCTGGTGCAAAGAGAAAACTTATTGATATTAACTTTTTAGATCGCTTTAGTACAAATTGTGTATAATAGAAAAGCACAATATGTGACTTTTTTTAAAGCAATAATACATGTCAGCAGTCATGAACATGTTTTGATAGTTAATAGTGATTTGAAGCTTCACAAAAGTTGCAGACGCCTTTACCAATATGAAAATGCTTTTGTAAACAACCTGTTATTCTTTACACCGATTAAAAAACGGCTACAATAATAAAGAAAATCTTTTCTAAATGTAGAACTTAATATTAATTGCATTGAAATACATGATGAATACTCTTGTCTTGACAAATGAAAGTGTAAAGCCTGCAGCTCACAACAAATGTGGAAAGTTCTTGCGTGTCATATTTAACAAGCCGTTTACTGCTAATTTGATGTAATTTTGCTCACATGGATAATTGAATATTAATCAGATGATGTCATTACGCTGCTGTGCCGTCAGCCAATCACTGCATTGCTGATCATGATTTCGAGGATCGATTGATCTGTCCTTCACAACACACGCAGCGATCTCAGATCAGTTCATCCAGACATTCTAATATAATTCGCGAACTTGTTTGAAGAACCAAATTAGCGAGAGATCAGTTATCAAGATTAACAGATCCAGGATCTGCCAAATAATCTTAGATCATTTAAGCGAGGTACGAAGAACGGAACCCTGGTCTGAAGTCCAGCACAGAGCATGTTAGTTGTGCGCTTCGCTTACAGACTGCTTAATACACACAGGATGTAGAGCAATACACAAATATCTTTACAAATAAAAAAGAAAGGATTAAAATATTACAAAAATATTATTTTCTAGCCTACATCAATATAAAAACCACAGGCTCCATGCTTTTTTCATCTCGGGAGGCTTTTTCAGTTTATTCATGACAATTTGCTTTTGTATAATGTTATTATTATTAGCAGTATTATTTATTATATGCATATGTATATTTGTTTTATTAAAAACAAGATTAGATTTGTCCTCCTGTCAGGTTTCAGACCATATGGGGCACAGCATGTGTGTTTGTATGTAACTCAGATGTTTGAGCACACTTCGTTATTATTGTTCATTTATTAGTTTGCTGGACATTAGAACTGAATTTAGAAATAGTTTTGACACAGATCTTTGTGCTTAACAAATGAAATTAATTATTTATAGGCTAATGGATATCTGTGTGTAAGGCACGTTTCCTTATCCACGAGAGTGAAAGTGAAAGTTAAGCATGAGGAGGCTCGTCTCTCATTCTCGCGCTGCAGATGCTCTGTTTAACTGTTTTCTCGCTGGTGAAGCGCTCAGTTTTTCCACTTACAAAGTCGCCATGTAAATAGCAAATGCATCATGGAGCGACACAACTGGCTCTTAAAGGGAATGGAAGATGAAACTCTGATTGGTTTATTCTCAAAACACACCTATAACTAATTAAGAGAATAAGCTCAACCCTGTTAAGCCTGATTTATACTTCTGCGTCAAGTGACCGGCGTAACCCACGGCGCATACAACGCGCGCAGCTGTGCATTTATACTTCTGCGCGCTGTCTCTGTCGTTCTGCATTAACACTTCCGAAACGCTAGTTGGCAGTGAGGTGTAAATGTTCCTATGTGTCGAGTTTCTTCGCTTCTGTTTTGCGTTTCCTGAACACTTCCGGGATGTACAAGTGGCTCAAACTCGCTCATTTTAAGGCAGGAACCGGCAGATGTGCAACAACTTTAACTATGAGGTAAACACAAAACAAAACTTTCCATCCTGAGCTGCTTCACGGTACTCCACACTTATAAATAATCGCTCGATCAGGCTCTTGCCATTCGTGTGGCTCTCGGTCCCGCCCCGACTCATCAGCGCTTCCAAGCCAATCAATCACAGAGCTAGCGCTACGCGTTGTTGCGACATGTAGTTACAATTTTTGAGAGGTGCACGTCAGTGACGCCGACGGCCAAGGCGAAGAGCTATGCGTCAGCGCCGTAGCATACGCCGGCATTTGACGCAGAAGTATAAATCAGCCTTTAGACCATGCACCACGGCGCAAAGCAGATTTTTCCGTCCTTATATTAGCAAAAGTGGATTCTGACACGCCCTTATTGCGTTTGCGCCCTGCGTTTTGGACTTTGCGCATGGATCATCAAAATAGAGCCCATAATGTATATATTTTTTTGTTGGTCAGTTATCTAAAGAAACAAAAGGAACATACATTAGGTGAAGTGAGGTGCAAATACTTGTTTCAATAATAAGGGAATTATGAATTGAATTCAAGTGGGCCTATTATAACATTTAAAATAAAGTAATTCTGCCAATTTTCTTTATTTCGTAGATTTGAGTTATGAATTACAGTATCGCAATACTACTTGGTATCATGATGCTTCAGTTGGTATAGTATCGTAACATGAATTACTGGTATCGTGACAACCCTATCGTGACTCACGTGCGATTCCAAACTGTGGGTTGTGATCTGTACAGATCATGGATCAACCTAGAGCTGCACGATTCTGGCTAAAATAAGAATCACGTTTTTTTTGCTTAAAATAAAGATCACGATTTTCTCACGATTCTGTAGATGTAAAATAAAGGTATGGTAAAAACAAACATATGGCACAACCTCGATAATAATATTATGTGTAGGTCTACTGGTTTCTAAAAATGATTCTATTCTACTTATAATAATTCTGATGTTGAATTATTATGTTTGAGATATATGCTTGCAATCTGTCATATTAGACAATTTTATTCACTGGTAACATCACACATTTGCCATTATCAGATTATACTCAACAATATATAGGCTAGAGTAGTTATACTGACACTGTAAACGTTTAGTTTCATGCACAACTGTGTGTTCGCTATGAAAGAAAAACATATCAAATGCTTGAAGCAATCATAACTCTAAAATGCGATATGATCATTTAAATGAAGTGCACACTTTCGGTTTCATTTTGACTGCTAAGCTTGTTCATACTTCGCGCACGGCTCCCAAACGATCACTCTGTGCCACTAACTGAATATTATTTACAACTGTATTACCTGTTACTTGCAACATATGCAGGTTCTGTTCACTAACGTAGACACGCGCGCATCTATGATTAAGTAGAGCGCGAGCGCACTCTGTGATAACAGCTCAAGGTCATCAGCTCACGTTACATGTGATTTCCCGGCCACGAAAACATCATTATATGTAGACAAAAATGACATTTTTAGGTGAATTATACCTTATAAATACAGTATCTGACTCATTCAACATCATTTGGAGGTGTCACTGTCACTGAGCAACGTATGTGAAACACTGAAAAGACTCGACCGGCCGCCTTTTCTTCTCTCCTGAACTTGAAAATATGATTTGCAGAATCGTAGAAATGCTGGATTAAGATCGTCTAAGGGGTGAAATCGAGATCGACATCTTTTAACGATTAATTGCAGCTCTAGATGAGGGTTTTTCAAAGTCTAAGACAGTGGGCCTCCCTTTTGACACAACTTATCCATTGGCGCCCCCCTCCTCCCAAACACGCACACACACACACACACACACACACATACATACATATACATATACATATATATACACACACACACAGTATAAATATAAAGACAGACAGATGTCAGACTGTTAACTCACTTTTATCATCATTTGCATGAAAGTGCAATAATTTACAGAGTAACAAGTATTTTAATATAACGTTTTTAAAACGAGGATGATGGTTCAATATGAATAGAACAGATCCAAGAACTGTCCACCCCAGTCAAAACAGTCGAAGTTTAGCGGGTCTCATGCTGTCATTAGCCAAAATATCTTGACAAACCACACATAAAGGTCGTGGTTCATCAGCTGGTCCTGTCCACGTAAATCCTAAACTCAAATACTGATCATCATATCGTCGTCTTTTGGGTTTAAGCCCTGAACTTGAAGGCTTTGAATCGGGGGGGTCTCAGAAACCGATCCATTGTACTAGCAGGCATATACCTGTATTGGCGGGCTTGCCAAACAGAAGCGAATTCACAGCTATGGCCTTCTGGGTAATAAAGGTTTTCTTATTTTTGACGTATTATTTTTTTTAGCTTTGTTTAATTAAAACGTTTAAATATAATAAAAAATACATATATTAATTAAACTTAATAATTATATTTTTATTCTATAATATTTTTTCCCGCGCCTCCCCTGACATGCTCTGGCGCCCCCCAGGGGAGGCGCGCCTCACACTTTGAAAACCCCGGCTCTAGATCAACCATGATCCGTTACACCCCTAGTAGTGTGAGACCACTAGGGAAATGTGCTGGACCAACTTATGCGACAATCATTGATATGAAGGAGAGTGATAGAGTTTAAATATATTTTTGCAGCCTTACTGATGAAGAATTTCTAAAAAAAAAAAAAAAAACTAAAATAAACTATATTAAATTTTACATTGCTACACACTTTTTAATATATGCTGTATTAAAATGTGACTTGTTCATTTTTTTTATAGATGTAATAGTGAAGGAGGAGAGTGAAGAACTGAGTGAAGATGAGGAGAAACATCATGTCAAGAGTGAAGAGGAAACTCAATCAGAGACTGAAGATAGTTTTTCAATGGAAACAACAGCCGTAAACGGTTTCATCTGCACCCAGTGTGGAAAGACTTTCAAGCACCAATGCAGACTCAAGCTTCATATGAGGATTCACACTGGAGAGAAACCACACAAGTGTTCCCACTGCGACAAGAGTTTCAATGATTCAGGAAACCTGCAAAGACACATGCTGCTCCACACTGGAGAGAAAACACACAAATGCGATCAATGCGGCAAAACGTTTCTAAGGCCTGCAGGTCTGAAGAACCATCTTAGACTTCACACAAACGAGAAGCCTTATTCATGTTCTGAGTGCGGGAACAGTTTTAGTAATTGCTCAAATTTAATAGCACATCAGAAGATCCACACCGGTGTGAAAGAGCATGTGTGCCTTGAGTGTGGGAAGAGTTTCATCAGAGCTGGAGGATTGAAAAATCACCAGAGGATTCACACCGGAGAGAAACCGTACGAGTGTTCACACTGCGACAAGAGCTTCCGTCAGATACAAATACTGAAAGTACATGAGAGGATTCACACTGGAGAGAAACCGTACATGTGTACTAAGTGTGGGAAGAGCTTCAGACATACACCAAACCTTCAACGACACCTGCTGATTCATAAAACCACAAACCACACATGTGATCAATGCTGAATTTCTGGCCTTTAAAACTGAAGGATCATCCTAGAGTTCATACAAACAAGACGCCTTTTTTCATGTACTGAGTGTGGAAAGAGTTTTACACAACAGTCAAGTTCAAGACAACATAAGAAGATACATGAGTGTGAGAGATGTCGTGTGCTTTGATTGTGAGAAGACTTTTATTACAGCTGGAGGTTTGAGAAAACACAAGAAGATGCACACTAGAGAGAAACCTTATCAGACCCCCTAGTTTTTCACAATTGTTTTGCGATAAAAAAATGACAGATTTTCTGGCAATTCCCAGAAATTTGTGGACAATTTTGCGATGTAAAAAAAAAAAAAAAAAAAAAAAAAAAAAAAATATATATATATATATATATATATATATATATATATATATATATATATATATATATATATATATATATATACAATCATTTATTTTATTTTCAGCTTAGTCCCACCGCAGAATGAACTGCCAACTTGTCCAGCTAATTTTTTAAACGGCGGATGACCTTCCAGCTGCAACCTTGCACTGGGAAACATCCATTCACACTCATACACTACAGACAGTTTTAGCTTACCCAATTCACCTGTACCGCTTGTCATTGGACTTGTGGGGGAAACCAGAGCTTCCGAAGGCAACCCACGCAAACACGGGGAGAACATAGCAAACTCTCCACAGAATTGCCTACTGACCCAGCCGAGGCTCAAACCAGTGACCTTCTTGCTGTGTGGTGACAGCACTACCTACTGCCTCACTGCGTCGCCATATATATATATATATATATATATATATATATATATATATATATATATATATATATATATATATATATATATTAGGGCTGTCAAATTATTTTAAAAAATTACGTAATTAATCAAAAATTTTTTGTAATTAATCATGATTAGTCACAAAACGCCATATTTATTACAGAAATAAAAACATAGGCATGTAAGTGCCATTTAAATTTCAAAACAATCCATGCCAATAACAAACAAAACTGATTTCCATGTTGGATTCTAAGTGAATTACAAACACACACACAGACACGCAGTACAGCGCATGCTGTGATCGAGGGAACACTTCAGATTTATCAACACGCACGATCGCGTTCATCAAATTTGCTTAAACTGAGCATTCTAAAGTACGGCTGTCTTTTACATTAAGGATTCTAACACACCAACATGAAGCAGACGCTTTACAAGAGTTGCGTGTAGGGGGGAAACACGCCAAACTTATGAAATGTGAAGGCTCATGGAAGCAGCTTAAAGGTAGAGAGGTCATCTGCCGCTTTTATTGGTGTCCATGTGAATGTACTCAGTGCTCCGCTTTTATGATTGGGATAATACTGATTAAGAGTCGACCATGTAAGCAGTGATTTTTGATTACCTTAAAGGATCACGCGAGTCCTGAAATGCGGAGGTTTTTCTTTCCGTTCGCCATGCGGTATCAACATCCATTAAAACATCCGGAATGAAAATATGCTGGTTCGCGATTGAAAGTAGGGCCGTGAGGTGAGGGGGGGTGGGGTTTGTAGCGGATGAAAGTGAAGACCGGGGGGTTCGCTCACTTTTCTGCTGCCCAGGGCAGCTGCCTAGGTCGCCTCTATGCACGCGCCGTCCCTGAACACCAACGGCCACAACACAAATAAAAAGAAACTGCAACTGCGTTATTTTTTTTAACACGTTAAATATTTCAAAGTAATCACATGCATTAACGCGCTAATTTTGTATATATATTTTGAATATTTAAATTGAAGCTAGGTTAGCCTAGCTGCCTCATACGCTGACCATTCAACAGCTTACTTCATGCACAGCATGAGAGGTGAAATTAAAAAATAATCTAATAATAATTAATTAAACCGTGATTTCTCTTTTTTTTTAAGCCAGAACGCCTGATAGACTATTGTTGTGCAATGAAATATAGCGTTACTAACCGACGAGAATGGCGACACTGATGGATTTGTGCCGAATATTAGCATCATTGACATAACAATGTACAGTGCCTATTACTGTCAGCATGTTTGTGTGCATTTTATACAGTTTCTATTCTAATTTGCAGTTAAGTTAATCAAAGTATAAATAGCAGAACTGAACAAATAAATTTTCCCCTACCAGCAATTATTAATCCGACAACAAATATAAAAACAGACACTAACCCCTTATAGCATCGTCACCAATGACCAGTCTTCAAAAGACCGACAAAAACAACAGTGAATTGTAGCTCTGACATGGACATGGGCGATATAAATGACTGAAAAACAGCTGCGGGTGAAGTATATTGATCGTAAGTGCTCAGTTTGTGATCATATCTCGGTTTTGTTCTGTTAATATGTAATTTCAAATATTTGTAGCATGAAATGGAGGCAAATATTATTGCTATTAGTATGATTATTATTGCGAGGGCTTAAATTGAGCAGTGCTCATAATATCGAGCGAAAAAAAAAAAAGACAGCTGTGAAACACAACCTGCTTTGTGTTTTTGTAGGAAACACAGTTTGGATGTGTTTAGGGTAAGAGGTGTGTGAGTTATTGCAGTCGGTCTATAACTTAATATGTCCGGAATATTAAAACAAAACCAACTTAACCCCGCTCTTTTAGTGCCCCGCACACAGCTTAATCCACGCTGGCATTTCTCCCCTTGGAGTTTAGATTTTGCAAAGGGAAAAAATTCCACCATCCTGTCTAAATTTTTAGCATAGCGGGTATCATATTTGCACAATCCATATGCACAACGCTTTGGCCTGTTTCCCTCACTCGAAAGCGTGACAGTACTCCTGCGCGTAGCTACGATTGCTAACCCACAGTGTGTGGCGGTTTTCGAGTGTGGCTTAGCGAAGGGTCAATTTCTGCGTGGTGAATGGCCGCCAGTACACAGTGATGTGTGTCTGTGGATTAATTTATGAGAAAGTGCTGGTTCGATCCAAGAACTGCACACTATTATGAGTGCGGAAAGAGAAGCTATACACTTTAATGTTTGTTGTATTTTCATTGGTGTTTATTTGCTTCAAGCTGTTAATTTTATACATCAGTTTATACTTTGTTTCATAATTGCGCTTTGTTAGAAAAAATCCTGATTGTTGTTACTTAATTTAATTATTTCTGTTTTATTTAAGTGCATCTTTGACGTTTTAAGTGTTTAATAAACAGCACTTCACCGCACACATGATTAAGACGGCTTTTTGTCTACATTCAGAGATTGTTTTGGTTTAGGAGTACCCAAGTTGGAGCTTTCTGTTGATCTTTCGTTGTTCCCGCCTCGCCGTGATGACGTCAGCGCTGACGCGTTCATTCAGCGTCGAGTCTTCAGAGCTGAGGTGAGTCGTTGACGCTTTTTCTCGTGTTTACACGACAATAAAACACACTTTACAGTTTATTAAAGCGACAATCTGCGACTAGTTTCTGCATTGAGTTCACCTCTATCTGTGTGTCTGCTGACCAAAACAATACAGCAGGCAGCGAGGAGCTCTGAGAGGACAATATGAGTGAATGTGTTTGGGTTTGTTAGTACATTTGTATTTGTAATATTGCAAAGTATAATCTGTAAAGGGATATATGAAGTTTGATGCAGTAAATATAAAATTAATAGTTTGTGGTGCCCTTTCTTTTTTAGGTTTTTGTGATTTCTCAGTTCTGTAGATGTGCTAGTGCTAATAATCAAATTAGTTTATTGGTGTGTACTTAATTAAATCTAGATTTTGATATAAATGTACAAATAGGTTTGTTAATTACAATAGTCAGTAGTTCATCCTGCAAACACTGAGTGTAAAACACGCTGATCTGCTGCTGCTTCTGAATGTCAGATATTCAGATCTGCAAATTCCCACATTAATTAATTATATTTAATTATTAATTATATTAACAAAAATAATTAATTGTATCGGTGTCAACTGACTTGAGCAAATTACACAATCAAATATTGTATTAACTATAAGATATACTACGATTTAATCACATTTCTCTGTTTGTTCTCCTGAAGCTCTGCCGCCATCAGTGAAAGACAAAGACAGAGTTTATTGAAGGACAGTGAGAAGATGAGTGATCCAGAACCCTGCAGAATTAAACAGGAAGAGACTGAAGAACTAATAGGTTTGTGTTTATTCATTACTCCTCAATAATGAGGCTGGAGAACAGTGAGCCTGACATTCGTCTTCGCTGCTGCATTGATCCTAACTGGAGGAAACTGGACACTCACTGACCGCAGTGAAACTGACAAATCTCCAGCTCTCTCAGTGACTGATGAGTGTCAACATGTTCAGATACAGTTGTTTCTGTGCCAATTTTAACTTGATAGCTGACCATCAGATGATGAGCAAGGGCGTTTTTAAAAAAAGATCTCACCCCGTGTTTCCTCTAGGATTTTTCCAGCTGTGGTGGCAGCCTTTTGCACAGATCAAATACCTATAACAACAATAATATTATGTGTAGGTCTACTGTCGATTAAAATTATCAATTTTGAATAGACTTTAAATTTTTCCTGGTCATTAATGCACAGTAAAGTGATATTATCAGAATATATTGATTCAGAATTCTGAAGTTGAACTATTTAGGCTTGGGCGGTATCCAAATTTTGATGCCGTCAAACCTCTTCCCTATTTTACCTTGGTATCCGGTATTACCGTGCATTAAAAAAATTATGATGTAAGGCTCAGACAGCATCACCAAACTGTTGGCTTGTGCCTAAACCATTCAGAAACTGAATACTGTATATGCGACATTAGGCTCGCGGTCACCTGTTTGTCTTGTTTGTATTAGAGATCTGTACATGCGCTCTCATTCACACACACACACACACACACACACACACAGAGAGAGCACCAAGCGACACACAGAATCATGCTCTTACACACACACACACACACACACACACACCCATAAACAGCATCCACGCGGATGCACGCGTGCTCGCTCACTCGGAAGCGATATTGTTAGACTGCGCTCCCGCTCCCTTTCAAGTTGCACTATAGTTACCGACCACTCCCGCGCTTTATTCGGAAATTTAATCTTGCACCGCAAGAAATCTGGTTGGCTCCTCTAGTGTAGAGGTCTGCATTCCCACCTGCGGGACCCAACTAGAATAACACGCGAGAGTGTTTGGTAACTGGTTTAATTTTGGACGGGAGCAGGCCGTCTAGCAATATCGCTCGCGACACCCGAGCGAGCAAGCACGCATATGAATGAGACAGCACGATGCTGTGTTTAGCTTGTTTGTTGCTGTGTGTGTGTGTGTGTGTGTGTGTGTGTGTGTGTGTGTGTGTGTGTGTGTGTGTGTGTGTGTGCGCGTGTGTGCGCGTGTGTGCGCGTGTGTGCGCGTGTGTGTGCGTGTGTGTGCGTGTGCATGTGTGTGTGTTTATACAGTCAGCTTGTTACAGGTTATCTGGACTCTGTATAGCTCTGTGGTGTTCTCCTCCCCTCCCGCTCTTTAGCGTGATCGGGTGCGGCGGGTAGAAAACGGAGCGGGATTCAAAATTTAGTCCCGCGCAGATCTCTACTCTAGTTTGTATTTACCACGTCTTCCTTCTCGTTTGGTCAAGAATACTGGCAAACTGCAGGTCACTTGGTGGGCGACTCGCAATCGTACCTCACCTCTTTCTCTCCTTCACACTGTCCCGTGATGACAATCATGCATACGCATTTGTAGGCATTAAATAATATTATTTATTTAATACTTGTCTTCTGTTTGAGTGCATTGTTTTTTATGACGGTATAAGGGTGTTGAAACTGACACCGTAGCTATTTTTAGATCCCGCGGTATACCATATTACCGCCCAAGCCTAAAAATATTATGTTTGAGACGTGCTTGCAATCTGTCATTTTCAACATCATTAGACCATTTATTCACAGGTAAAATCAGACATTTGTCATTATCAGATTCCTTCTTGCATTATATTCAACATTATATATAGGCTAGAGTCGTTATACTGACACTGTTAAACATTTATTCTCATGCACAACTATTTGTGTTCGCTATGAAAGAAAAACATTGAATGCTTGTCGCAATCAAAACTCTAAAATGTGACATGATTTTTTTAAAAGAGGGCGTGCTTTCAGTTTCATTTTCACTGCTAGGGGCTGTTCATACATCCTGATCTGTTCATATTGTAGGGATTGTTTACAGTTTAACCCAAAGAATGAGCAGTCTGGTAGATGAAGAAGAGCCGGAGTCAGAGATTTAAATAAATAAATCAAGTTTACTGAAGATAGTTTGCAGTTTCATTCGCAGAAGCCAGCTTCAACACTTACAATGAGTTCCTAGGCCGCTCTGCTTACAGTTTCAACAATCGAACAATTATACTCTTTACACAAGTCCAGAAAGGGTGGGATCCAGGTAAACAGTTCTCATTGGTTACAACAGAAATAGACAATTCTAAATACATGCGTCAAAGAAACATGGTATCTACTTCCAGATATGGACGGCCTTAATGTGTGCGTCAAAGAAAGCATTGTATCTGTCTCCAGATATGGATGGCGACCTGATGCCTAGAGGTGAGGTCGCCTTAAGTTATTAGGAGCTGATCTCCGACCTGTAAAAAGCTAAACCAGGAACACAATAGACACAAACGACCATCTGTGTTAAAGACTCGAGGATGTTTCTTGTACGTTCAGCTGTGTTATCAGGCTGGTTCAAGACTGTTTCCATCAACAGTCTGCTGCAATATCTTGGCTACACACAGTCTATCTCCACACAGAAAGGAATTACATTAAAATTAATTATACTCAAAAACAGATCAATCAAACAGCTATAATATTATAGGCAATATATCAGGACAATAAAACAGGTGTCTTCTTCTCCTCTGTATTGGACCTCCAGTCATAAGAACAGATGGAGAGAGAGAGAGAGAGAGAGAGAGAGAGGTCTCCATGACCTATGACCTGGTTTGTGTGTCTCCTGAAAACAGACAGGCAAAAAGAGAAACAAGGACACAGAACATTCTTGCAGTAAGCAGTTTTAACTTATTCATTAGTTAAAATCAATTCACAGTTCAATACTGAGAAACAGGATGATGAAAAGGATAAACGTTGGTCCATGATGAGACGGATTGGAAAGCAGAAATCCGAATCCTTCAGTATATCACTCCGTTCCACAAACTTAATGTTATTTACAACTTTATTACCTGTTTTTCACAGCCTATGCAAGTTCTGTTCACTAACGTAGACGCACGCGTCTATCAAGTAGGATGCGCGCCCGCCCTCTTTGTGGTAACAGCTCACAGTCAGTAGCTTGTGGTCATTCCTCAAAGACTAGTTTCCCTTTGCCAGACGTTATTGGCCTATACCAATAAAAAAAAAGCAAATTCAAACTATAATCAAAACTCAAATGAGCAACATTGACAGCCACAACAACAGTAAAAAAACAAACAAAAAAATAGTGTTGGTAATGTTGATTATTAAGAAGCTGTTTATTAAAATAGTGAAATGATACACATTCTCAACATCACATGTGTTGCCCGCAGGCCTGTTCTAAAAATAGCTCACCATAGCGCCACTTACCAGTATGCTCCATCTAAAATAAAAGTAATCATTTAAAAATGTTAATATTTGCAGAGAAATATAAAAATAAAGTGCTGCACATTTCTTTAAAGAGGCGCTCTCTGTGGTCAAGAAACAAAGTCTTACTCGGAATGTCTTTTTAAAGTTTTATTCTTTGCAAAGAAGGTCACAGACATACAGCAACAACAGTTTCTGCAGAGTGAGACACTGAAGTCAAGTGTGTTCACCCTTTTATCTGGTTTTTACTGCTTACAAGGTCAAACCCTAATAATGCCCATTCTGACGACAGTTTCTGCAGAATGAGACACTGAAGCAAAGTGTGTTCACTGTTCTATCTAGTTTGTACTGCTTGTTTAGCCAAGATATTGCAGCAGACTGTTGATGGAAACAGTCTTGAACCAGCCTGATAACACAGCTGAACGTACAAGAAACATCCTTGAGTCTTTAACACAGATGGTCGTTTGTGTCTATTGTGTTCCTGGTTTAGCTTTTTACAGGTCGGAGATCAGCTCCTAATAACTTAGGGCGACCTCACCTCCGGGCATCAGGTCGCCATCCATATCTGGAGACAGATACAATGCTTTCTTTGACGCACGCATTAAGGCCGTCCATATCTGGAAGTAGATACCATGTTTCTTTGACGCATGTATTTAGAATTGTCTATTTCTGTTGTAACCAATGAGAACTGTTTACCTGGATCCCACCCTTTCTGGACTTGTGTAAAGAGTATAATTGTTCGATTGGTGAAACTGTAAGCAGAGCGGCCTAGGAACTCATTGCGAGTGTTGAAGCTGGCTTCTGCGAATGAAACAGCAAACTATCTTCAGTAAACTTGATTTTTTTTTTTTAAATCTTTGACTCCGGCTCTTCTTCATCTACCAGACTGCTCATTCTTTGGGTTAAACTGTAAACTATCCCTACAGTTTCCACTACACACGTTTATCTAAAAATGATTTTCCATTACAATACATTAAACACAGGGTATTTCCTACCCTGTTAAATCATTGTTGAAATTGATTTGATTTGAGAAATGTTTATCAAACTGGTAGCCCTCCACATTGATCAGTACCCAAGAAGTAGCTCTCAGTTTCATAAAGGTTGGTGACCCCTGCTCTAGCAGATTGTGGTTCAGATTCCACTGATGCGACCCCTAGTTGGTTTAAAACTGTATAACGCTCAACCATGCGTTATCTTGTAGGCTAAGCAACTGTTTTTAAACTTGATGTTTTCCCAAATAATGGTGTTTTTTTTTAAATAGTACAATGAAAACCGAAATTAACTATATAAAATTGTACATATACATACTTGTTGTGTTTTAATATATGCTGTAATAAACAAGCCTCTTTAAATGTAGCTTGTTAATTTTCAGATCTGAAGGTGAAGAGTGAAGAACTGAGTGAAGATGAGGAGAAACCGTACCAGTGTTCACACTGCGACATGAGATTTTGTGATTTAGGAAACTTGAATTCGCATAAGAAGATCCACACTGGAGAGAAAACACACAAGTGTGATCAATGCGGCAAAACATTTATGATGCCTTCACAGCTGAAGACCCATCTTAGAGTTCATACAAAGGAGAAGCCTTATTCATGCTCTGAGTGCGGGAAGAGTTTCAGACGTCTGTCAAATTTAAAAGCGCATCAGAAGATCCACACCGGTGTGAAAGAGCATGTGTGCATTGAGTGTGGGAAGAGTTTCATCAGAGCTGGAGAATTGAAAAATCACCAGAGGATTCACACCGGAGAGAAACCGTACAAGTGTTCACACTGCGACCGGAGATTCGGTCAGTTACAAATAGTGAAAGTACATGAGAGGACTCACACCGGAGAGAAGCCGTACGCTTGTACTCAATGTGGGAAGAGCTTCAAACAATCACCAAGCTTTTATCGACACATGCAGATCCACACTGGAGAGAGACCGCATACATGTGATCACTGCAGCAAAACTTTTCTCTGGCCTTCAGACCTGACGAGACATCTGAGAGATCACACAAACGAGAAGCCTTATGCATGCTCAGAATGTGGAAAGAGATATACAGAGCAGTCAACCTTGAGAAGACATCAGAAGATGCACACCGGTGTCAAAGAGTTTGCGTGCTTTGAGTGTGAGAAGAGTTTTATTAGAGCTGCGGGTTTGAGACAACACCAGAGGACTCACACTGGAGAGAAACCGTACGTGTGTTCACACTGCAACAAAACGTTCAGATATTCAGGACACCTGAAAGCGCATGAGCGGATCCACACTGGAGAGAAACCGTACACTTGTACTCAGTGTGGGAAGAGTTTCAGCGTTTCATCGTCTCTTAATTCACACATGCTGATCCACACTGGAGAGAAAATTCACAGATGTGAACAGTGTGGCAAGACATTTTTGAGGGCTTCACAGGTAAAGAAACACCTTAGAGTTCATACGAAGGAGAAGCCTTTTCAAAACATTGACCTTCCTGAAAACTCTCTTCTGCATTAACAAACACAGGATTTCACTGTTAAATGTGCGTAACAAGTCTGATCCTTGCAGTGAAGACATCTCAAGGGTTGATGTAGACTAATAAGGTCAGAAAATCCAGCGGTGCTGTGGAATATATCATTTCTGTGACTGCACTGTTTTATACATTAAAAAAATAAACGTTACCTAAAATATATTGTCAATAAATGAGTACACTAAAGTGTTTTATCCAGCTTCAGAATATCAGGTGCTCTTCTAAGATTGTACAGCCGGTGACGCTTGAGATGTTTTAGTGGCACAGCGTTTAATAACAGATGTTTTGTTTGCTATGATTTGGAATCCATTACTATAGACGCCCGTTCCCGTCACTGAATCAAAATATAAATATAAGGATAGAATTGCGAGTTATTAAGTCAGAATTGCAAGTTATAAAGGCTGATTTGCAAGTTAAGTTAGAATTCTGACTTTAAAACTCGCAATTCTGACTTACTAACTCGCAATTCTGACTTAATAACTCGCAATTCTGACTTAATAACTCGCAATTCTGACTTAATAACTCGCAATTCTGACTTAACTCACAATTCTGACTTTATAACTCGCAATTCTGACTTAATAACTCGCAATTCTGACTTAATAACTCGCAATTCTGACTTTATAACTCGCAATTCTGACTTAATAACTCGCAATTCTGACTTAATAACTCGCAATTCTGACTTTATAACTCGCAATTCTGACTTTATAACTCGCAATTCTGACTTTATAACTCGCAATTCTGACTTAATAACTCACAATTCTGACTTAATAACTCGCAATTCTGACTTACTAACTCACAATTCTGACTTTATAACTCGCAATTCTGACTTACTAACTCGCAATTCTGACTTAATAACTCGCAATTCCGACTTAATAACTCGCAATTCTGATTTTATAACTCGCAATTCTGACTTTATAACTTGCAATTCTGACTTTATAACTCGCAATTCTGACTTTATAACTCGCAATTCTGACTTAATAACTCACAATTCTGACTTAATAACTCGCAATTCTGACTTACTAACTCACAATTCTGACTTTATAACTCGCAATTCTGACTTACTAACTCGCAATTCTGACTTAATAACTCGCAATTCCGACTTAATAACTCGCAATTCTGATTTTATAACTCGCAATTCTGACTTTATAACTTGCAATTCTGACTTTATAACTCGCAATTCTGACTTTATAACTCGCAATTCTGACTTAATAACTCACAATTCTGACTTAATAACTCACAATTCTGACTTAATAACTCGCAATTCTGACTTAATAACTCGCAATTCCGACTTAATAACTCGCAATTCTGACTTAATAACTCGCAATTCTGACTTTATAACTCGCAATTCTGACTTTATAACTCGCAATTCTGACCTAATAACTCGCAATTCTGACTTAATAACTCGCAATTCTGACTGTATAACTCGCAATTCTGACTTTATAACTCGCAATTCTGACTTTATAACTCGCAATTCTGACTTAATAACTCGCAATTCTGACTTTATAACTCGCAATTCTGACTTAATAACTCACAATTCTGACTTAATAACTCACAATTCTGACTTTATAACTCGCAATTCTGACTTTATAATGCGCAATTCTGACTTAATAACTCGCAATTCTGACTTTATAACTCGCAATTCTGACTTTATAACTCGCAATTCTACCTTAATAACTCGCAATTCTGACTTAATAACTCGCAATTCCGACTTAATAACTCGCAATTCCGACTTAATAACTCGCAATTCCGACTTAATAACTCGCAATTCTGACTTAATAACTCGCAATTCTGACTTAATAACTCACAATTCTGACTTAATAACTCACAATTCTGACTGTATAACTCGCAATTCTGACTTTACAACTCGCAATTCTGACTTAATAACTCGCAATTCTGACTTAATAACTCGCAATTTTGACTTAATAACTCGCAATTCCGACTTTATAACTCGCAATTCCGACTTAATAACTCGCAATTCTGACTTAATAACTCGCAATTCTGACTTAATAACTCACAATTCTGACTGTATAACTCGCAATTCTGACTTAATAACTTGCAATTCTGACTTAATAACTCGCAATTTTGACTTAATAACTCGCAATTCCGACTTTATAACTCGCAATTCCGACTTTATAACTCGCAATTCTGACTTAATAACTCGCAATTCTGACTTAATAACTCACAATTCTGACTTAATAACTCACAATTCTGACTGTATAACTCGCAATTCTGACTTTATAACTCGCAATTCTGACTTAATAACTCGCAATTCTGACTTAATAACTCGCAATTTTGACTTAATAACTCGCAATTCCGACTTAATAACTCGCAATTCTGACTTTATAACTCGCAATTCTGACTTAATAACTCGCAATTCTGACTTTATAACTCACAATTCTGAATTTATAACTCACAATTTTAAAAAAATTTAATTTATTTATTTTATTTATTTTAAAATCAGTGGCAGGAACAGGCTTTTATACATTACAGTTACATATTACTTATATTCTTGTGAGAATGTTATTTGTATGCATATGCTGAAACGTACATCTCTCATGGGAATATCTTAATCCCTTAATCTGCACAGATAGACCGACACTATTCTAAACACCTGAGTATTGCAGTTTCGCTGTACAACCACAAGTCGGCACTCACAACCTTTCAGATTTGGCAGTACAGGTGTTTTGATTATGGTCTGTGTCTGCAAATCGAGAGATTCAGCCAGTGGTGTCTATGACAACATTCTGATGGTGTCACGGATAAGAAGTAAAATAAAACCTGACTTTTTCTCAACCACGTTCCTGGAGGACCACCAGCTCTGAACATTTGCCATTTCTCCTTTACCCAGGGCTGGCCAAACTCCATCCTAGAGGGCCGGTGTCCCGGAAAGTTTAGTTGCAACCCCAATCAGACACACCTGAGCTAGCTAATCAAGCTTTTACTAGGCTTTCTTGAAACGTTTGTGCAGTTTTGAGACCAGTTGGAACTAAAATGTGCAGGACCCTGGCCCTCCAGGACTGAGTTTGGACACCCCTGCCTTACCCAAACACAGCTGATTGAGATCATCAGCTCATTAACAGAAACTGAAAGACCTGTAATGGCTGTGACAGACAAAGGAGAAATTCAAAACATGCAGTGCTGGTGGTCATCCAGGAACATGGCTGAGAAACACTGATTCAGTGCACTAAAGGTTCATGAAACCATAAAACACAGTTTTTAAAATGTAACTGATGTTTTCTTTTATTTAAGCGAATTTTAACAACATTTTATGTGTTTAATAAACGATACATCACGCCACACAAGATTAAGACGGCCTTTTTTGTCTACATTTAGTGATTGTTTTGGCTTCTCAGCAGAGGAGCGTTTTGTTGACCTTTTGTTGCTCCCGCCTCGCCGTGATGACGTCAGCACTGACGCGTTCATTCAGCGTCGAGTAGATCGGATATGCGGCCGGCCGGAAGTGCGATATGCACATTATTAAAGCAGCATTTTTTATGACACTGTATAACAATAATTGATATTTTACAGTACTGTGAGGGTTGGGGTGGGGGTAGGCGTTAAAAAATAAAATTTATTGGGTAATTTAATAGGTACAACTACAGTTTTTACATTACTGTGACGGTTGGGTTTAGGGTTGGGGTGGGGGTTGACGGTAATAAAATACAACAAATGAGAAATTTAATAAATAATAGAAATAATTCGCGGTAACTTCCGGCCGCAAACGTATCCGCTCTAGCAACAACCAGTCTTCAGAGCTGAGGTGAGTCGTTGACGCTTTTTCTCGTGTTTACACAACAATAAAACACACTTTACAGTTTATTAAAGCGACAATCTGCGACTAGTTTCTGCATTGAGTTCACCTCTATCTGTGTGTCTGCTGACCAAAACAATACAGCAGGCGGAGAGGAGCTCTGAGAGGACAATATGAGTGAATGTGTTTGAGTTTTACTTAGTACATTTGTGAATCTTCTGTGTCAGATATATAAAGTTTTATGCAGAAAATATTAAATTAATAGCTTGTGGTGCGCTTATATTTTTTAAGATTTTGTAATTTCTCAGTTCTGTAGATGTGCTAGTGCTAACAGTTCAATTACTTTATCGGTGTGTACTTAATTAAAACTAGGTTTTGATATAGATGTACAAATAGTTTTGTTAATTACAATAGTCATTAGTTCATCCTGCAAACACTGAGTGTAAAACACACTGATCTGCTGCTCCTGAATGTCAGATATTCAGATCTGCAAATTCCCACATTAAGCTAATTGTATCGGTGTCAACTGACTTGAGCAAATTACACAATCAAATATTGTATTAACTATAAGATATACTATGATTTAATCATATTTCTCTGTTTGTTCTCCTGAAGCTCTGCCGCCATCAGTGAAAGAGAAAGACAGAGTTTATTGAAGGACAGTGAGAAGATGAGTGATCCAGAACCCTGCAGAATTAAACAGGAAGAGACTGAAGAACTAATAGGTTTGTGTTTATTCATTACTCTTCAATAATGAGGCTGAACAACAGTGAGGTTGTTAATCTGACATTCGTCTTTGCTGCTGTATTGATCATAACTGGAGAAAACTGGACACTCACTGACCGCAGTGAAACTGAGCAATCTCCAGCTCTCTCTGTAAATAAGCTTGAGTGTTCTCCGTCAGTGACTGATGGGCGTCGGTCTGTTCAGATACTGTTTTTTTTTCTCATTGCCAGTTTCACTTGATATTGGAGAGCGTTTACTCTTTGTGAGAGCAGTGAACACAATATATTTATTTGCATATATTTTTAAACAGGAAAATTTAGCATAATTGCTGTTTTTCCGCCGTTTCCGGCTCTGCAGAACATACACACACACACACACACCCTTACATTTCATCCAACACCACATGAAAGTCAACAAATACATGAAATTGAGAGAAGCAGGCTACTTTATTTCAGTGGCTGTAGCGATACTTGACCATCAAAGTTTTCTTTTATTTTGTATTATTTGAACACAGAAAAAACATGCCGTAGACGATTAGCATATAGCTGTGTGCATAGATATACATGTAATAACCAACCATATAGGTTGTTAAATAATCATTTTAATAATAATGCCAACAACAACAATAGTGAAATAAAGAAACAACTGAAGAATAAATGACAAAGACATACTAAAACAAATAAAAATAAATTAATTAATATACAGTCGGAGTCAGAATTATTAGCTTCCTTTGAATTTATTTTCTATTTTTAAATATTTCCCAAATGATGTTTAACAGAGCAAGGAAATGTTCACAGCATGTCTGATAATGTTTTTTTTTCTTCTAGAGAAAGTCTAATTTGTTTTATTTTAGTTAGAATAAAAGCAGTTTTTATTTTTTTAACACCATTTTAAGGTCAATATTATTAGCCCCTTTAAGCTATTTTTTATTTTTGATAGTCGACAGAACAAACCATTGTTAAACAATGACTTTCCTAGTTACCCTAACCTGCCTAGTTAACCTAATTAACCTAGTTAAGCCTTTAAATGTCACTTTAAGCTGTATAGAAGTGTCTTGAAGAATATCTAGTCAAATATTATTTACTGTCATCATGACAAAGATAAAATAAATCAGTTATTAGAAATAAGTTATTAAAACTACTTCAACTGTATAAACACAGACACACACATGCATACACAGAAAACAAATTTCCAAACCAAAAAAAGGCAATTAACCATATCTGTATTAAAAGTTAAGGGTAAAATTAAGCCAATTAAAAAATAAATAAATGAATAGTAATAGACAAATAGAAATAGATGTGCTAAATCGCGCTGAAAGAGGTCTACAGCAATAAAGAAAAGTTATTAGAAGACCAAACAGGGAATCCTAAACAATTATATAACGGAAAAAAAGTACATACATCTATAAAGAGGGAAAATAAATAAATAAATAAATTAATTAATTAATAAAAATAAGTAAATAAATAAAATGATGGGGTCTGGAACCAGACGTTTTTGCTTTTTGATGTCTCCTTGATTCAAATTAGTAAACCTTTAAGTTTTCCCAATGTTGTTGGGGATGAAGATTAAGGCCCAATCCCGATTCTACCCCTTAGCCCCTCCCCTTACCACTACCCCTCATTTTGCACATTCACCTCAAGGGTTAGGGCTGTCCCAATTCTCTTTAGCTTGAATGTGTAGGGCTAAGGCAGGGGTCAGCAACCCGCGGCTCTAGAGCCGCATGCGGCTCTTTAGCGCTGCCCTTGTGGCTCCCTGAAGCTTTTTAAAAAATGTTCAAAAAGATGGGGAAGGTTAGCATATATTTTTGTTTTAATATGATTTCTATAGGAGGACAAACATTTTTAACGTTTTCAAATGCTGTAAAAGTGTGTAGAGTTAATATTTAATTTCAACATTTCTGTCAACGAAGATTTGCGTCATAGCCTGCGACACAGGTTTCTATCAGCAGGGCGGGATGCCAGGCAGGTTGTTGTAAACAAATCGGGAGATAATAAAGCATGGAAAGCCGTTCACAGATGGTGACCAACCACTTGATTTCAGTGGCTATTTAATCATGAAGGCTCATTATGTATTTGTAGCCAACTAAGTAATTTTTATAGTAGGCTAATATAGCTACTATATATACACATACAGCATGTGTTTCCTTCATTATAAGGCTTATATAAGGCTTTACATTTTTTGCGGCTCCAAACATATTTGTTTTTTTGTTTTTTTTTGGTCCAATATGGCTCTTTCAACATGTTGGGTTGCCGACCCCTGGGCTAAGGGGAAAATGTGAACATCCCTTCAAACGAAGATTTTTCAGGACCACAGTCGAAAACCAAGGGGAAAGGAAATTTCCCAGAATACACCAGCCTCAATGGCAGTATTGCTGAACCCGGAAGTGAGGAGATCCACAAATTAGTATTTTTTTTTCATTATTATGAATGTTTACAACAAACAAGCAGATGTTTTAATACATTCATAACCGCGTTCATGTTTTACTGTCATGCTTTTAAAAAAACGATTAACTAAAAACGCTAAATTGCACAATAATCCATAATAATTCATTTAATTTAATCCATAATAATAACTCCTCTACAGCAGTCCCACAACATTCTGACACTCGATGACACTGGAATACCCTGTCAGTAATGTCTAGCGGCTTAGAATGGGCTGTTTACAGTGTCTGCTATAATGTTAAGGTTGTTTTCGTGCGTTTACATTGATGAATATGGCCACTGTGTAAATGCGCAGTACAGTTACGATCTTATTCCCACATTAGATCGTTATGATAACGTGATATATGCCTTCAGTGATGTCCTGAATGTAAATACCAAAAATAGCACAACTGGAATCACTACAGCAGTCGCCTTCGTCTGACCTCATATGAAGCAAGAGATCACGATGACATATGATGACGTGGTGTGCAGGTGCTGTAGTACTGTCCCAATTCTTACTCCCCGTACACACAGGGCGTCAGCGTCAATGCTTCCCATTCACTTTAAATGGGTGACGTCAGGAGTTGCCGAACTGCATTGTGGATCCGTCAGCGCCGCTTCAGAGGCATTGCTCGCTGTAGAAGTTGGAACTAGCTCAATTTGTCAAGCGCCGACGGAAGCGTCAGCCAATCAGATCGCTGTATGCAAATACACCAGCTAGACAGTGGCCTATTGCTGACTGAATTTCATTGGCTGTCGCTGCTATAACGATCGCTTCAGCCCCAACTTCAGACACGCCCTCAGTCAAGTGTTGACGCTGAAGCCCCGTGTGAATGGGGCGTTAGGAGTACATCTTGAAGCCCTTCTCCTTAACCCTCAGTTGTAAGAGCCAAGTGGAAGGAGTACAAAAATAGAATTGGGATTGGGCAGTTAAAGATAAAGTCTGGTGAGTCCGATGAATAGAAGACTAAGAGTCGAAGATGTAAATAAAAATTGAAAATTGTATTGAATATAGTTTGTAGTTCTGTGGCAGAAGGGTTCACACTCAAGCTGAGTTCGCAGGCAAGCGAAAGCAGTGCGTGAGCAGCGCGTGAGCAGCGCGTATGTCGAGCAGAAGCAGCACGCTGGCATTTGCCTTTCACACCTGCTGCGTCTGCAGCGCGCAGCTCTCCGGCAGCTGCTGCAGAGATCAACATATCGCTGTCTATTCTGTCTAGTTAGCCATGTCTCTCTATATACAAATACACTTTTCAAACTTTTCATCTGCACCAAGACCCCTCCTATGCTGTTTCTTTAACCTGCAAATGTTTATTTTACAAATTTTATAGATCAAACAGTACTGTATGCTTCTCAAGCTCTATGAGGAGTACGTGTCTACAGTCAGAAGACAATCGCCTGTGATATCATGTCATTTGGTTTTTGATTGTCAGGATGTTGTAAGCCTATAGTTATAATAATATCTATACAGTATAGTTATAATGATATTTATACATGATCCACTTCAGTAATGTCCAGCGGCAGAGTAAAAGCATGTTAATTCATGCTCGTGCAAAGGATGAGACGGATAAAAGTGATCAATGCAGGCACTTCTTTTACTTATTTTCGTGTTTTCCGGTTCACAGTGCAAACAGCTCCCAGGTGGAATAACTTGAGCGAACATAAAGCAAAGCCGAATAAAGCTTTCTTCCTCTGCTTGAGCAGCACAGCACACAGCGAGTTCACATCATCCAGCTTGCGTGTCGAACTACACTACCCACAATACACTTCGCTATGGACTACGATTCCCGTAAATCACTTCCCCCCTCCAACAAAACTGATACTAAAATTGTTCTACTATTGGTTTTGTAGTTCGGGCCGAAATAAAGGTTTGTTGCAGCTTTTAATCGTTTAAGTTCATTTGATTGACTATATATAAATCAGTTGATATTATTGACACATTTATTGGGTAAAATTGTTACTTTTTACTGTCATTCAATGTGTTTAGGTCATTATCAATGCACTGTCACTTTAATTGAGCGTAAGCAGCGCATCAAAAATAGACCCGGCGCCGAAACTATCGCTGCACTGCTGCTTCAGCGACGCTCACGCCTCGCACTGACGCGCTGCTTCTGCGTGCGGTATGAAAGCTCTAATCTGTTAACATGGACGCTGAAAACTCACGCTCTGCTCACGCGCCGCCGACGATTGCGGTGTGAAACAGGCATTACAGTACAACAATGCAGCATTATGATACACATTCTCTAGCTCAGTGGTTCTCAAAGTGGGGGTCGGGACCCCCCGAGGGGTCGCGGGGCAATGAAGGGGGGGTCGCCTGGTGATTTCCAAAAATCTATTTATTTTTATTAAACCATAAGAATTAACATATTTTATCCATAACTATACTGAAAATAAAAATAGTCGTTTATAGTGACTATATACTATATAGTTACTATAGTAGCTTATAGTTACTAGTTCTATTGGATTGCGACCCCTGGGGTAATTACAGTATATTAAAGGCAGCAATAGCGTCAGAAGCATTTTGATTTTATAACATCAGGTTAAACTTTCTGGCACATTTAAAGCACTGACACAAATTTAATTGGTGTGTCTGCGTCATTGCATGCAAGGTTTCTGTATTCATAACCACCTCAGAGGATATTGGGGGTCGCGAGTCACTGGCATTGTTATTTTGGGGGTCGCGGGCTGAAAAGTTTGGGAACCCCTGCTCTAGCTGATGTGACGCTCTAAAAGAATAACAACCCTCGTCACTCTGTTTTCTGCTGGTTTAAACCGTATGAAGTCAGCCCAACCATGAGCGATCTTATAAGCTAAACAACCGTTTTTAAACTTGATGTTTTCCCTAATAAGCAGGCTCTGGGTTTTTAAGATAGTACAATGAAAACTAAACTTCCTAAAATAAGCTATTTTAAATTGTACATTGTTACACACTTTTTGTGTGTTTTAATATATTCTGTAATAAACTAGCATCTTTAAATGTAGCTTGTTAATTTTCAGATGTGAAGAGTGAAGAACTGAGCGAAGATGAGGAGAAACCGTACCAGTGTTCAGACTGCGACATGAGATTCAGTGATTTAGGAAACCTGAATTCACATAAGAAGATCCACACTGGAGAGAAACCACACAGATGTGATCAATGCGGCAAAACATTCATGATGCCTTCACAGCTGAAGAACCATCTTAGAGTTCATACAAAGGAGAAGCCGTATTCATGCTCCGAGTGCGGGAAGAGTTTTAGACAGCCGTCAAATTTAATATCGCATCAGAAGATCCACACTGGTGTGAAAGAGCATGTGTGCATTGAGTGTGGGAAGAGTTTCATCAGAGCTGGAGGATTGAAAACTCACCAGAGGATTCACACCGGAGAGAAACCGTACAAGTGTTCACACTGCGACCGGAGATTCAGTCAGTTACAAATAGCGAAAGTACATGAGAGGACTCACACCGGAGAGAAGCCGTACGCTTGTACCGAGTGTGGGAAGAGCTTCAGATCATCAGCAATCCTGAAACAACACATGAAGATCCACACTGGAGAGAAACCTTACAAGTGTTCACACTGCGACAAGAGATTCAGGCATTCAAAAACCTTGACTTCACACATGCTGATCCACACTGGAGAGAAAACACACAAGTGCGATCAATGCGGCAGAACGTTTAAGAGGCCTGCAGAGCTGAAGAAACATATTAGAGTTCATACAAAGGAGAAGCCTTATTCATGTTCTGTGTGCGGGAACAGTTTCAGTAACGGCTCCAATTTAATAACACATCAGAAGATCCACACTGGTGTGAAAGAGCATGTGTGCCTTGAGTGTGGGAAGAGTTTTAGTAGAGCTGGGGAATTGAAAAATCACCATCGGATCCACACCGGAGAGAAACCGTACAAGTGTTCACACTGCGACAAGAGATTCGGTCAGAAACGATCACTGAAGGGACATGAGAGTATTCACACTGGAGAGAGACCGTACACATGTACTCAGTGTGGGAAGAGCTTCAGATCATCAACAATCCTTCAACAACACATGAAGATCCACACTGGAGAGAAAAATCACGAATGTGATCAATGCGGCAAAACATTTCTCTGGACTTCAGATCTAAAGGAGCATCTTAGAATTCATACAAAGGAGAAGTTTTATTCATGTTTAGAGTGTGGGAAGAGTTTTACGCAACGGTCAAGTTTAAGACAACATCAGATGATCCACACTGGTGTGAGAGAGTTTGTCTGCTTTGACTGTAAGAAGACTTTTATTACATCTAGTGCCTTGAAACAGCACCAGAAGATTCACACTGGAGAGAGAACTTACGTTTGTTCACACTGCGACAAAGCATTCCTTCATGCAGCACATCTGAAAATACATGAGCGGATTCACACTGGAGAGAAACCGTACACGTGTACTCACTGTGGGAAGAGCTTCAGAGCTTCATCATCCCTTCATTCACACATGCGGATGCACACTGGAGAGAAACCGTACACGTGTACTCAGTGTGGGAGGAGCTTTACAGCTTCATCGTCCCTTAATTCACACATGCTGATCCACAATGGAGAGAAAACACACAAATGTGATCAGTGCAGCAAGACATTTTTAAGGGCTTCAGGGCTGAAGAAACATCTTGGAGTTCATTCAAAGGAGGAGCCTTTTCATTAGCATCAACAAAAATGACCTTCCTGAAAACCCTCTTGTGCATTCACAAACACAGGACTTCACAGTCAAATGTGTGTGTTAATGAATTCCAGTAATTTGTAAATAGAGCACAAGTTCAATCACAATTTTGTTTATTTTTTTATAATCACTTTTCAGGACGTTCACCTTTATTGGATAGGAAAGTAGAAAGAATTGACAGGAAAGCATGGGGAGCAGAAAGAGGGGGAGGATCGGCGTAGAACCACAAGGCGGGAATCAAACTCGGGTCGCCGTGAGCACCGGAGTGCATGTGTCGACGCTCTACACCACTGGCGCCGACTAGTTCAATCACAATTAGCATAATCCCCAGCTATTATTATTAATAACAATAAGGTCACCTGATATGATTGGTCCTGCTAATAATAACTCTGAGGACCCCAAAATGGTGTTGGTTCTTAGTATTGTCCAAGTTACCCCCAGAGGCGACCCTGGACAAGCTATTCACATCAGAGCTCCGAGTGTAAACATACTATAGACGGGCATAGATTATTTTATTTATCTTGATTAATCTCACTGTAATCTTTAAATTAATCTAGATTAAAATGGCTTATTTGAATTCCGGCAAAGGCATTCAGAACATGTTTGCTACCCAAATAATAAGTCTTTGAGAACGGGTTTTTCAAGCCAGGTGGCGCATCAGACCAGGGGCTCATCTCCTGTTTCCAAAATGCATCATAAACTACTTGAGGAACTGTTCTACTATGATAATTGGTGATGAAAATAAATGATGTTCAATAAGATGTGCTTGTGTTTACTCACTGTTCATTCAGTAAAACATGAATGTTAAACTGTAGGCCTACATGAGCTCCAAACAGCCATTTTTGATGACCTTAATCCGACTAAAGTCATAACTGAACTGAACAGAAATGGAATTAAGACGTGGATATGCAGATATTAGTGGCATTACTGAAGTAAACTCTACAATTAAACTATTACCGCCATGTAGAACTTTTCACCATATTTTCTGACAAGATCCACACATAACGAAATGCAGAGGTTTTTTGCTTTCCATTTGGCGTGCGTTATTAAATTTCGTAACACTCACCAGTCCTTACTCCTTATTTGCATCTAATACTCCAGTTTGTCACGGGGGCATGAGTGAAATGTTTATGAGCGAAAGTGAAACTGCTGAACTGCAGTTAAAGTCACCCAAAATTAGCATTGACACGTGAACAAAGAGTCAGAATATTCACATTTATTTATACTAAATTGTTTAATAATCCTTCTATCAAGATCCATTTTCATACCACATACATGTTTTTATGAATTTATTATGTCTCATATTGATACATCGAGCCCTTCGGTAATTTTCTTTGCTCAAAACTATTTAAATTTTTGTTATAAAAAAAGTGTCCCCATAACATTTTGACAAAATAGAACATTTCAGGCAGTTTGTCTCTGTTTATTTTTCTCTTATTTTGTCTCTGTCTTTTATTTCACTTTGTGAGAAGTGTGATAGCGGTTTCAGTGAATAATTCATGCAAAGACAAACCTTAAACCTTTCACAGTATGCATGTGAGAAGTGTTGGCTTTTTTAAGTTAATTTGCCCTTTAGGACTCCCATATCTATCATTTTGCTTTGACAAATGTAGCACAAAAAGTCCAAAAGCAAGGCATGTCAAGGTGCTATACTCGTTTAGTGAGGAAAACGAAATCATTTGGGGTAGGATGAGATGTAAATCTTTGTGACTCATTACATGCGTTTTATACTTTTACTACTTCATACTATTTCAGATGTGTTCAGAACTGCTAAATGTTTTTTGATTGAACTTTGACGCATGTTAACGAGGGAGCACACGCCTCGCCGTGATGACGTCAGCGCTGACGCGTTCACCCAGCGTCGAGTCTTCAGAGCTGAGGTGAGTCGTTGACGCTTTTTCTCGTGTTTACACAACAATAAAACACACTTTACAGTTTATTAAAGCGACAATCTGCGACTAGTTTCTGCATTGAGTTCACCTCTATCTGTGTGTCTGCCGACCAAAACAATACTGCAGGCAGAGAGCAGCTCTGAGAGGACAATATGAAGTGTTTGTGCCTTACTTTGTTAGTAACGTTTCATTTGTATTTGTAATATCGCAGAGTATGATCTGTGAATTGAAATAATGTGAATCTGCTGTGTCAGATATATGAAGTTTGATGCAGAAAACATTAAATTAGTAGTTTGTGGTGCGCTTTGTTTTTGAATATTTTGTAATTTATCAGTTCTGTAGATGTGCTAGAGCTAACAATCAAATTACTTTATTAGTATGAATACTTAAAACTAGATATTGATATAAATTTACATATTTTTGTAATAATTTATTACAATAGTGATTGTATTCTGATGCACATCAATATTCAGGTCTACAAATTCCCACATTAAGTTATTTGTACTTGTGTCAACTGACTTGAGCAAATTACATACTCAAATATTGTATTAACTACAAGATATAACATCATAATATAATTTAATCAGATTTCTCTCTTTATTCTTCTGAAGCTCTGCCGCCATCAGTGAAAGACAAATGCAGAGTTTATTGAAGGACAGTGAGAAGATGAGTGATCCAGAACCCTGCAGAATTAAACAGGAAGAGACTGAAGAACTAATAGGTTTGTGTTCATTCATTACTCTTCAATAATGAGGCAGAACAACAGTGAGGTTGTTTATCCAACATTCATCTTCGCTGCTGCATTGATTATAACTGGAGAAAACTGGACACTCACTGACCAAGTGCCAATTTCAGCTTGATAGTTGACCATTAAATGATGAGCAAGAGATTTTAAAAGGAAATATCTCAGTGGCTTAGAGTTTTTCAAAAGCCGGTAACGGCAAAAGATTCATTTGCACAGATATAGTCGAATGATTAAATCTTGAAAAAATGTTTTGGTACCAAGGCACAGAGAGCTGCAGAAGTGCTACTGTTTAGGATTAGAAAGCACAGTTGAATGCTAGCGTTCATAACTCAAGTTTGAAATGTTAAGAGCAGTGATGTGTCCTTCCATAAAGTCTGTTGTGGATCTCATACAGCAAGTGGTGTCCAAACAGCTCACACTCATTCAGCATATTTTCATTCAGAATGTTTTAAATGAAATTTGATACCGCTTGGCGAACGGAAAGAAAAACCATCTCGGGACTCACGTGATCCTTTAAGGTAATCAAAAATCGCTGTTTACATGGTCGACTCTTAATCAGTATTCTCTTAATCATCAAAGCGGAGTATTGGTTTCCATGTAAATCAAGTCCCAGATGAATTCGCAAGCTGTCAAAGACAGCCCATTTCTCCTCCTTTAAGCTGCATCCGTGAGCCCTCAAATGTTTTATTAAGTTTGATGTGTTTCCCCTCTTTTGTTAAGCATCTGCTTCACGTTCCTCTGTCAGAATCTTTGCTTGTAAAAGACAGCCATAGTTTAGATCGCTTAGTTCAAGCTAATTTGATGAACGCGATCGTGCTTGTTGATGAATCTGAAGTAGGGTTGGGCATCTAAGCTATAATGCCGATCCGATACGCATCTCGATACAAAGAATACGATCCGATATATTAGCGATACATTTGTGACATATTGCGATGCAACACGATACGATTCACACCCATATCACGATACGATGCGATATTTCAGCACTAACTAATTAGATCAAGTTTATGAGATGATGTGAAAGAGGATGCTGTGCCATTGAATGAGTTTGATTATTTATTAACCAAGCAAAACCAAGACTTTTTTTTACAAACTGGCTTTTCTCTCAGAGCCAGAGTGTCAGTTTACAGTAGAGGGACATTTTAGAACATACAGCACATATTATTCAAGTATTTTCAAGATAAACAGAATGTATAAGTGCAATATATATTAAAAAAATATGTATATATTTGCACTCTTTCAACATAAATAAATTTAGCATTGCACAACAAGAATTGTGATTTAACTTTTCAACTATGAAAACAAGTTTTACAAAGATATATTTTGCCACTGAATATTTAAAACTTAAGGTTGTGAACTAGCAGTGTTATGCTGCTTTGAAACATCACTGTCACTGTGAACAACAGGCTAATAAAAATATAACAAACCAGCAATCTTCTTGCTGTGAGGTGGTCAAACTACCCACTGTGCCACCGTGACACCCAATTATTTTTATCATTATTATTATTAATATTATTATTATAATTAAATAAAAATTAACAGGAGGAGGTGTTTAAAACCTTCGTTCTCCGTGACACTAGGCTGAATATCTTTGCAGATGAACAATGCAATAGCATTCGTTATTGGCGTAGAGCGAGCAGAACTGTTGCGCATGGAAAAAAAACTTGCAATGCTTTTCTCACCACTTTTGGAGCTGGTTGAAGCAGTGCGAAAGCCGGGGATGCAGAAACACTGGAAGATGCTTTCACAACAACACCGTGGCGCCGCTTCAAGTGAGATATCAGATTAGTCGTACTGCCCGCGTATTTTACAGATGCGCGGCACATTTTGCAAATTGCATCTGTCCTGTCATGTCGTCCATCCTTAAATCCATAATGTTGCTTGCCATACTTTAGATTTAAAACTCAGTGGGGAATAAAATGTTTGTTTTGCTTCTCGCGCTTTCTGAGGGCGCTCCACTAGCTTCATCCGCACACCTGATACACTGAGTTGTAGTGTGTGCACATCCGCAAATCCGTTGCTAAGGCTTACTTTATGTAGGTCGATTAAATTATGCGCCAAAAACAGGTTGACAACACTTGTTAATAAATAAAAAATACATTCTATATTAAAAATATAAGCTGTATCTCGGAAAATCGAGATGCATCGGTTTTTGCGAGATGCATCTCGATTTGCTTCCAAAATTTCATTCATCCTCTGCTGCTCAACCGATGCACTCGCATCGTGCACGCGCATGACCGCGTATCGATACATATCGGTTAATCTTCCCATCCCTAATCTGAAGGGATCCCTCTCGCTCACCAGCACTGCGTGCATTGTCTGTGTGTATGTGTGTGTTTTTGAAATTTAAATGGCGTTTACATGCCTGTGTTTTTATTTCTGTAATAAATACGGCGTTTCGTGATTAATCATGATTAATTACAAAAAAGTGTGATTAGTTGCGTTTTAAAACATTTGACCGCCCTAGTTTAAATATATTATTGCAGCCGTATTTAATAAAGAATTTCTAATAAACGTATAGTAAATAAACTATATTAAATAGTACATTGTTACATACTTTTTATTTATATTTTAACATATGCTGTATTAATTTTCAGATGTGAAGGTGAAGGAGGAGAGTGAAGAACTGAGTGAAGCTGAGGAGAAACATCATGTCAAGAGGGAAGAAGAAACTCAATCAGAGACTGAAGATAGTTTTGTAATAGAAAGAACAGTAAGTGGTTTCACCTGCGCTCAGTGTGGAAAGAGTTTCAGGCACAAATACCATCTCAAGCGTCACATGATCATTCACACTGGAGAGAAACCGTACCAGTGTTCACACTGCGACAAGAGATTCGGTGATTCAGGAAACCTGAATTCACACATGCTGGTCCACACCGGAGAGAAAACACACAAGTGTGATCAGTGCGGCAAAACATTTATGAGGTTTTCAGAGCTGAAGAGCCATCGAACAGTTCACACAAACAAAAAGCCGTACTCATGTTCTGAGTGCGGGAACAGTTTTAGTAATTGGTCAAATCTAAAAGCACATCAGAAGATCCACACTGGCGTGAGAGAGTTTGTGTGCTTTGACTGTGGGAAGAGTTTCATCAGAGCTGGAGGGTTGAAAAATCACCAGAGGATTCACACCGGAGAGAAACCGTACAAGTGTTCACACTGCGACAAGAGCTTCAATCAGTTACAAATATTGAAAGTACATAGGAGGACTCACACCGGAGAGAAGCCGTACACTTGTACTCACTGTGGGAAGAGCTTTAGACAATCGCCAAACTTTTATCGACACCTGCTGATCCACACTGGAGAGAAACCACACAAATGTGACCACTGCAGCAAAACATTTCTCTGGCCTTCAGAGCTGAAGGATCACCTCAGAGTTCATACAAACGAGAAGCCGTATGCATGCTCAGAATGTGGGAAGAGTTTCACTCAACAGTCAAATCTGAGACAACATCAGAAGATCCACGCTAGTGTGAGAAAGTTTGTGTGCTCGGAGTGTGGGAAGGCTTTTATTAAAGCCGTGAGTTTGAGACAGCACCAGACGATTCACACAGGAGAGAGACCGTACGTGTGTTTACAGTGCAACAAAACATTCAGAGATGCGGGATACCTGAAAGCGCATGAGCGGATCCACACTGGAGAGAAGCCGTACACGTGTACTCACTGTGGGAGGAGCTTTACAGTTTCATCATCTCTTAATTCACACATGCTGATCCACACTGGAGAGAAAACGCACAAATGTGATCAGTGCGACAAGACATTTTTGAGGGCTTCACAGCTGAAGAACCATCTTAGAGTTCATACAAAGTAGAAGCCTTTTCATTAAGAAATAGGTTTACACATCTGCAAAATTGACCTTGCTGAAAACTCTCTTCTGCATTCACAAACACAAGATTAATAATTAATAATTCCCTACATTTATACAGCACTTTTCTAAACACTCAAAGCGCTTTACAGAATTGGGGGATCTCCTCATCCAACACCAGTGTGCAGCATACATCTGGATGAGGTGACGGTAGCCATATTGCGCCAGACAGCACACCAGCTGATTGGTGGAGAGGAGACTGAGTGATGAAGCCAAATATGGTTAGGAGGCCATGATGGACAGAGGCCAGTGAGCAAATTTGGCCAGGATGCCAGGGTTAAACACCTTTTTTTGAAGGACACGCTGGGATATTTAATGACCACAGACAGTCACGACCTCGTTTTAACGTCTCATCCGGAAGACGGTGCTCACTGAGCAGTATAGTGTCCGCTTTACTATACTGGGGCGTTAGGACCCTAACAAACCGCAGGTTGAGCGCCTCCTGTTGGCCTCACTAACACCACTTCCATCAGCAAGCTAGCTTTCCCCTGTGGTCTCTATGCAGTCAATCTAGGGCCATATATAATTGCAAATTAAAAGAAGGTTTGCAAACAAAAAAATAAGTATTGAGCAAAAAATTTGAAATAAATGCAAATCTCCAAAATTTACAAAGCAAATATTAATTTTGGAGAAATAAAAATGTATTCTGCTAACAAAAATAAAGAACTGCAACAGGAAAATAAAATTTTTGAGAAACAAAAATTAAATTTGCAAAAAAAAAAAAATGGAAATAAAATTCAAACAGTGCAAAAAATAAATAAATAAATAAAATATTTGCAATAAAAAAAACAATATATTTGCAACACATTTTATAGCATTGCCTTTACAAAAGCCCAAGTTTTCTTGACTCCACCCTCTTGTCAAATCGGCCACAAAGTGAACCGCGCAAAAACGTGAAGTGCAAAGTGAAAACAGCATTCACAAACAGTTGACTAAAAAGCAAATCAAAATGAGCATTGCAACTGGACAGGTGTTCAAAAGGGAAATGCTATAAAAATGTTTTGCAAATATTTTATTTATTATTTTATTTCTTGTTTTTTTGTTTGTAAATTTAGTTTTTATTTCTCAACTTCATTTTCCCTTTGCAGTTCTTTATTTTTGTTTGCAGAGTGAATTTATATTTTTCCAAAATTAATGTTCGCTTTAAAATTTTAAGAGATGTGCATATATTAATTTATTTGTTGCTCAATACTTCAATTTTCTTTGCAAGTTTATCCTCTTAAGGCCCAAGCTGTTTTTTTTACATGCATTTTTTTGTTTTTCTTTGCTATTTGGACTTATTAGAACCGTAATAGAAGTATTAGTATTAGTATCATCTTTTGATATGATGTACTTTCAGAGAAAAATGATGTCCATATATGTGGACCCGTGGTCCGAATTGACATAAAACACTTTTTCCTGACTGTTTTTAATGCATATATAACAGAAATTATAACTTGCTTTGACTATCAGAGAGTAAAAACAAAAAATGTTCCCATTTTGGACAGTTAAAAATAAAGTTTGGGACTTTTCATATGCTGCAAACAGTTGCAGGATGACACTGTATGTCTGTAACAAAATATAAAGCATTCAAAGTATTTTAAACAGCCTCTTAAGAGCTAAAATTTGCTGTCCACATATGTGGACACTCAAGCCCTAGGGGGCTATTTGACCCTAGATTGACTCCATAGGTCACCCATCGAAGTACTGACTGGGCGCAGCCCTGCTTAGCTTCAGTGGGTGACTATGTGAGAGTTGCAGAGAGCGAAGACATCTTAAGGGTTGATGTAAACTAATAAGGTAAAAAAATCCAGCTGTGCTGCGGAAAATATAATATCTGTGACAAAATAAAAAAACGTTATAAAATATGTTGTCAATAAATGTGTCCACTACGGTTTTTATTTGATCAGTTTGTTTAAAAGCATGATGGTAAAACACAAACGCTGTTATGAAGGTATTAAAACGTGTGCTCGTGTGTTGTAAAAATTTGTACTATTTATAATAAAACCTTGAGAGCTTGCGAATCTAAAGGTGAACACTAGTGGAAATGTTACTTGTATGTGTATGTTGAAATCTGAAGTTATATCTGCATATCTTATGTGCATCGTTGACTTTTTTTTAAACTGTACAAATAATAAATAGTTATACAAAAGTATTTGCATTCACGTGGCTTTATTGGTTTATAAAAACCATAAACAGTGACGTCCTGTATGTTTATTACCATAAAAAAACATGTGGCAATTAATGTGCTAACTATTTAAGTTGGAGATAGCCTAAGAAAATAAAAACCTAGATGACTTAGTGCAGTGTTTCTCAACCACGTTCTGGGAGGACCACCAGCTCTGCACATTTTCCTGGTCTCTTTAGCCAAACACACATGTGATCATCAGCTGATTAGCAGAGACTGAGGGACCTGTAATGGGTGTGACAGACAAAAGAGACATTCAAAACCTGTGGTGTTGGTGGTTCTCCAGGAACATGGTTGAGAACATGTTTTTTTTTTTTTTTTGAGATGGTGAGCGATAGCGATATATATTTGTGGCACACTGCAAAAGCACTATAAAGACAGATTTTAACTATGGCTATTGGTTGTCTTTGAGTTGGACTTTTGTTTTTTTGTGTTGTTTAAAACAAATTTGTTCTTCTGGTTCAAAAATAATTTTTCAACTAAACGTCACGGCAATGCCCGTACACAGTGGCATCCCTGCTGAAAAATCCGGCTTAAACCAGCCTAGGCTGGTTGCCTGGTTTTAGCTGGTCGACCAGGCTGGTTTGAGAGAGGTTTTGGCCATTTCCAGGCTGGTTTCCAGCCATTTCCAGCCTGGTTTTAGCTGGTCAGGCTGGAAAATGACCAACTTTATCCAGCTAAAACCAGCTTGACCAGCCTGGTTTAAGCTGGATATAGCTGGTTTTGGCTGGGCTCCCTGCCTGGCTAGGCTGGTCAAGCTGGTTTTAGCTGGTCATCTCCCAGCCTGTAATTCAGTAATTCAGCCCATTAATTCACGAGAAAGCGCTGGTTCGATACAATCACTGCACACTATTATGAATAACATTAACATTTTTAATGATACAGATTATCCAAGGTTTTTATATATATATATATATATATATATATATATATATATATATATATATATATATATATATATATATATATATATAGTTTTATTTGTTTTAAGATGTTAATTTGTGTATATATAAATAAATATATATATATATATATATATATATATATATATATATATATATATATGTTTATAGTTTGTTTTATAATTGCATTTTGTTAAAATAATTAATGATTGTTTGAACGTAATAATTTTATATCTGTTTTATTTAATTTACATTTTATTTAAGTGCATTTTAACAACATTTTAGGTGTTTAATAAACAGCGCTTCACCCTACACGTGATTAAGACGGCTTTTTGTCTATATTTAGCGATTTTTTAAGCTGGATATAGCTGGTTTTGGCTGGGCTCCCTGCCTGGCTAGGCTGGTCAAGCTGGTTTTAGCTGGTCATCTCCCAGCCTGTAATTCAGTAATTCAGCCCATTAATTCACGAGAAAGCGCTGGTTCGATACAATCACTGCACACTATTATGAATAACATTAACATTTTTAATGATACAGATTATCCAAGGTTTTTATATATATATATATATATATATATATATATATATATATATATATATATATATATATATATATATATATATATATATAGTTTTATTTGTTTTAAGATGTTAATTTGTGTATATATAAATATATATATATATATATATATATATATATATATATATATATATATGTTTATAGTTTGTTTTATAATTGCATTTTGTTAAAATAATTAATGATTGTTTGAACGTAATAATTTTATATCTGTTTTATTTAATTTACATTTTATTTAAGTGCATTTTAACAACATTTTAGGTGTTTAATAAACAGCGCTTCACCCTACACGTGATTAAGACGGCTTTTTGTCTATATTTAGCGATTGTTTTTTTTTTTTTTGACGCGTTTTGTTGATCTTCCGTTGCTCTCGCCTCGCCGTGATGACGTCACCGCTGACGCGTTCATCCAGCGTCGAGTCTTCAGAGCTGAGGTGAGTCGTTGACGCTTTTTCTCGTGTTTACACAACAATAAAACACACTTTACAGTTTATTAAAGCGACAATCTGCGACTAGTTTCTGCGTTGAATTCACCTCTATCTGTGTGTCTGCTGACCAAAACAATACAGCAGGCAGAGAGCAGCTCTGAGAGGACAATATGAGTGAATGTGTTTGAGTTTTACTTTATTGGTACACTTTGTATTTGTAATATCGCAAATTATGATCTGTTATTTAAAATAATGTGAATCTGCTGTGTCAGATATATGACGTTTGATGCAGAAAACCTTAAATTCATAGTTTGGTGTGCATTATGTTTTAGGTTTTTGTGATTTCTCAGTTCTTTAGATGTGCTAGTGCTAACAACCGAATTACTTTATTGATATGAATACTTAAAACTAGATATTAACTTAAGTAAATGTATAATTTTGTTATAGTTACTCTCAATAGTGGCCAGTTTATTCTGCAAACTGTAAAATGAGCTGATCTGCTGCTCTTGACTGCCTGTTCAATGAGTGTTTATGGTCTGAGGCTCATCAGTATTCACATCTGCAAATCCCCCCATTAAGTTAATTGTATCGATGCCAACAGACTTGAGCAAATTACACAATCAAAAATTAGATATAACATTAAGATATGACATCATAATATGATTTAATCAGATTTGTCTGTTTGTTCTCCTGAAGCTCTGCAGCAATCGTGAAAGACAAAGACAGAGTTTATTGAAGGACAGTGAGAAGATGAGTGATCCAGAACCCTGCAGAATTAAACAGGAAGAGACTGAAGAACTAATAGGTTTGTGTTTATTCATTACTCTTCAATAATGAGGCTGAAGAACAGTGAGGTTGTCGTCTTTGCCGCTGCATTGATCATAACTAGAGAAAACTGGAGTTACCTCTTGTGTGTATTGCCGCCTCTTGTTGAATCGCTGAATGTCTCCACAATTCTAAGTCGCTTTGGACAAAAGCTCTGACAGAAAAAATATAGACAATTATAACTGACAGTCTCTATTTTGTTTTAAATCTCATTTTTTCATATGAGAAAGCCACCCTCATACCTGTCAACATTCGGATGTGAAAATAAGGGATATGCCCACCATGATAACACCCCCCTCCCACTTTAAAAAAATCTCTAAAATTACTAAATGTGTTAATTTGGAGCTGTTTCATTGTAAATAAACAGTTAAACGGTCAGTAATATGTTTTGAAATTATTATTAACAAAATAAAAATAAAAATATACATCAGCAAACAGTTCAGCTTATTAAAATGAATAGCTATTATAATGAAATAAAATCAAGCTATCATATCTCATTTACTTACACATTCTGATTTAAGAGCAACCAATGAATCTCATTTTTTTAAATTACATTAAATAAGAGGTGTCACTTGTAGTGGCAATTTTCTTTAAAGAGGCGTTCTCTGTGGTCAAGAAACAAAGTCTTACTCTGAATGTCTTTTTAAAGTTTTATTCTTTGCAAAGAAGGTCACAGTCATACAGCAACAACAGTTTCTGCAGAGTGAGACACTGAAGTCAAGTGTGTTCACCCTTTTATCTGGTTTTTACTGCTTACAAGGTCAAACCCTAATAATGCCCATTCTGACGACAGTTTCTACAGAATGAGACACTGAAGCAAAGTGTGTTCACTGTTCTGTCTAGTTTGTACTGCTTGCAAGGTCAAATCCTAATAAGGCCCATTCTGTACGTGCATCAGGTGCTCCGCTGTTTCTGCTGTAAGTTTCCACTACACATGTTTATCTAAAAATGAATTTCCATTACAATTCCTCTCTTTTTATCATTCATTGATAACTCATTATTAAATTCATTTTTCAATTGATTTCTAAAATCAAACTGGTTACAAAAATCACATTGGTTAATCATTTAACACTGGTTAATCATTTAACAGGTTTCTGCACACATCAAATACACTAGAGATGTTTAAACACTCATCTTAATATAGTTTCCCCATTAAGAGTTACCTTTCAAAACATCCCTCTTCCCTGGGAGCCGGGCTAAACGAATAATCACTGTTATTGCGCTCCTGACCGAAATCAGACCCTCAGTCACCCCTCAGAGGTTAAAATCACAGAAATTGCCTGTTATTTTCACATTATTGATTTGTTCACACAAAGAAATTCTGAAAGCATTTCTTCAATCAGTTAAAAAATTACTAACACTCTACATGATTAATTCATCAATAACACTCACAAACATATGAACACATTGTTGTTTCTGTACTCTTAAACATACATCACATTTACACTCTTCTCTCGATTTTCATGCAAATGATCACTCTTTTAAGACTTGTTACAGAACATACCAACTCATGCAGTTTGCTGTTTTTGTTTGGATAGACCCAAAATACATATAAGCAAGCAGATAGTTATCTCAAATTTCAAAAAGTCAGGTCCGTTAATATTTTCCCAATTAAGTAACAGCTGTCACCTAAAATTTTGTTCTCAATTTGTTTACGGTTTTTCTTTATCCATATCCATGTAGCTACTGTTATCGTCAAAGTCATAATCAAAATCATGACCCATGTCAACATTCATACCCTCTTTTTTAACCGCCATCTTTACCATCAGATGGGATGTTGTAGATGTAATCTGTCTGCCCACTGACCATGATACAAATCTGAATATACATGGCAGACAACATAATATCACTAGACCCACCCCCAATACAGGTAACACCACAGTAAAGGCCCAGTAGAAATAGTTTCCCCACTTAAATGACAGCCAATCTAGCCATCAGTTGTTAGCGTTCTTAGGCTCTTTTACGGCCATTCTCATGTCGGCTACAATGTCAGAAATGGTTTCCTGGAATCAGGTTAATGAAAACAACAGAACATTCAGTGATAATAATAGCAACATCAGTGTGATTTGTCTCAATCCACACACTCCATTGCCAGTTCCAGAGCAAGGAAGATGACGTAACATAATGTCAATGATAGTAACGTCAGCCACAACGTGGTTTTTTTTCAGCCGACACATACCTGGCACTCGGAATGGATGCCAGCGAATCTTTTCGTTCATCTTCAGATCTTTAATGCGATGGTCAATCACAGCTTATTCACCTCTCTTTTGGTCGCTTTCTTCTCCGTCTGTTTGCTGCTTGGTGTTGTATTCAGAAGTTACTGTCCCACACACACCTCTTGACCTTGTTGTTTCTCCCCAGCTGTGACCTTGCTTCACTCAGATAGCAGCCTGCTGTTTTCTTCAGACAGCTTCAGAGCCCCTCTTTCTCTCCTACTCCCTCGTGGAATCCTTCTCAGGAGATGGAACTTTCCAGCAGTGCCCAGCATGCACCCACGTCGCCCGCTCTGCGACCTTCACCGCTGTCTCAGTGGTCAGTAGCACTTGAAATGGACCCAACCAGAGTTTCGCTCTCCAGCTCTTTCTCCTCAGGTCCCTGATCACCACGAAATCGCCAGGCCTCAGACTGTGCAGTGGTCTCTCAGCAGCCTTCCCCTGTGCGGCCTTTACCGTGAAGTAATTTCGCATAATGTTGGAAGAAATGTTTTGGTAAACACGCCCTGCCCTCAGCACTCTTCCACACATTATCTTTCATCACACAGCCAGACTGTCTCCACTTGTTCTTCTCCAGCCCCGTCGCAAAGGTCTGCATGTCCTGCAAAGAAGAACACACGTCATTGTTATCACCAACAGATAGCAAAGAACATTCAGAGTTGTCCTTGTCTTGGGACGCCGCGACTTTTGCTGCTCCATCTGCCCTGGAGTTACCTACAGAAACATAATCTTTATTATTAGAGTGCGCTGCGCATTTACAAATGACCAGTTTGTCAGGTAGTAAAATTGCATCCAGCAGCGCTGCCACTAAAGGAGCATGGAGTATCGGTCGACCATCAGACTTTAGAAATTTTCTGTGTTTCCACAGAGCCCCAAAATCATGAGCTACCCCAAATGCATATCTTGAGTCAGTGTAAATTGTAGCCTCCTTTTCTGCCATCAATTTACATGCTTCTGTCAATGCCACAAGCTCTGCGGCCTGTGCAGAATAGTGCCCTGGTAATTTCCCAGAGGCCACCACATCAAATTCAGTTGTTACAGCGTAACCAACTTTATTCTGGCCTGTTTGTGGATCTTTAAATGCTGAACCATCCACAAAGAGGACATTGTCACAATTTTCAAGTGGTTCGTCAGAAAGGTCAGGTCGTGGCGAACACACCTGTTCAAGTGCTGTTAAACAACAATGATGCTCTTCCCCATCCTCCTCAGTAGGAAGAATAGTAGCTGCATTCAAACCAGTACATTGTTTGACAGTCTACCTCCATGGTCCTGTAGGAGCAATGACGTCATGAACCCACTCCTCTCATCTACCATCTGAACAAATGGTTTTGTTGGTACAGGTAAACCCAATGCAGGGGCTTCAGCCATTTGTAATTTCATGTTTACAAATGCCTGCTCTGCCTCTGTCGTCCACCGTAGTTTGTCAGTGGATTTCATTCCCTTCCCTAATGTTAGGGCTCTCAGGGGTTGTTCCAAAATTGCATAATTTGGAATAAATGTGCGACAATATGAGCACATACCCAAAAAAGACAACATTTGTTTTTTCGTTAGTGGTTTTGGTACATTTTTTATACCACTTACCCTTTTTTCAGAAAGAGATTTGCTGTGTGGTGTAATGACGTGCCCCAAAAAAGTTACCTTTTGTTTAACAAACTGCAATTTTGTCAAACTGACCTTGTGGCCCTCCTTAGCCAAATGCCTAAGGAGAGTCACAGTGTCTTTCACACACATCTCTTCATTCTCAGCACATATCAACAAGTCATCAACATACTGTAACAAAGCAGTTCCAGCTGTCAGGGTCAAAGGTTCCAAACTTCTTAACAACGCTTCGTTGTATAAAGTGAAACACACCTGACACAGACGTGTAAAGGTGTTGCCTTTGCCATTAAAATTAAATTCAAACCAAAACTGGCTGTCTTTGTCCACTGGCACACTGAAAAATGCATTAGCCAGATCAACAACTGAATAGAATTGTGATTTTTCAGGAATTTGTGACAAAATTGTGTACGGATTTGGAACTAATGGAGCCCTTTGTTTGACAGCTGCATTTACTGCTTGTAAATCCTGTACGAAACGCCATTCAGTAGGCATCCCATTATCCCTTATCTTTTTAACAGGAAAAATAGGGGTATGAACCTCAGAATTGTTGCATGGTACAATAACGCCCTGTTCCAGTAAAGCCTCAAATACTGGGGTAATGCCCTCAATGGCTTCCCTTTTCAAAGGATATTGTTGTTGACAAGGTCTGTGATCAGATTATGCAGTGATCACAACCTTTGATTAAACCAACATCATACTTGCTTTTAGCCCATAATTCACTTGGTATTTCTGCTAAAGCTGGGTGTATGTCTGCAGCGTTAAAGTCAACCATGCAAGAATTCTTTACGCAAAGTTTGTCAATCGCAGTCACAGTTCTTGAAACAGCTGTTTCAGTTTCACTGTCCACCCTAAAGGCCTGCGAGAGCGCGCTTCAACACACTGCTTCACAAACGGCGTAAATCAGCCCAAGACTGATGTTTACCCTCGGAAACTGATATGTGAGGCACAGCCTGTGCTGACATGAGATAGAATGAACGCTGCTTTTCTGACAGAGACACTGAAACTGCACACAGATTATCCTTCCAGTACATTTTCTCTAAAATCAAAGTTTCATTCACATTTGCCTCAAACCAAGCCTTTTCAAACTCTGCATCCCTATCAGTTACGACATGTGACGTACAATGCAGTTCACCAGGAGACATTATATCCCTGTGAAAAGGTTTTACACGTTCTTCAGCCAATTTGCAAATTGAATTAGCCCACTCATTGTTTTCAACCAGCCATTCATAAGCCCACTTCGGTGCTTGTGATTCAATTTGTAAACAACAAAATTCCTCTCCTTCAATCACTCTCACACCAGTGGAATCTGCTGTTAAAATCAAGTTTAGTTTACACAAAATGTCCCTTCCGAGGATAGGAAAAGGGCATTTTGGTGAACAAACAAATCCATTTCTGAAAATTTTACCCCCCTCTGTCTCATAGGTCAGCGGAGCTGTAAATCGCTCAACCACTGTATGACCAGATCGAGACAGAGACTTGTGAAATTTGTTTGTTAAAGGTATTTCACACTGCAGGTCACATGGTCGTATGCAAGATATGGCAGCTCCACTATCAGCTAGAAACTCAACCAATGTATTCTCAATCAACATAGAATATTTTGGCATATTTAAAAAAATGCTTCACTATTAAAAACAATGCCAAATTTACAGTGGGAAATGCAAGCTTTTCCTTCATTGCAGAGAGCCAGTTTGTCAGTGTATGTGAATATGTGTGTATAAAAATGTGTCTGCATTTAAACATGTTAGTAAAAAAATGTTCACTTCCCTTTACTGTAGCTGTTGGCTGTTTGCCCAGACCCTCTCTATTCTGCTCTTCCCTCTCCGCACATCAGCTCCTCGTTGTTGGTTAGCGCCTTTCGGGTCAATCCTTAACCAAAAGTCCATCTCGGTTGCAAGCGCAGACATTTGGTACCGGTTCACATCACGTGCACGACAGGCTCTGCAGGTTTCATCGCCATACGTCACATTCCAGTTTCATCGCCATACGTCACATTCCAGTTTCTCCATCTTCTGGTATCTTTCTCCCCCTTGACACCTTTTTCACCTTTGAACTTGTGGTATTTTTGGTTGTCAGGTCTTGGTTGGATCTCTGGTTGGCCACTTGTACCAGAGCCATGTGCAGCTCGTTTTCTGCTTTCTTCTTGTCTTACTCTTGCTTCACTGTCAGCTTGTCTTCAGCATGTTGACCACACAGCAGAATGTTCATTAAATGTCCATTTCTCCAGTTCAAACCGATGTCCTCCACTCGCTTAAGGTAGGAATTTCGTTGGTGCGGTCGGAGGTCTTCTGGGACAGTAGCAGTTGAGGTTTGGGTCAGTTCTCAGGGCTCGCAGCTCAGCCACGGGATAGTGATGGTACGGCGGTACATGTATGGAAACAGATGTATAGAAAGGATTAGTGGTGCTAATTAATCTTTCATTCACACATTCACATTTTTCTTTCACTTTATCTCCTTCATTCTTTTCCCTACATGCCAGCTGCCTCTGCAGCATTTTCCTCTTTGCCTCTTATCTGCCTCCCTGAGCCAACAATCAACAGTGTCTCCACACGACACGCACATGCCTTTCCCAAAGACAACCTGCTTTTCCTTCTGCCTTCTCATCTGCTTTTTCATTATGTTTAACCTAGTAATACTCAACATTCCTTTTCCCTTAGAAACTTGTGATACCTTATTGTTTTCCTATCTCTTGCATGCTTTTTTCTATTTTTTTCTTATTCCGTATAAATTTCCCATATTCCAAAACACCGGTGTATCATATCTTTTTATTTTGCTTTGAGACTTCCCCATGCTGGCAACAATCTTTCCCCTGGACTTTTTCGGTACCTATTAATCTGTCGGACGTCTCCAACAGATTTCGATTTTTCACCTAAAATCGAAAAGTTAAGCTTTCCAGCTCTAATTTTGTGGCCCCCAATTTCAACCCCCTTTTAGAAGTAAATCGCTTGGCCCCTGATTTCAACCTCCTTCCGGAAGTAAATCGCACAGCCCTAGATTTCAACCTCTTTTTGGAAGTAAATCGCACAGCCCCCTGATTTCAACCCCCTCCCGGGAGTAAATCGCAGTTAGCTAGCCAAACGTGTTAAAAAGGTCTTGAACTTAGTCAGGCGCCAGATCTCACTTGTGTAAGGTCTTGATCTCAGCTAAACGCCAGATCTCACTTGTAAAAAGGTCTCGATCCCCACCTGATGTCAGATCTCACTTGCATTAATCACGCTGCTATCCCACAGAGACAGATCTACCAGCATGGTGATGGCCCAAATTACAGTGAAAAACCCTTTTAATTGCCTAATCAAATGCCCAAAACTGTTCAATTTTCTTTTAGTAACAAACAAAGAATTTGTCTCTTACCAGAGAGTTCAGATGCCACTTGAGTTCTTTTTCCCAGATGTCAGTGGGGTTCCCCTCCGAGCCCTGCGGTCGGCCCCTCAACCCTCAATCGAGCGGGGCAGGGCTGTGACACGAAGTCCCAGGATGATCAGTCACCGTCCGCAGGGTCCGGAAAAGTTCCTCCATGACATCCCACTATTCTGACACCAAATTGTAGTGGCAATTTTCTTTAAAGAGGCGTTCTCTGTGGTCAAGAAACAAAGTCTTACTCGGAATGTCTTTTTAAAGTTTTATTCTTTGCAAAGAAGGTCACAGTCATACAGCAACAACAGTTTCTGCAGAGTGAGACACTGAAGTCAAGTGTGTTCACCCTTTTATCTGGTTTTTACTGCTTACAAGGTCAAACCCTAATAATGCCCATTCTGACGACAGTTTCTACAGAATGAGACACTGAAGCAAAGTGTGTTCACTGTTCTGTCTAGTTTGTACTGCTTGCAAGGTCAAATCCTAATAAGGCCCATTCTGTACGTGCATCAGGTGCTCCGCTGTTTCTGCTGTAAGTTTCCACTACACATGTTTATCTAAAAATGAATTTCCATTACACACTTTAAAAATGGACACATCTAACAATATAATGAAAGCATTCGACTGCTTTCCTAACTTTTTATGCTCATTTTAGAGGAAATTAGTTGTGTTTGGGGAAAAAACCCCACCAAGATCGACATACTTATATGTTGTTGTTATTATTAATTGTGTGTGTATGTCTGTTTCAACACGCACCCATTAGCCAGATTCCCTTTCGCATCAAATCGCATGTACAGAATCCGTTTAGGAAACAGCGTCTGTTTATCACTAGCCCCTTTCACACATACAGACCTTTCCGGAAAATTGCCGGCAATAAGCGCGTGCACGTCTAGAACGTACTGATGTGAGACGTCTGCTTTAGCCAATCACAACAGTCAGGCGCATTTACGTCCGCGCGGTTTGTGAGAATAAAAGCCTTTGAATATTTTTCCAGACACATTTAGCTGCTAGAAGTTCGTCAGATCACGTTTATATGTTCTTCTTAATGCCAACTGTGTAAATAATCATCGATGAGATGCTTATGATAAGCCGTTGTTTGTTTACCTTCAAGCTTTGCGTGTGCCTGTGAAACAGCCTGTGAGCGCCTGCACACGCACATATTATGAACATCTCGACATGCGAAAGTGATCCTGAGAAAGCTGTTCACAATATTGATCATCCACAGAGTTTGTAATTTAGTCAAATGTTGACAAATACAAGCGCAGCCGTTTAAAGCTCATTTGTGGTGAATGATGTCAGAATTTACCGGTATTTTGGAATGGATGTGTGAATGCTCTTTTCCGGAAAATTTCCGTAACGTCCTCGCCTGTGTGAACAGCGCTTTTTTGAATATACCGGTAAAGTCGTTCCGGAAGTTTTCCAGATAATTACCGGTATCACTGTGTTAAAGGGGCTACTATGAAGTGTGTCAGCTGACAGTCACGCACTGCTATATGACTGTTTTGAGGATTGTATAGGAGGGGTGACTGCATCTGTAATCAAAAGGAAATGGAATTCTGTTGTTTTTAATATTTATAAGTGTTTTCATTCCTAAACAAAGCGAAAGCACAGAAGACTCATGTTTTAGAGCAATGGGCGACCCCTGGTGGTTCGGCAGTATGGGTTGTGCAAAGGGAGGCTCGTTTATTCAGAGAAAGACTGAAAATATTGGAGAAATACAGGAAAATTTACGGGATGATAGCGGGATAGAACAGTAAAATACAGGAGAATCCCAGGAAAAACGAGAGGGTTGACAGGTATGATATATGCTATGGTAAACTAGCCTCTTATAATGTAACTTGTTCATTTTCAGATGTGATAGTGAAGAGTGAAGATGAGGAGAAACATCATGTCAAGAGGGAAGAAGAAACTCAATCAAAGACTGAAGATCATTTCTCAGTGATGAGTACAGCTGTAAAGGGTGTCATCTGCCCTCAGTGTGGAAAGAGTTTCATACATCAATGTAGACTCAAGCGTCATATGCTGATCCACAATGGAGAGAAACTGTTCACATGTACTCTGTGTGGGAAGAGCTTCAAACAGTCACCAAACCTTTATCGACACATGCTGATCCACACTGGAGAGAAAACACACAGATGTGACCACTGCGGCAAACCCTTTTTATGGCCTTCAGAGCTGAAGAAACATCTTGAAGTTCATTCAGTTGAGAAGCCGTATTCGTGTTCAGAGTGTGGAAAGAGTTTTAGACAGCCGTCAAATTTAAAAAAACATCAGAAGATCCACGCTGGTGTGAAAGAGTTTGTCTGCTTTGACTGTGGGAAGAGTTTTATTAGAGCTGGAGGCTTAAAGCGTCACCGGATGACTCACACTGGAGAGAAACCGTTCGAGTGTTCACACTGCGACAAAACATTCGCTCATTCAGAACATCTGAAAGCACACGAGAGGATCCACACCGGAGAGAAACCGTTCACATGTGCTCAGTGTGGGAAGAGTTTCAATACATTCGGAGGCTTGAAACAGCACAGGAAGATTCACACGGGAGAGAGACCCTACGTGTGTTCACACTGCAACAACACCTTTATTCATTTAGCACATCTGAAAGCGCATGAGCGGATTCACACTGGGGAGAGGCCGTACACGTGTGCTCAGTGTGGGAAGAGTTTCAGAGTTTCATCATCCCTTAGTGAACACATGCTGATCCACACTGGAGAGAAAACACACACATGTGATCAATGCGGCAGGAAATTTTTGAGGTCTTCACAGCTGAAGAAACATCTTAGAGTTCATACGAAGGAGAAGCCTTAGGTATGTTCTTTAGGAAACAGTTTTACACTAGGGATTCATTTTAAACTACAGGTATTGGGGAAACACTCGTCACTACATCGTTTTTTAGTTCAGCCGTGAGTTACGTCGTTGTTTGGGAAACGCACCCTAGAGTTACTGGTGATCAAAAAAGTAGGCGCAGTAGGTAGTGCTGTCGCCTCACAGCAAGAAGGTCGCTGGTTCAAGTCTTGGCTCAGTTGTAGTTTCTGTGTGGAGTTTGCATGTTCTCTCTGCGTTCGCGTGGGTTTCCTCCGGATGCTCCGGTTTCCCCCTCAGTCCGAAGACATGCGGTACAGGTGAATTGGGTAGGCTAAATTGTCTGCAGTGTATGAGTATGGTGTGTATGGATGTTTCCCAGAGATGGGTTGCGGCTGTAAGGGCATCCGCTGCGTGAAAAAGCGCTGGATAAGTTAGCGGTTTATTCCGCTGTGGTGATCCCGCATTAATAAAGGGACTAAGCCGATAAGAAAATTAATTAATGAACGAATGATATATATATATATATATATATATATATATATATATATATATATATATATATATATATATATATATATATATATATATATGTATATATATGTATATATATGTATATGTCACATTTTGTCTTAAAGCTAAATAATAATAACTAGGCCCACACGGAATCTGCGCATGCAGAATTCCGCAGATTTCTGCAGATTTTTAGCCTGTCATTAATTCTGTTTATTTACTTGAGTAAATGTGTAAATCTGAGTTTATTCAGTTTTTATTCAGTAATTTATTACTTTTTATTTAATTTATTAAGGTTTTAGTTATGATACTCGCTGGATACTCCCAAAATAATTTCACAGAAATCCGCAGATTTTTACCAAAATTCTCCGCAGAATTAGCAAAAGACGTCCGCAGATTCCGTCTGGCCCTGATAATAACATGTAAAGCATCTTGTAAAACCTTTTAAATGATTTCTTATCATGGGGAATTATCTGGGGAAACATCATTTAGAAACAGGTAATTTAATAATTATATAAACATATTATTTGAACCCCCTCCCCCCCATGGGTGTGTGTATGTGTGTCAGCCAAGAGGTATTGTTTTTAAAATGTAAGTGTATTTATTACCACGTTTTAGGTGTCTAATTAAAATCAAAACTGGTTAAATTAAATGTCTTTTGTCAACATTAGTAATTTTTTTGGCTGGTCAGCGGAATCTAATTCGGCACGTTTTTTTTTTTTTTTTTTACGAATCTCTCTTTTTTTATTTATTTTTTTATTGCATAACCATCAGGAACAAACATACAGTTGAAGTCAGAATTATAAGCCCCCCTGAATTATTAGGCACCTATTTTTTTCCCTAATTTCCATTAAACAGAGAGCAGATTTTTTCAGCACATTTCTAATCATAATAGCTTTAATAACTCATCTCTAATAACTGATTTATTTTATCTTTGCCATGATGACAGTAAATGAGTATTTGATTAGATATTTTTCAAGACACTTCTCAACATTTAAAGGCTGCTCTAGGTTAATTAGGTTAACTAGGCAGGTTAGGGTAATTAGGCAAGTTATTGTATAACGATGGTTTGTTCTGTAGACAGTCGAAAAAATAGCCTCAAGGGGCTAATAATTTTGTCCTTAACTGATTTTTTTCCAGCCGAAATCAAACAAATAAGACTTTCTCCAGAAGAAAAAACATTATCAGACATACTGTGAAAATTTCTTTGATATTAAACATCATTTGGGAAATATTTAAAAAGAAAAATACAACACAACTTTAAAATATGAAACATAAAAATGGTAAAAAAAACAAAAAAAATACATTAATTTAATTACACAAAGTTTAATGTACAGCATTTTTACATCCAATGATTTTAAGAATTGACAGGGGAATAAAAAAAAGTGTCATAATAATTGATGCACATCTCAGATTTTTTGCTTTTCACAGTAGAAATAAAGAAGTAATGAAGGAGATGATTTAGTGTAGCAGCACGGCACTTACTAGCAGGCCTTCGTTACATTAGCAAATTTCTGTTTGTGTATGCAAAACTGCCAACAAAATAAAGAGATTAACAATATAATCAAGACATTTGTTAGATTTGTCATAATAAAAATAATATATTTTATTGTCAAATAATAAGCAAGTTTTGTCTTTTTAAAAATATATTTGGCTAGATCCTACCAGAACTTGTTTAAAACATTGCATTCAAAAAATAAATGACAGAGTCTCTTTTTCCACATTGCAGAAACCACAGAGATCCTCCATTTCAGTGTACTTTCATAAAAAAATTTACTGGGTAAATTGTATGCAATATTTTAATATGAATTTCCTTAATTTTATTATTAATAGTGTAATTGAAGGGAGTTAACCAGACTCTTTTCCAATTAATATTAGCTATAGTAGAGTTCCAGAAAAAAATTGCCTCTACACTGAAATTAATTTATTGAAATATGATTCCTTGGATTTACTCATTTTTATTTAATGTTAAGTGGTGTAACCAATTTATTTGGGCTGAATTTAAACAAACAAATTAAGTTGAACATTATTAAATGTAATTTGTATGTTTAAATTCAACACAAAAATTCTGCATGCAACACTTTTTTTCCTATATATAGGAGTAATCTTATTTTGCTTATGAAAAATATTCCGAATATGTTCGTTAGTACATTTTTTTTTATCAGTCAGCTCAACGCCTTCTAGATGTACTTTTGGGTTTACAACAGATGGAGGCTTTTTACGATTCTCTTTTTCGCCCGCCTCGCCGTGATGACGTCAGCGCTGACGCGTTCATTCAGCGTCGAGTCTTCAGAGCTGAGGTGAGTCATTGACGCTTTTTCTCGTGTTTACACAACAATAAAACACACTTTACAGTTTATTAAAGCGACAATCTGCGACTAGTTTCTGCATTGAGTTCACCTCTATCTGTGTGTCTGCTGACCAAAACAATACAGCAGGCGGAGAGAAGCTCTGAGAGGACAATATGAGTGAAGTGTTTACTTATGTCAGTGTTGTCACAGTCGACTCTTAAGCTTCAACAAGTTTTTTTCACGAGTTAGTAATATAGCAAAATATGACATGTGACGAGAAATAATGGGAATATTGCGGCAGATATATGAACTTTGAAGCTGAAAACATTTTACAGTATGTGGTGTTCTTTATTTTCTGCTGAAAACCCAAGTTAAACCAGCCTAGGATGGTTGGCTGGTTTTAGCCGGTCGACCAGGCTGGTTTTAGAGGAGTTTTGGCCACTTCCAGGCTTTTTTCCAGCCTGGTTTTAGCTGGACAGGCTGGGAGATGACCAGCCTAGTCAGGCTCGGAGCTCAGCCAAAACCAGCTATGTCATCCTAAACCAGGATGTTCAAGCTGGTTTTAGCTGGTCACTTTCCATGCTGACCAGCTAAGACCAGGCTGAAATTTAAAATGGCTGGAAACCAGCCTGGAAGTTGGCCAAAACCCCCCTTAAACCAGCCTGGTTGACCAGCTAAAACCAACCAACCATCCTAGGCTGGTTTAAGCTGGATTTTTCAGCAGGGTTTTTGTTATTTCCTAGTTTCTGGACATAAACGTGCTACTGTTAACAATCTAATCACGTTATTAATGTGAACGCTTAATGTTTGAACTATGATATGATTGTAAAAATATTTTATTATTAATTACAGCAGCCATTCATTCATTTAACCATTGAAGTCTGCAAACACTCAGTATAAATGAGCTGATCTGCTGCTGATCCAGGATGGGTGTTTAATGAGTGTTTATAGTCATATATTCACTTAATTCATATTAATAATGTCCCCATATCTTCAAATGGCCACATTAAGTTTATATTAATGGTGTCAGCTGACTAAAGCAAATCACATGTTGTATCACCTATAAGATTTAACATCATATTATTTGTTCAATCAGTCAGTGTAAATGAATCGGATTTCTCTGTTTATTCTCCTGAAGCTCTGCTGTCATCAGTGAAAAACAAAGACAGAGTTTATTGAAGGACAGTGAGAAGATGAGTGATCCAGAACCCTGCAGAATTAAACAGGAAGAGACTGAAGAACTAATAGGTTTGTGTTTATTCATTACTCTTCAATAATGAGGCTGAAGAACAGTGAGGTTGTTAATATTTAAGCACTTCATCAGTTTAATACTTTTTTTTTTCATAGTAGTTTTTATTTTAACAGTTAACAGATTATGGGACCTGCCTAAATTAACTTTACATCTCAAACATTATTTTAATCAAGTAACATTAAGCAGCATCAATTATAATAAAGTTTTATTGACAGTAAATGAGTTGAGATATATTGTATATAGGCCCCTATAGATCCGCACCTACAAAGTTAATGTAATGCTGTATATCAGTGGTCCTCAACCACTGGATGGCTGACCAGTACCAATTGGTGAATCAGTAGTACCAGGCCGCATATATATATATATATATTTTTTTTTTTTTATTATTAGAATATGCAAAAATCATACAAATACAAGAAAAAAAATCAACAAATAACAAATACAAAGCAACAAAACAAAAACAACAACAATATAGTCATGTACTGGTATGTGCTTGAGTGTGTGAGTGTGTGTATGCATGTAAAGGTAACTTGGTGGACAGGTCAGAGTACATACATAAGGGACAATGACAGTCAATAAATGAAGCAAGTGTCACAGATATAGATAAAACGTATAGAAAGAAACCAGTCAGGGGTAGGGAGTAACAACAATGCTTATTAATGTATGATAGTAAAAATGAGAAAAAGAAAGAAAGGACAACAGTAATAACTGACAACAATAATAATAAATAACAAGTGCTACACCAACTACTACTACAGAAAGTTACTTATTTTACAACTACTACTGCTTCTACTACAGCCACAACCACGACTACTACTACTATGTCTACTAATACTGATACTACTACCACTACTGATACTACTATAGCGTTTGCTACAACTAATATAACAACGTCTACTGCGACTACTACTACTACTACTACTACTACTACAATCACTTCTACTACATCTACATCAACAACATCTACTACTGATATTACTACACCAACAACGACTACTACTACTACTGTAACAACCACACCATTACTACTTCTGCTACTACTATACCAATGACATCTACTACTACATGAACTACTACTTCAATAATCTCCGTAACAATTACTCAATAACAATCGATACTATTACAATGTCTACTACTTCAACTACTACTACTACTACAACTACTACCGTTACAACTACAACAACTGCAACCTTACTAATGATAATGGTATAAATACTTGTAATAATGATAATGGAAAGATAACCGGACAAGTCAGAACAGTAATAATAATAATAATGATTACAAAAAATAAAAGTAATACCATTTATGACAAAGGTGTCGAGGAGAGGGGAGGATGGGAAATCAGGGAGAGGACAAGTAATAATAATAATAATAATAAATAATAATAATAGTTGTAAGTAGAAGGGGAAAGAGAGGAAAAGAGAAAATAAACTAATAATAATAAACAAAAATTAATAAAATAATAATAATAAAAAAATAAATAAAAAAATAAAATAAAACAGAAAAGGAAGGGCCAGCATATTTAGTGATGTGTCGTTCATGAAGGATTCGTTCATTTTGAACGAATCTTCAATATGACTCGGGAACTACGAGTGCTCTCAGGGAGTGATTCGTTCATCAGCGCGTGCGCACATTTGTGCAGCTGGTATCGTTCATTTCAAGTCTTTTGTGTCGTTCATCGCAGAAATCCAGAAGCCAATCATATGCGTTTAGAGCCGGAAAAAGAATTGATCCGTTCATCTCTCGAGTTCTCTGTCGAGTCTGAGTCGTTCATTCATCATGGGCCAATCATATGCGTTTAGAGCCGGAAAAAGAATTGAACCGTTCATCTCTCGAGTCCTCAGGTTTGAGTCATTCTGATGAACGAACAACTTAAGAACCAAAAGATTCGAAAGGTGAACTAATTATCATGGCTCCTATCGGCTTAGACTGTGCATTGATTAAGATTATATGTGACTGTCAGTGTAACGTGAATGAAGCCCTGACATTTGAAGACATGAAGAGGTGAGCTGAGCAAAGAGACAACAACACCTTCATAGACAAAAGAGCAGGTAAACATTGAATGATTATTTTCTTCTTCGTATAGTATTCTATTTATGACTTATTTGTCGTGTGATCAACCTTTTGGGCTAGCTGTAGATGTGTTTGGAAGCAATTCGTAACATTTTAATAATATTTTGGCAAATTGAACCAAATAAACGAAATGACTCGAAAAAAGATTCGTTCATCTCAATGAACGAGACTCAAAGATCTGAGTCAGTAAAATGATCTGAACTTCCCATCACTATAATAAATCATTGATTGGTTTAGTTTTTTTTTTTTTTTTATTATCCGAGCCTGAACCATCATTTGTTTTGAAAAATCTTTTTTTTTTTTTGAAGAAGAAGGACTTCATTATATGATTGTTACATCATAGTCACATGTGCACCCAAATTTAACCCACAAACAGCAAAATCAGCAAGAAAGTTTCTTTGATTATTTATGATTATGGAACTCGCCTCTTTTATTTTTCAGATGTGATGGTGAAGGAGGAGAGCGAAGAACTGAGTGAAGATGAGGAGAAACATCATGTCAAGACTGAAAATGTTACTCGCACGAAGACTGAAGATAGTTTTGTAATGGAAAGAACAGCCGTGAAATGTTTCACCTGCACCCAGTGTGGAAAGAGTTTCAGCCACGAATGCTATCTCAAGCGTCACATGATGATCCACACTGGAGAGAAACCTTATCAGTGTTCACACTGCGGCAAGAGATTCAATAATCTAGGAAACCTGAGAACACATGAGATGGTCCACACTGGAGAGAAACCCTTCAAGTGTTCATATTGCAACAAGAGCTTCAATTGTTCAGGAAACCTGAACAAACATGAGAGGATCCACACTGGAGAGAAAACACACAGATGTGATCAGTGCAGGAAAACATTTTTGAGTTCTTCAGATTTTAATAAACATCTTAGAGATCATACAAAGGATAAGTCCTATTCATGTGCAGAGTGTGGAAAGAGTTTTACAATAATGTCCAGTTTAAAAAAACATCAGAAGATCCACAGTAGTGTGAGAGCGTTTGTGTGCTTTGGGTGTGAGAAGACTTTTAGTAGAGCTGAAGGTTTGAAGCTGCACCAGAGGATTCACACTGGAGAGAGACCGTACAAGTGTTCACACTGCGACAAGACGTTCAGACGGTTACAAACAATGGAAACACACAAGAGGACTCACACTGGAGAGAAACCGTTCACATGTACTCAGTGTGGGAAGAGTTTCACCCAATTATCACACCATATAGGACACATGAGGATCCACACTGGGGAGAGACCGCACAAGTGTGATCAGTGCGGGAAAACATTTTCGAGGCCTTCAGATCTGAAGAGACATCTTCGACTTCATACAAAGGAGAAGCCTTATTCATGTTCTGAGTGTGGAAAAAGCTTTTCTCAGCAATTCCATTTTAAAACGCATCAGAAGATCCACACTGGTGTGAGAGAGTTTGTGTGCTTTGCATGCAAGAAGAATTTTTTTACATTAGCAGACTTGAAGAAGCACCAGAAGATCCACACTGGAGAGAAACCGTATGTGTGTTCACACTGCAACAAGAGATTTACTCATTCAGGACCTCTGAAAGCACACGTGAGGATTCACACTGGGGAGAAACCGTACAAATGCACTCAGTGTTGGAAGAGTTTTGCTCGATCATCAACCCTTAATGAACACATGAAGATCCACACTGGAGTGAAAAAGCACAAATGTGATCGGTGCAGCAAAACATTTTTCAGGCCTTACGAGCTTAAGAAGCACCTTGATCTTCATACTGAGCAGAAGCTTTAGTCCTGCATTTAGATCTGAGTGCTGCATTCGATACTAAATGTCACAGTATATTGTTGGACAGACTTCACTAGTGGATCTGTTTATCCGGAACCGTGTTTACATCGTATCTTTCTGTGTGCCTTTGCGTCAGGGTGTCCCACAGGGATCAGTTCTGGGTCCACTTTTATTTAGTATTTATATGCTTCCTCATGGGGTGGCACGGTGACTCAGTGGCTGGCACTCACTACAAGGTCACTTGTTCGAGTTCTAGCTGTGCCAGTTGGCATTTCTGTGTGGAGTTTGCATGTTCAGGTGTGTTTGATCAGGGTAGGAGCTTAACTCTGCAGGAAGGTAGATCTCCAGGAACAGGGTTGAGCACTCCTGCCGTGAAGTGTAGGTCTTCAATTCCTGGAGGGCCGCAGCTCTGCACAGGTTTGCTCTAGCCGTAATCAAACACAGCTTATCTAAATAATCAAGGTGTTCAAGAAAAGCTGCGTAGATCTGTGGCCCTCAAGGAATTAAGTTTGACACCTATGCCCTAGAGTGGTGGTGTCCAGACTCGTATCTTGGAGAGATTAGCTCCAACTGTAATCAAACATACCTGAACCAGCTAATCAAGCTCTTACTAGATATACTAGAAACATTCGACCAGGTGTGTCGAAGCAAGTTGGAGCTAAACTCAGCAGGACACAGCCCCCACCAGGATTGAGTTTGGACACCTCTGCCCTAAAGCAAGGGTGTCCAAACTCTGTCCTGGAGGGTCGGTGTCCTGCATAGTTTAGCTCCAACTTCCTCTAATACACATGCCTAGAAGTCTAGTATACCTAGAAAGAGCTTGATTAGCTGGTTCAGGTGTGTTCAAATGGGGTTGGAACTAAAATAAGCAAGACACCGGCCCCTCCAGGATCAAGTTTGAACACCTCTGCCCTAGAGGTTTGTTCATGCCTTCATCACATCTCATCTTAATATTTGTAAATCTCTTTTTTGGGGTTTGCCAGCTACTTCTGTTAGGAGGTTACAGTACATTCCAAACTTTGCTGCATGTGCAGTACCAGAGGTGTGGTGAAAAGAGTACTCAAAAAAAATTGTACTCGAGTAAAAGTACCATTACTTGCCCAAAAAATGTGGAGTAAAAGTGGAGTAAAAGTATCTGTTGTAAATATTACTCAAAGTATGAGTATAAAGCAGCCCTTTAAAAAGTACTCAAGACACTCTCGTTACACTCTGAACAACTGATGCGTTGCATGCTATTTGTGTGTTTGAAAACGTAACATTCTGTAGTGCATTTAACGATTGTTAAAGGCAATTTGGGGATATTAGTCGTTATATAGTCGACATTTTCTCCATCATCTCTTGGTCACTGTGTGAGATGATTTTGAGTCTTCTTGGACACTTTCAATGCTTCATGCACTGTACATGTTAGCTGCATTTATAAAGCGCTCATGTCTTGTCTCACAAATATTCAAGAGTTCACACTTAGCTGATGATTGATAATGAAGCAAGTTTGGCATGTTGTCCCAGGAGAGAGCCCTTAGCTCATAAGATTCTCGAGCCTGAGGGCTCCCTCCCATTTGCAGGGCGAGAGGGAAGTTTGAGCTCAGGTAGATTTAGAGAACTTCCCCCTTATTTAGAGCTGATGACAGATTATAAATTGCTATATAGAGATATTTTGCTGGTTAAGAGCTCGACCATAGTGATAAATTAGATTGATCAATTCACCTATGACACATGTTATTGGACTGCAGGAGAAAACCGAAGAACTCGGGGGTCAACTCTGGGTCAACTCCACCCAGAAACGACAACTGGCTTGTTTAGAATTTGAACCAGTGACGTTCTGTCTGTGAGGCAACAGTGCTAACCACTGGGCCATTCTGCCGCCCTATAGAGGGAAAGGTGGAAGGGGGGGATTCTTCAAGGTGGAGATAACTAAAGTAAGAAACTCTGATTATTTCTAGTGAGTTAGGAATCATCTGATTGGTGAATCATGCGTTAGTTAATGCAGGACCAGCTGTGATCAATCATAAGCACGTGCTCCTCTCGAAATTAGTTAAATGACATGGTGACAGTAGGTTGAAGGAAAATAGGGGAGTAAAACAGCACTTAAAATGTACTAAAGTGAAAGTACACATTTTTAAAACTACCTAGTAAATTACAATTCCTGAGAAACACTACTCAGTTACAGTAATTTGAGGGTTTGTAATTTGTTTCCTCACACCACTGCACATCACTCCAGTGCTTCAGCAACTCCATTGGCTCCCTGTTCACACACATATTGATTTGAAGACTCTAATTTTAATCTGCAAAGCAGTAGGCATGGGAAGATAGCTGTTTTCGAGGTTTACCGCAATTTGGAAAAGTCACGGTTTTCAAAGCCTCAAATTTTTTTGCTATACCGTTCCTGAGGTACGTGAGCCATTTTTATTAAGATGATATCGCCAGCAAAAAAGATATCCAAAGATACGTTTTAAATTCTATAAGAAATCTGTGTTTTTGAAACTAATGAAGACTGCAGAAGTCAATGATTCATTTGAATTATTTAGCTTAACGTGTTTACTGTCCCAAAATATTGTAAACGTTTCTCAGAATAAAATATATTGTGTTTAAAGGGGGAAAAGTTTTTGTTTTTACCCAGACATTTAAAAAGAATATATTTTAGAGCAGTAATCACAATAGCGTGAAACCGTGATATTTTTATCCAAGGTTATCATATCGTCAGAATCTTAGACCGGCCCATGTCTACAAACAGTACATTGATTCACTCCAGATTACATGTGTGATCTGCTGCACTGAAGTGTTAAAGCCATGAGAGATGGAGGTTTTTCTTATGGTGTTTAAGTTATGGAAAGCATTACCCACAATTATCAGCAATGCAGTTTCTTTGGATTGCTTTAAGAAGCTTCTTAAGACGCATCTTAATCTGTAATCTTTTGCTTTTTATTGTTTTATTAATTATTGTGCGGCTTTTGGCTCGTTACTGGGATTTTATGTAAGCTTGTAGTTCTGTCTTGGGTTGTGTTTGTATTTGTTGTAGCTCTTTGAGTTTAAGAAAAGCTCATCATAAATAAAATGTGCTATCATTATTACATACTTTGCTTAAAATAAAAAGTGTTTTATGTGTGTATGTTTATAAATTCCCATATTTTTTTATTTGGCACGTGTGCACACAGTTAGCATAATCCTCATCTATAAACTACAGCTACATAATGTCCAGCAATGCTGTGACAGTATACGTGTTGAAAACTTGAAGTTTTCATTCACACACTCAATTTCCATATAAACGAACTGAAAATGCTGCATTCACGGAGCTCACAGACTGTGCCATGTGTTTTTATTTATTTGCTTCAAGCTGTTATTCATGTTTATTTTGTCATGTTTTATTAGGTTTTGTAGTTCAGGTTGCTGATGGTTTTACTTTCACATTACAAGATGTATGGAATTGCCAAAGAACGCTGTTTTTCACGATTTGATTTAATGTTATTGTTTTAGCAAAATAATTTATACATGAATTGAAAATTTAAACTTTCTTTATTGTTTCTATAAAATTACAAAAAACATTTTTATTGTATATATGTATATTTAATTTATTTATTTTTTGTTATATCAGATTTTTCTAACACTTTTAATGTTTTTTTTTTCCATATTTGCGTTGAGTCTTCCACAGTTTATGCGTAATTTGTAAAGTTATTAGGCCGAAAATTGATCTTCTTTTTTGCCATGACAGCAAGAAAAGCTGAAATGGTAATAAAATCTAAATTCTCTCCAAATTTTTGCCATTCTTAAAAGTCAAAACAAAAGTCCGCCGTTGTTCCCGCCTCGCCTTGATGACGTCAGCGCTGACGCGTTCATTCAGCGTCGAGTCTTCAGAGCTGAGGTGAGTCGTTGACGCTTTTTCTCGTGTTTACACAACAATAAAACACACTTTACAGTTTATTAAAGCGACAATCTGCGACTAGTTTCTGCATTGAGTTCACCTCTATCTGTGTGTCTGCAGACCAAAACAATACAGCAGGCAGAGAGCAGCTCTGAGAGGACAATATGAGTGATGTGTTTGTTTACAGGGTGAGTTTATCCTCATTTGTGATTATTTCGCTAAATATGATCTGTGAAGGGAATAATGGGAATCTTCTGCTGCAGATATGTGAACTATGATGCTGAAAACAAAAGTAATAGTTTGTGGAGCTCTTTGTTTACTCATTTTTTGGAAGGAACTTCCAGTTTCTGTACATTAATCTGCTACTGCAAGCAGTCTAATTTATTGGTTGATATGTAAATGAAATATTTAAGTGTTTTATTTAAATGCTCATCAAAATTAACAAAAGTCAGTAGTTCTTGTTTTTCTCTCATTCACAAGTTAATGTTGTTGGCTTCATCTCACTAAGAAAATGACCTGATCATCTATTGTGTCTCCTATAATACATCATACTATTTATTTCCTCAATCAGTGTAAATGAATCACATTTCTCTTGTTTGTTCTCCTGAAGCTCTGCCGCCATCAGTGAAAGACAAAGACAGAGTTTATTGAAGGACAGTGAGAAGATGAGTGATCCAGAACCCTGCAGAATTAAACAGGAAGAGACTGAAGAACTAATAGGTTTGTGCTTATTCATTACTCTTTAATAATGGCTGTAGAACAGTGAGGTTATTAATATCCAAGTACTTCATCAGTTTTAGTACTTTTTTCATATTGACTTTTATTTTATCTTAACACTTGTTGTGTTTAAACTAAAGGACCTGCCTAAATTAACTTTACCTCTCAAACATTACGATTGTTTTGTGTTCAGTGAATGAGTTGAGAGACATATTGTATATAGGGCCCATAGATATGCACCTGCAAACTTAATGTAACGCTGTTCACAACCATTTCATAATCATCACCATAGAATTACGCAGACCAGCTTACTACTATCGCTGGAGTTTTTACATTATCATGCTGTGTGTTTTTAATATTCACCTTAAATTAGGAATCTCAAGCTCAAATTAGCGGTGGGCCATTGCAGTGACTGATAACTTATAGGATTAAGCAAATGACAGCTAATGACAGGTGTTATAAGCATGCATGAAGTCTCATTCACATTCATTACATTGCACATCATCATTATAAAGGTTTCTTGACAGTCTTATGAAGTAAAGCACTTACCTATCAATATCAGTCCTTTGGCTCTTGTACCCTCAGACATACTTCCTTTTTCTGCAACCCTTCTCTACACACCAGAACTGAACAATTACGTGCATCCTCAATATATTTCACAACTTCTACAAGCATCATGACAACTTATGACATGTCTAGACTTTGTACTAAACAGCAGTCTGGAACAAGGGTCCCCGCACTATATGTATTTTTATTCTGCAATTTCCCTCTTGTCAGCAGTTCTTCCTAAAAAGTAGCAGCACAGTAAAAAATAAGACGAATGCCTGGTCAATATATATCATACAAAAGAGAAAGATTGATTAATCTGTTGTTAAACATTTTTCTAACAAAAAATAAAACACAAAAGTAATGAAAATCAATTCATCTTTTCCACACACTTAAATCCCCTTTCTTCCCCATTCTGATGCTCGCATGAACATTGAGCTGCTGCCATGTGATTGGCTGATTGGAAATTTGCGGTAACTGGCAGTTGGATAGGTGAACCTAATGCTGCGTTCACACCAGATGCGGCACGCGCGTCAAGAGCGAGTGATTTACAAATTGCGCGAATGGCGCGGGATGAATTGAACATTTTGCACGTTTGACGCGCTTAACGAGCGTTTCGCGCAAATCTCTCGATTTCGAAAATCTGAACTTCAGCGTACATTCGCGCCGCGTTAACCAATCAGAAGCTTGCTCTTGTGGGGGCGTGATTGTGACGTAGAACCTGTTGTCGGTGTTCCGAGGGAAATCCTCCAGGCGACACCGACAGTTCATCAAACTCGGCTTGGCTCAGTCAGAAGCACCGCTGAAAGTCTCCGTCATCCAGGTTCAGTTTTTGGAGGAGTTTATGAGCTCACAGAGCTGAATGGACCTCTGAAAGGATGTAGTGGACTCAGACAAGACCCTAAACGTATCGACGCTGTTTTTCAGTCTTCATAAAGCACATAAACACTGTTATTCTCTTCATATAATCCATGTTAGCCATTAAGCTATGAAGCTAGAATCTTCGGGCAGACAGAAGCCCTGCCCATCACGCGAATCCGCGTCTGTCGAATGAAGCGGGGTTTGACGCGCGTATGAACGAGTAAACTCAAATGTTCACGTGGCTATTTACGCGCGAATAGCGCGATTTATACACTCGTTCCGCGTCTGGTGTGAACACGGCATAATGAAGTGGCCAGTGTGTGTATATCTCTTTCCACCCGTGTGCTCTTTCAGTTGCTGTTCTTTACTAATAGTCTTAAACTGGGGCATTTTTCGTCTTCTTCTCTCTTATCACCAGAAAAACAGTGAAGAAATTTATTTTTTTTTGTTGTGTGTTCATCTTAAAATTTCAAGCAAAGGAGACAAGGAGCAGCAGTATTTGAACACTTACCATCTCAGCCAAACACACAAATGCTCTTATTCATGATTGTTTGCCTGTACAGTTACAAACTATTCAAGAGTGTAAAACACTAGCAGATTAACATGTGACTTATTCATTTTCAGATGTGAAGGTGAAGGAGGAGAGCGAAGAACTGAGTGAAGATGAGGAGAAACATCATGTCAAAACTGAAATCGAAGCTCAGACAAAGACTGAAGATAATTTTTTAATGAGAAGAACAGCTGTAAAATGTTTTACCTGCACTGAGTGTGGAAAGAGTTTCAGCCATGAAGGCAATCTCAAGCGTCACATGCTGATCCACACTGGAGAGAAACCTTACAAGTGTTCATATTGTGAGAAGAGCTTCAATTGTTCAGGAAACCAGAAAAAACATGAGAGGATCCACACCGGAGAGAAAACACACAAGTGTGATCAATGCAGGAAAACATTTTTGAGTTCTTCAGATCTGAAGAACCATCTTGAAGTTCATACAAAGGAGAGGCCTTACTCATGCGCTGAGTGTGGAAAGAGTTTTACTCAGCCATCACATTTTAAAGACCATCAGAAGATCCACACCGGTGTGAGAGAGTTTGAGTGTTTGACATGCAATAAAAACTATTTCACATCTGGAGAATTGAAACAACACCAGAAGATCCACACTGGAGAGAAACCGCATGTGTGTTCACACTGCAGCAAGAGATTTACTACATCAAAACAGCTGAAAGTACATGTGAGGAGTCACACTGGAGAGAAACCGTACACGTGTACTCAGTGTGGGAAGAGCTTCACACAATTATCACACCATATATCTCACACGAGGACACACACCGGAGAGAAACCGTTCGTTTGTTCTCAGTGTGGGAGAAGTTTCACACAATTATCACACCTTAAAAGTCACATGCTGATCCACACTGAAGAGAAAACACACAAATGTGGTCAGTGCGGGAAAACATTTCTAAGGCCTTCAGGTCTAACAAAACATCTACAAAGGAGAAACCGTAGGTTGCACTCAAATTATGCTATCTGAACCGTGCCCAGGCCCATTTCACGGATCGTTTCGGAAGTGTGAGTGCTCTCAATCGAGCTCATGCACAGTTCAGTTGGCCGGCCCTGGCCCATTTGCTAGAGGTGTGCCAGAGCGCGGTTTACTTGGGCTTTGGCGTGGAACGCTTGTGGTGTGCAAAGCGTGCCTGAGCCTGAAACCAAAGATGTAACGTCACTTTTAAGGGACTGGTTGATATGGATAAACTAATCATTCTTACTATTCAATGAACGCAAACGATCGTAGATTATTAAAGACGCAAACCCCTCACTTCACGACAGGTGCACCTTCAGCAAACCTCCTAATACCTGCAGCTTGAGGACTTAATGATTGTTTATAAGCTTCAATAGTGGCTGATCTGTTTGGAGAAATATTTCACTGCATATCAAATGACTAAAATGAGACTGAGTGAGAGCGCTTCTCCACTGAACAGCGCATCATCGATGACATAAGTGTGCTTGGGTGCAAATGCGATGTGAGTGCAGGCTGTCGGGGGAGATGGGGGGGGGGGGGGGGGACAAGCATGCTTCTGTCCTGTTTAAGGCAACTGTACATAGTGTGAGTACGCCCTTATTCTTTGTCTGAATGTGGAAATAGTTTTACCCAGCAATTGAAAAGCACATCAGAAGATCCACGCTAGAGAGGAATCGTACACGCACTCAGTGTTGGAAGAGTTTTACTCGATCATCAACCCTTAATGAACACATGAAGATCCACACTGGAGTGAAAAAGCACAAATGTGATCAATGCAGCAAGACATTGGTTAAGTTTTGCAGTCTTAAGAAACTTCTTGATCTTCATACTGAGGAGAAGCTTTAGTCCTGCATTTAGATCTGAGTGCTGCGTTCATTACTATATGTCACAGTATATTATTGGACAGACTTCACTAGTGGATCTGTCGATCTGGAACGGTGAAACTGGTTTACATCGTATCTTTCCGAACGCTCTCTGTTTGTCTTTCTGTGTGCCATTGCGTCAGGGTGTCCCACAGGGATCAGTTCTGGGTCCACTTTTATTTAGTATTTATATGCTCTCTTATGGGGTGGCTCAGTGGGTAGCACTGTCACTTCACTGCAAGAAAGTCGCTTGTTCAATTCTCTGCTGGGAGTTTGCATTTTCTACCCATGTTGGCGTGAGTTTCCTCTGGGTGCTCCAGTTACCCCCACAGTCCAAACACATGCGCTATAGGAGAATTGGGTTAATTACATTGGCCTTAGTGTGTGTGTGTGTGCTCAAGACAAATTTACAATTTGGAAAACATTTTGCCCCATTATAACACAATTACATGGGAAAAACGATTTTACTAAGGACGAAACAAATTTACATTTCAGAAAAAAATTAACAAAAAGCAAAACACTTTTCCAGTTCTAAAACAAATTTACAATGACAGATTCTTTACAGAAAGGGAATGCACCACACACCTCCATGTAGGAGGAAACCGGTGGGAAACCCCAGCGAGTACAGGAGAACTTGTCAACTCCATCCAGAAACAACAACTGACCTGTTACGGAGTTGAACCACTGATGTTCTTGCTGTTAGGCAACAGTGCTAACCACTGGGCCACCGTGCCACCCTATAAAAAAAAAGTGGAGGAGTAGGGGTGGAAGGGGGGATTCTTCAAGACAATAGGTGCGTTCGACATGAAGCTCAGCTGCAGCCGGTGATCAACGAGATTAGCCGAGCGCAGGCGGGGGCGGAGTTGAAAACGGAGCCGTCAAGACGGACAGCTGGATACTTCGGGACTCAAAGTTGCTGCAGTCATGATGATCGATCACATGGCGTCATCATATTTTTTTGTTATTTTTATTTATAACAACAAAACATTTACAAATTAAACAGAATACAGTTTCAACAAACTGTAGTTCCTTTTTAAACAATAAGAGAGAATTATGAATAAAATATATACAGATGCATGAGAGAAATAAGAGGAAATGAGAGGTTAATATAAACATAAAAGCGAACAGGTCTATTAAATACAAAGCAATAAGCATAAATTCTAGGAGTTAAACATCAATCTGTAGGCTAATACTTCGTTTGAATATGCTAAAAAAGGGTTTACATATGTGTATTTATAGATATAAAAATTTCCAATGTAAAAAGCAAAACAAGGTGTTTTGATTAGATCTTAATAAATGAGATTATTTTGGATAATGAATGCATTTTCAAAAAAGCATTTTAATCCAAAAAGATTGTGTTGAAAAGAACAAAAGGTAAAATAAGTGAGCTATGTAGAAGTTTCCCAGAAAGAGCAGGTAGCCTTTAAACTGCTAGACAGGAAATAAAATATATATTTATATTATAATAATAAAACCATTTTATAATTATTTAATAAAATAGTTCTTTACTTTAATTTGTTAAGAGAGCTTTAGGGTGGCAGGATCAATGATGATGATTATTTTATTTCAAGTCTGTAAGACTTATTTGAGTTCATATTTAGGTTATTCACTAAAATATACACTAAAATATACCATTTAAATCGTTCATGGAGATGAATGCAGAAAATAGTCTGTATAAAAAAGTTAAAAATAAACCTGTGCAAACAAGCTAACCTTTATAACCAGATTATTTAAAAAAAGATGATTACTGCAGTAAAATATTTGTAGTCTTTTAATAAGCAAGATAGAGAGGGTGTGAAAAGTGAATAGTTTGTTTTGAAAGTTTTGAATCGGAATTTGACCAATTATAAACCCGAAATACACGTGTTTGTTGTCATGTGGTGAACTCGACCAATCGTATAATATCGGTCTCGTCATCAAAGCTCCTGCAGTAGCTCTTCAGAAGCTGCACGGTCTGCTGTCTGATCTCGGATCGCTGTCGCGGTACTTTGATGCCACATGTGACAGTCACGTGGCGTCAGCGCAGCATCAATCCGGACAAGATTTCTAACCAGAATGCACCGCTTTAAGACAGATTTCGATCGATCTGCGCAGCGCTGCATGAAGTCGAATGCACCTAAAGATAACTAAAGTAAGAAACTCTGGTTATTTGTAGTGAGTTAGGAATCGTCTGATTGGTGGATCATGTGTTAGTTAATGCAGGACTAGCTGTGATCAATCATAACATGCTCCTCAATTAGTTTATAAATAAACTTCACTAACTTAAAAAAAATTGCATAGCAGACTGCAGGTTGAAGGAAAATAGTGGAGTAAAACAGCACTAAAAATGTACTCAAGTGAAAGTGAACGTACACATTTTTAAAACTACCTAGTAAACTACAATTCCTGAGAAACACTACTCAGTTACAGTAATTTGAGTGTTTGTAATGTGTTTCTCCACACCACTGCTTCAGCATCTCCATTGGTTCTCTGTTCACGCACATATTGATTTAAAGCTCTAATTTTAATCTACAAAGCAGAACATTGATTCACTCCAGATTACATGTGTGATCTGCTGCACTGAAGTGTAAAAGCCATGAGAAGTGGAGCTTTTTCTTATGGTGTTTAAGTTATGGAAAGCATTACCCACAATTATCAGCAATGCAGATTCTTTGGATTGCTTTAAGAAGCTTCTTAAGATGCATCTTGATCTGTAATCTTTTGCTTTTTATTGTTTTATTGATTATTGTGTGTGACTTTTGGCTCGTTACTGGCATTTTATTTTGTCTTGGGTTGAGTTTGTATTTGTTGTTGTTTTTCTTGTAGCTCTTTGAGTTTAAGAAAAGCTCATCATAAATAATATGTGCTGTCATTATTACATTCTTTGGTAAAAAAAAAAAAAAAAAAAAGTTTTCTGTGTGTATGTATATAAATTCCAATGTTTTTTTTTTGGCACGTGTGCACATAGTTGGCATAATCCTCACCTATAAACTACACCTATATGATGTTCAGCAATGCAGTGACAGTATACGTGTCGAAAACGTGAAGTTTTTATTCACACACTCAATTTCCATATAATTATATCATTGTTTTAGAAATTAAACTTTATTGTTTATTGTTTCAAGCAAATTACAAAAAACATTTGTATTGTATATATGTATATTAAATTTACTTATTTTTTGTTATAACAGAATTTTGTAACACTTTTAATATTTTATTTGAACACACACACACACACACACTATATATATATATATATATATATATATATATATATATATATATATGTATGTATGCGTGTGTGTGTGTGTGTGTAATTTGTAAAGTTTTGCCAAAACTTAATCTGCTTTTTTTGCCATGACAGCCAGAGAAGCTGGAATGGCAATAAAAGCAAAATGCTCTCCCCCTCTCTCTAAAGTTTTGCCATTCTTATGAATTAAAACAAAAGTCCGCCGTTGTTCCCGCCTCGCCGTGATGACATCACTGCTGACGCGTTCATTCAGCGTCGAGTCTTCAGGGCTGAGGTGAGTCGTTCCCGCTTTTCCTCGTGTTTACTCAACAATAAAACACACTTTACAGTTTATTAAAGCGACAATCTGCGACTAGTTTCTGCATTGAGTTCACCTCTATCTGTGTGTCTGCTGACCAGAACAATACAGCAGGCAGAGAGGAGCTCTGAGAGGACAATATGAGTGAATGTGTTTGTTTACTGTGTGAGGTTTCCACGTTTGTGATTATTTCGCTAAAAATGATCTGTGGAGGGAATAATGGGAATCTTCTGCAGCAGATGTGAACTATGATGCTGAAAACAAAGTAATAGTTTGTGGAGTTCTGTTTTCTAAATGTTTTTGAGTCTTAAATACTGCATTCAAGTAACATTTTAAGCACTATTTTGTGCTAGATTAGCTTGTTGGATGGTTATCATTATAACACTTTTGATGGAACAAAACTACTTTCCTATATGTTTGTCAAATTGGTTATACTTTTTTTTTAGTTTACAAAAATTTGTTTAATTACAAGTTTTTACAGTTTTATATGTAATGTAATGAAATAAGAATTTAAAAATATATATTTTTTAAAATACTTATTTTAAAGCCTAATTTATTATAATCCTTTATAAAAACAACAACAAAAAAATGTTTTAAATTAAAAACTGTAGGCCATAGGCAAATAACAAACTGGCCAGCTTATTTCCTCAGTCAAAATCTGTCCATTTAAATAATAAAAGCCTTAATTTATTGGTTGTTCTTCTTAAAGCGTTCTTCGGTTGTTTATTTTCACAATTTATCATGGCATACTGTCAAAAATGGGACGAATGAGCTCATATAGGGGCCAATTCCTGGACTTTGTCAGAAGGGGGGATGGTCTTTTTAACCACCCAATCCCTTCCTGACTATGGGCCTATATATATATATATATATATATATATATATATATATATATATATATATATATATATATAATTATTTCAAAATAACAGTATTATTGTCGTTATACAATTACTACTCTAAATAAATTACAGAAATTAATCCTAAATTTAACTGGAAAACAATCCAAAAGACTAGAGTGATGCCAAGATCATTTAAGAAATCTTTAGCATGATCATTGGTTTTTTTTTAATAAAATTGTCTTGACAGTTCTAAAGAATGCAAAAAAGATGTTTTACAGAATTATCAGTTGTGTGTTGTCTTAGACCCGACTCATGGTTAAGAATTAGCTTTGTTAAGTCTTACCTCCCTGACTCATCATCCCTCCTTTTGCTTCAAACAAAAAAATCTCTCAGGAGCCGCATGCTAAGTCTAAATAAGATCACCATCATATTGTTTAAACCTATCTTTTTGTCGACTTGTGAAACTCACTGCATGCTGACATCTCCACAAAAAAGAACTGCTGCGGTTTCACAACGCGTAAGCATCGCGGCTATTTTTTTTAGCGTGCATGTTCAAAACCGGGACTTAGACCAGGAGCAGAGCAGTGTCAGGTGCGCGAGTATGTTTTCGTCTCTGCACATGCTCAGTTTTGTTTATGAGTAAACGACATTGCTTTCATAAGCGATGCACATAGTGAATAACATCTTTATTCTGGGATTTCCACTCTATATAAATACACATTTGCATATAAAGTAAATCGTATCTCAAAGCATTTATTATTGGTGTCAGCTGACTGAGCAAATTACTTAATCATATATTATGTCTCCTATAAGGTTTAACATCATGTTTATTTCCTCAATCAGTGTAAATGAATCAGATTTCTCTGTTTGTTCTCCTGAAGCTCTGCCGCCATCAGTGAAAGACAAAGACAGAGTTTATTGAAGGACAGTGAGAAGATGAGTGATCCAGAACCCTGCAGAATTAAACAGGAAGAGACTGAAGAACTAATAGGTTTGTGTTTATTTATTACTCCTCAATAATGAGCCTGAAGAACAGTGAGGTTGTTCATCATTAAGCACTTCATCAGTTTTAGTACTATTTCATATTGACTTTTATTTATCTTAATTAAGGAACCTTAAGCTCAAATTAGCGGTGGGCCATTGCAGTGACTTTAAAACCTGTAGGAGTCAGCTAATGACAGGTGTTATAAGCATGCATGAAGTCTCATTCACATTCAAGACATGTCACATCATGATTATAAAGGTTTCTTGACAGTCTTATGAAGTAGAGCACTTTCCCTGCCGCTTTTGGTTTTAATTTTCAGGATAAGGCAGGTGTTTGGTGTTCAGTTCAGTACTTGTTCTGGTAAATGCTTATTAGTGAATGCTGTGCTTTACTAATAGCCCTAAACTCAGGCATTTTCTTGTCTTTCTCTTCTTTTTGTGTTCATCTTAAAATTACAAGCAAAGGAGGCAAGGAGCATTTACAGTTACATTTAGTCATTTAGCAGACGCTTTTATCCAAAGCGACTTACAAATGAAGACAAGGAAGCAATTTACACAACTATAAGAGCAACAATGAAGAAGTGCTGTAGGCAAGTTTCAGGTGTGTAAAGAAAGTGTAAGAAGCAAAACATTAGTTTAACATTTGATGCGAGCAGCAACTGGCAGCCAGTGCAAACGGATGAGCAGCGGAGTGACATGTGCTCTTTTAGGTTCATTAAAGACCACTCGTGCTGCTGCGTTCTGAAGCAGCTGAGGAGGCTTGATAGAGTTAACTGGAAGCCCGGCTAGTAGAGAGTTGCAATAGTCCAGTCTGGAGAGAACAAGAGCTTGAACAAGGAGTTGAGCTGCATGTTCAGATAGGAAGGGTCGGATCTTTCTGATGTTGTAGAGTGGGAATCTGCACTATCAAGCAGTGCTAGAGATGTGGTCAGAGAAGTTTAGTTGGTCATCAATCGTTACTCCAAGGCTTTTCACCATTTTGGATGCAGTAATGGTTGCCCCATCCATCTGGATTGAAAAGTTATGGTGTAGAGTCCGGTTGGCAGAAACTTTAAGCATTTCTGTTTTCGTGAGGTTAAACAGTATTTGAGCACTTACCATCTCAGCCAAACACACAAATGCTCTTATTCATGATTGTTTGCCTGTACAGTTACAAACTATTCAAGAGTGTAAAACACTAGAAGATTAACTTGTGAGTTATTGACTTTCAGATGTGAAGGTGAAGGAGGAGAGCGAAGAACTGAGTGAAGATGAGGAGAAACATCATGTCAAAACTGAAATCGAAGCTCAGACAAAGACAGAAGATAGTTTTGTAATGGAAAGAACAGCTGTGAAATGTTTCACCTGCACTGAGTGTGGAAAGAATTTCAGCCACGCATACAGTCTCGAGTGTCACATGAGGATCCACACTGGAGAGAAACCTTACAAGTGTTCATATTGCGAGAAGAGCTTCAATTGGTCAGGAAACCTGAATATTCATGAGAGGATCCACACTGGAGAGAAAACACACAAATGTGATCAATGCGGAAAGAGTTTCACGACACCGTCACATTTTAAAGACCATCAGAAGATCCACACTGGTGTGAAAGAGTTTGAGTGTTTGACATGCAATAAGAAGTTTTTTACATCCGGAGACTTGAAAAAGCACCAGAAGATCCACACTGGAGAGAAACCGCATGCGTGTTCACACTGCGACAAGAGATTTACTACTTCAAGACAGCTGAAAATACACGTGAGGATTCACACTGGAGAGAAACCGCACAAATGTACTCATTGTGGCAGGAATTTCACTCAATTATCACACCTTAAAGCTCACACAGGGACACACACTGGAGAGAAACTGTTCGTTTGTTCTCAGTGTGGGAATAGTTTCACACGATCATCAGATCTTAAAGATCACATGAGGAGCCACACTGGAGAGAAAACACACAAGTGTGAGCAGTGCGGGAAAACATTTCTGAGGCCTTCAGCTCTAAAGAAACATCTTGGAGTTCATACAAAGGAGAAGCCTTAGGGTGCACTCACACTATGCTATCTGGGACGGGAGGGGGGGACAAGAGTGGACAAGTGTGAGTTCACCCTTAAGCCTGGTTTATAATTCTGCGTCAGGTGATCGGCGTAACCCACAGCGCATGCAACGCGCATGGCTGTGCATTTATACTTCTGCGCGCTGTCTCTGTTGGTCTGCATTAACACTTCCGAAACGCTAGTTGGCAGTGAGGTGTAAATGTTCCTCTGTGTCGAGTTTCTTCGCTGGTGTTTTGCAATTCTGAACACTTCCTGGATGTACAAGTGGCCCAAACTCGCTCATTTTGAGGCAGGAACCAGCGGACGTGCAACAACTTTAACTATGAGGTAAACACAAAACAAAACTTTCCATCCGGAGCTCCTTCACGGGACTCCACACTTGTAAACAATCGCTCGCGCCATTCGCGCAGCTCTCGGTCCCGCCCAGACTCGTCGGCGCTAGCAAGCCGACCAATCACAGAGCTTGTGCTATTCGTCGTTGCGATGTGTAGTTACATTTTTTGAGAGGTGCACGTCAGTGACGCCGATGGCCACGGCGAAGGGCTATGCGTCAGCGCCGCAGCATACGCAGGCGTTTGACGCAGAAGTATAAATCAGCCTTAACTGACGTGCACCTCTCAAAAAATGTAACTACACGTCGCAACGACGAATAGCACAAGCTCTGTGATTGGTCGGCTTGGTAGCGCTGATAAGTCTAGGCAGGACTGAGAGACGCGCGAATGGTGCCAGCCCGATGGAGCAATTGTTTACAAGTGTGGAGTCCCGTGAAGGAGCTCCGGATGGAAAGTTTTGTTTTGTGTTTACCTCATAGTTAAAGTTGTTGCACGTCCGCCGGTTCCTGCCTCTAAATGAGCGAGTTTGAGTCACTTGTACATTCAGGAAGTGTTCAGGAAAAGCAAAACACCAGAGAAGAAACTCGACACATAGGAACATTTACACCTCACTGCCAACTAGCGTTTCGGAAGTGTAATGCAGACCAACAGAGACAGCGCGCAGAAGTATAAATGCACAGCTACGCGCGTTGCATGCGCCGTGGGTTACGCCGGTCACTTGACGCAAAAGTATAAATCAGGCTTTATTCATGCTCTGAGAGAGGAAAGAGTTTTACTCAGCAATTCCATTTTTTAAACGCATCAGAAGATCCACGCTAGAGAGGAACCGTACACGCACTCAGTGTTTACTCGATCATCAACCCTTAATGAACACATGAGGATCCACACTGGAGTGAAAAAGCTCAAACGTGATCGATGCAGCAGGACATTTTTTACGTTTTACACTCTTAAGAAACTTCTTGATCTTTATACTGAAAAGCTTTAGGCCCCGTTTACACTAGTACATTTTAGTTTTTAAACGGTGTTTTAGAATGGAACCGATGCGCATCAACACTAATCAAATCACTTTTATTGTCACATCATCAGCAGCTCGTGTGCTATGATGAGTGAAAAGCTTAGGTGCTGGCTCCAGACAGTACAGATAGTGCGAATACAACGACAGTGCAAAATACAGACAACAAAAAAAAGCAGGACGATGTAGAATTGGCAGTGTTGACAGCGATATGTACAGTGAATAGGTGTCCACATGGTTGTAGGCAGTATTGTTTCAAGTATGGGTTGGTTAAAGTGTAGTGCATGCTACCTGTTGATGGTGTGCAGTGAGGGGTATGGAAGAGTGTGTGTGGTGTGTTACGTAGTCATCAGCCTGATAGTCTAAGGCAGTGTTCACCAAACTTGTTCCTGGAGGGCCGGTGTCCTGCAGATTTTAGCTCCAACCCTAATCAAACACACCTGAACAAGCTAATCAAGGTCTTACTGGGTATACTTGAAACATCCAGGCAGGCGTGTTGAGGCAAGATGGAGCTAAACCCTGCAGGGACACCGGCCCTCCAGGACCAGGATTGGTGACCCCTGGTCTAAGGGAAGAAGCTTTCCTTTAGTCGGCTGGTGCATGATCAGATGCTGCGGAACCGTCTGCCTGAGGGTAGCAGAGAGAAACGTCTATGGCTTAGGTGGCTGGAGTCACTGGTAATTCTCTTGGCTTTCCTAATGCACCGCCTGGTGTGGATGTCCCGGAGGGAGGGAAGCTCACCTCCTACTACACGGACTGGTCATCAAGGATCAACCGCTGGATCTGATCTCACTATATTTGTTAAACGTGATATCTTATTCATCTTGTTGTCTATATCTAACGACATATTCCCCGACTTTGATCTTTGAATTTATTGCTTGTTCTCACGTAATGTGCTGAGTGCAGAGATAAGTTAATAAGGCCCTGTTGACACTGCCAGTTAAATGTGACCCAATTCCGATTTTTTGCTCATATGTGACACAGATCGGATCTGTTCTATGACCGTGTAAACACAAAATCGCATGCATTCGGATATTCAGAGATCGGTTTCAGGCCTCCTTCATATGTGGATATAAATCAGATGTAGATCGGATATGTGACAACACGACCGTCATGTAAACAGGCAGATCGGATTTATTGAGCCGTTCTGTTTTATATGTTATTAAACTTGCGACAATGTGGTGCTTCTCCACAGTTTAAAGACAGAAGAAAGAGCATGTGTGGAGACGCCAACGTGGTAAACAACAACATCAGAGGAAACATGGAGGAGGAAAGAAGTCAGTCACCACAATTTGCTCCCACCAGACCTGAGATCTCTCAGGTACCCACAAATTCCTCTGGATGGTGGAGGACACCATGTTACCATAGGTCCAAGCTGCGATGACGGCCCTTTCCCTCCTCCGCCTCAAAATCATTTTAAAGTTGGGCGAACTTCGTGTTGTATCTTTTGCTTTTTGTCGCTATTAATACACGCACTGCGGGCTACACATAGAACAACTTTATTCTCTCTAACACCAGTGCGCGCACAGGCAAAGGCTACATCTTCAACGACACACACACATCAGGGCTATACCATTACATAAACTGCTTGGGGGTAAATCTGGACTGAACCGTTCACGGCTTCTACTACGCTTCGCATATTTCGCAGAGCTAAAAACTAAACAATTTCTTCCAGGGTGGCTAGTGTGGCACAGATGCTAGAACCCACCTTTATGCATGCGCGACATCGTAAATTGTATGGCAAATGTAAACGCATGAATTGGATATGGGTCACAATTAAAACAACGTGTAAACGGACAGACAAAAAAATCAGATATAGGCAACAAATCGGAATTGTGCATCAAGACCTGACAGTGTAAACGGTGCATAATTAATGTAACCGTGTATATATTGACTGATTGTTTGCCTTCATTCCTATAATGTATAAACTTACTGTACCTTATACATTTATAATGCCCATTTTTGATTATTAAACTGATATTCAGCAAAAGAGAGGCTGTGTTTCGTATTGTCAATGAAAATTAAAGGAGGCAGTGATGTTATCGGCTCTGTTTTGTTATGAATACGCACACAGTGAAGATGACGCTCATATATGCTGCACGACGCCTCAACATTTCTGCTGTCTGATAAGTTGCTAATGTCAAAATTAAAATAGGCAGTTCCTTAAATCATGTTTACATTTTGTTGTTAAGATAGTGAAACAACGTACATATCCAGGATGATGTGAATGAGGTTATAAAGTACACTGTTCCCTTTAAAGATTTACCTGATGTGTCCTCGGGAGTCTGTTTTCCATATCGAACTTGCGAATTCTGAACTAACAAGGAGAGGATGCAGGACTGAACTGAGTGTAGGCTACTTAAAGAGCCCATATTATACATGAAATAGGGTCATATCCTGGTTGTAAGGGTCTCCAACAACAGTCTAATATGCATGCAAGGTCAAAAAACACTTTCATGGTCTTATAATCTGCATTTATTTTTATCTAATTATCCCAGCGACTCCTGTATGAATCGTCCAGTGATTCATTTGTTCCCAAACCCCTCCTTAGCGTGAAGCTAATCTGCGCTGATTGGGCCGATGACAGTCTGTCGCGATTGGTCGACTGCCTTCAGTCAGAGAGGGAAATGGCCAATAGCTAATCAGCAAATTTAAAAAGTAATCACAGTTCATACACGCTCGATAGTGTAGGCGTGGATTTTAGCTGCCACACTATGGCGAGTGGATAGTGCCACGGATAACCGAACGAAGGAGACAGTCGTGTACTCGCCATACCACACACACACAAAAACACACACACACCTCCGGATGACAACGCTCCCGCTTCAGCCCGCACCCGCCAGGTTTTAGCCTGAGAACCCGCTCCGTTTTCTGCCCGCCGCGCCCGGTCCCGCTAGAGCGGAGAACACAACCAAAAATCACCCAGTATACAGTCCAGACAGCCAAGCTGTCTGTATAAAAACACACACACAGCACAAAGTACACAAAGCTCGTTCGTTCGTTCGCTCTCTCTCTCGCTCTCTCTCTCTCTCTCTCCCCGCGCCAGATTTCTGCGGCGCGGGAATACATTTCCGAATAAATCGCGGGAGCAGAACTCTAGCACGGAGCTCCATAAACAAACAGCACGCGTCGCGTTTTTAACGTGACTTTGCACGCGATAAGATAATATATCCAGTTAACCTGATACAGTACACGCGGTTACAAGTAACAAATCACAACTAAATACATTTGCAAGCTAGAGTCAACGAGGCAACAACTTTAACCGCACGTACTTACACTTGAGAAATGGAAGAAACCCATCCTGACGTCCATCAGTTACTCTTTACTGATCCTTCCTTTAACAAACGCTGATGAAGTATTCTTTGTAGCATGTAGCTTCCAGAAGTTTCCAACTGCTTGGTTATAATGCTGATGTTTCATCTTTGGGTAGAGACTCAATATATCCATCTGCAGTGTGACTTCAATCGACCGGCATGTTTGTGTGCGTGTGTTTGTGGGTGTGCGTGTGTTTGTGGGTGTGTGTGTGTGTGTGTCTGGGTTACTGCGTCAGAGGGCGGGGCCTCAGGTTTGAAATCTCCCGGGTTTGCGCGTGCACGTGAAAAACTTTGTTTCGTTCGTACGTCATGGCGAAACACCTAATGAGTCGGTATCAAGGCGACTCGTTTGAAGCACTATGATTCGACTCTTTTATAGATGAATCAACAGTTTTAAACACTGTATTCTTACAGATTTAAGCCTTAGCTGGATACTTCACTTCACTTAGAGCTGTGTTACACACTACATGGAGGGGAATTTTCAAAAACCCATAATATGGGCTCTTTAATATTGAGAGAAATACGGGGAGAACATGTCAACTCCACCCAGAAATGACAGATGATCTGTTACGGGTTTTAACCACTGATGTTCTTGCTGTGAGGCAACAGTGCTAACCACTGGGCCACCGTGCTGCCCTATAAAGAAAAGGTGGAGGAGTCGGGGTGGAGAAAGTGAAGATAACTAAGTAAGAAACTGGTTATTTATATTGAGTTAGGAATCGTCTGATTGGTGAATGATGTGTTAGTTATTGCAGGACCAGCTGTGATCAATCATAACATGCTCCTCAATTAGTTTATTAATAAACTTCACTATGTAGAAAATTACATGGTGACAGTATGGTTGAAGGAAAATAGTGTGGTAAAACCACTAAAATTGTGCTCAAGTTAACATGAAAGTACACATTTTTAAAACTACTTGGTAAACTACAATTCCTGAGTAAAACTAATAAGGTTACTTTAATAAGGCACATTACTCCAGTGCTTCAGCAACTCCATTGGCTCTGTTCACTCACATATTGATTTAAGGACTCTGATTTTAATCTGCAAAGCAGTTCATTGATTCACTCCAGATTACATGTGTAATAATCTGCACTGAAGTGTAAAAACCATGAGAGGTAGGGGTTTTTCTTATGGTGTGTTTAAGTTATGAAAAGCATTACCCACAATTATGAGCAATGCAGTATCTTTGGATTGCTTTTGGAAAAGCCAAATTACAATTTGCTAAATTACACTGGGGAAAAGACTAATGTTTGGAGACATGTCCTGTGGTCTGATGGAGCTAAGATTGAACTGTTGAGCCATAATGAGCAGTGTTACATTTAGAGGACAAAGGGGAAAGCTTACAAGCCTAGGAACACCACCCCAACTGTGAAGTATGGGGGCGGCAGCGTCATGTTGTGGGGCTGTTTTGCTGCAGGAGGGACTGGTCCACTTCACAGCACAGAGGGCATCATGAAGAAAGAACATTATGGAGAAATACTGAAGCAACATCTCAAGACATCAGCCAGGACATTCAAACTTGGCCACAAATCAGTCTTCCAAACAGAGCATGGCCCTAATCATACTGCCAAATTAGTTTGCTTTTAAGGACAACAGAGTGAATGTTTTGCAGTGGCCATCACAGAGCCCTGATCTCAATCCTATAGAACATTTGTGGACAGAGTTGAAAAAGCTTGTGCAAGCAAGACAGCCAACAAATCTGACTCAGTGACACCAATTCTGTCAGGAGGAATGGGCCAAAATTCCTGCAAACTATTGTGAGAAGCTTGTGGAAGGAGACCCAAAACATTTGACCAAAGTTATACAGTTTAAAAACAAGCTAAACAATAAACAAGGAAATGTGTGTAAACTTTTGACTTGAATTTCTCTCATTATTGTGGCATTTAGCAAATGTAATTGTTTTAGGTAAACCTAACAGACCTACAATAGTAAACGTTAAGTATGATTCAACATCAGACATTTAAAAAAAAGGTTATCATCCTTGTTTTAGAGTGCATGTAAACTTCTGGTTTCAACTGTATATATATATATATATATATATATATATATATATATATATATATATATATATCACCATTGCATTGAGTCTTCCACAGTTTATGCGTAATATGTAAAGACTTGCCAAAACTTGGTCTCCTTTTTGCCATGACAGCCAGAGAAGCTGAAATGGCAATAAAATCTAAATGCTCTCCCTCTCTGTCTAAAGTTTTGCCATTCTTATAAATCAAAACAAAAGTCCGCCGTTGTTCCCGCCCCGCCGTGATGACGTCAGCGCTGACGCGTTCATTCAGCGCCGAGTCTTCAGAGCTGAGGTGAGTCGTTGACGCTTTTTCTCGTGTTTACACAACAATAAAACACACTTTACAGTTTATTAAAGCGACAATCTGCGACTAGTTTCTGCATTGAGTTCACCTCTATCAGTGTGTCTGCTGACCAAAACAATACAGCAGGCAGAGAGGAGCTCTGCGAGGACAATATGAGTGAATGTGTTTGTTTACTGTGTGAGGGAATAATGGGAATCTTCTGCGGCAGATATATGAACTTTAATAGCAGTGCTGTGCTAATGCTAGCAATCTAATTTATTGGTCGATATGTAAAAGAAATATTTATTTAAATACTCATCAGTATTATCAAAATTAACACAATCCTCTTTATTTCATGTCAGTAGTTCTTGTTTTTCTCTCACTCATAAGTTAATTATATTGGCTTCAGTTTACCGAGCAAATTACTTAATCATATAAAGAGTCTCCTATATAACATCATACTATTTATTTCCTCAGTCAGTGTATATGAATCAGATTTCTCTGTTCTCCTGAAGCTCTCCTGCCATCAGTGAAAGACAAAGACAGAGTTTATTGAAGGACAGTGAGAAGATGAGTGATCCAGAACCCTTCAGAATTAAACAGGAAGAGACTGAAGAACTAATAGGTTTGTGTTTATTCATTACTCTTCAATAATGAGGCTGAAGAACAGTGTGGTTAATAATATTTAAGCACTTCATCAGTTTTAGCACTTTTTTCATATTAATTTTATCTTAAGACTTGTTATGATCAGAATAGAGACCTGCCTAAATTAACTTTACATCTCAAACATTATGATTTTAACCAAGTAACATTAAACATCAAAATTATAATGACACGCTTTATTGACATTTTATTCATGATTGTTTGCCTGTATGGTTAGAAACTATTCAAGAGTGTAAAACACTAGCAGATTAACATGTGACTTATTCATTTTCAGATGTGATGGTGAAGGAGGAGAGCGAAGAACTGAGTGAAGATGAGGAGAAACATCATGTCAAAACTGAAATCAAAGCTCACATAATTACTGAAGATGCAATGGAAAGAACAGCCATGAAATGTTTCACCTGCACTCAGTGTGGAAAGAGTTACAGCCACGAATACAATCTCAAGCGTCACATGAAGATCCACACTGGAGAGAAACCTTACAAGTGTTCCTACTGCAACCAGAGTTTCAATTGTTCAGGAAGCCTGAATAATCATGAGAGGATCCACACTGGAGAGAAAACGCACAGATGTGATCAATGCGGCAAAACATTTTTGAGTTCTTCAGATCTGATGAGACATCTTGAAGTTCATACAAAGGAGAAGCCTTACTCATGTGCAGAGTGTGGAAAGAGTTTTACAACACAAGCACATTTTAAAGCACATCAGAAGATCCACACTGGCGTGAAAGAGTTTGTCTGCTTTGAGTGTGAGAAGAGTTTCTTTAGAGCTGAACAACTGAAGCTGCACCAGAGGATTCACACTGGAGAGAAACCGTACAAGTGTTCACACTGCGACAAGACATTCAGATGGTTACAAACAATGAAAACACATGAGAGGACTCACACTGGAGAGAAACCCTTCACATGTACTCAGTGTGGGAAGAGTTTCAGGCAATCATCATCCTTTTATAAACACATAAAGATCCACACTGGAGAGAAAACACACATATGCGATCAGTGCGGGAAAATATTTTTAAGGCCTTCAAATCTGGAGAAACATCTTAGACTTCATACAAATGGGAAGCTTTATTCATGCGCTGAGTGTGGAAAGAGTTTCACAACATCGTCACGTTTTAAAGACCATCAGAAGATCCACGCTGGTGTGAGAGAGTTTGTGTGCTTTACATGTAAGAAGAATTTTTTTACATCTGGAGACTTGAAGAAGCACCAGAAGATCCACACTGGAGAGAAACCGCATGCGTGTTCACACTGCAACAAGAGATTTACTAATTCAGGACAGCTGAAAGTACATGTGAGGATTCACACTGGAGAGAAACCGTACACGTGTACTCAGTGTGGGAAGAGTTTCACACAATTATCACACCTTACAGATCACACAAGGACACACACTGGAGAGAAACCGTTCGTTTGTTCTCAGTGTGGGAGGAATTTCGCACAATTATCAAACCTTATAGATCACATGAGGATCCACACTGGAGAGAAAACACACAAATGTGATCAGTGCGGGAAAACATTTTTGAGGCCTGCAGATCTGAAGAAACATCTTAGAGTTCACACAAAGGAGAAGCCTTATTCATGAGTGTGCAAAGAGGTTTACTCAACAATTCCATTTTAAAGTATATCAGAAGACCCACACTGGAGAGAAACCGTACACACACTCGGTGTTGGAAGAGTTTTGCTTGATCGTCCACCCTAATGAACAAAGATAGTGGTGGAAGGGGGGATTCTTCAAGGTGAAGATAACTAAAGTAAGAAACTCTGGTTATTTCTAGTGAGTTAGGAATCATCTGATTGGTGGATCATGCGTTAGTTAATGCAGGACCAGCTGTGATCAATCATAACATGCTCCTTAATTAGTTTTTCAAATAAACTTCGCCAAGTAAAAAATGGCGTAGCGAAGGTTCCGGTGACGTCATCTATCTGAAAGAGAGATAAACTTCCCTTGATACACGCGTGAATGCGTCAGACTGAAACGCAAGGTCGTCCGTCAGGTTTTCGCAGTTCAATATGTTGCAAAGTTCAAGCTTGGTGAACTCTGACCTCCAAAATCGCATCATTTGACTGTGTGAGACCAATCGAGGGTCAAAACATGACCTCTCTGGACAGAAATGTAAAGTATGGAGCAATCGCTCACTTTTTTAAATGTCTAATCATCTTGTTTAATCCCGCCGCTTTTCGCAATGGCGTACGACAGAATTACACAAGCTCATATCTAGTGTGACCGCAGCTTTAATCAAAAGATAGCAGAGGCGATAACGCCAATTGGAAAAGCATTAGACCGCGTTCAAAACATAGACCAGGTGATGAGCTAAATGATAAAAGTGATGAGACAACAAGACCTTAAACTGCTCGACCAAGAAGGGAGGTCACGACGGGGAAATATAAAGATCTACAATGTCCCGAGGGGGCATCGATGACACAGTTTATAGAGAAGTTTCTACCTGATGTGCTGAAGATTACGCCGACTACAGAACTTGATATTGAGAGAGCTCATCCAGTGCTCGCCCTAAAACCAACAGGTAAAAGAGGAGAAATAATCTAATTCCACCGCTACAAATTAAAGTGGAGATTCTACGCAAAGCCTGGGGAAAAAAAAAGGTGGCGATATACTTTGATCAAGATTACTCTCTAACGGTTCTGCAGAAATGCACGAAAGATACTGAGGCGAAACGAGTATTAAAACAGCAGCACATACGCTTCCAGGTCCCTTCACCAGCTAAACTTCAGGTGTTTTATGAGGATGGGACACGACTGTATCAGATGGCAGAGGAGCCGACTTCAGATATGAAGGACAGAGGACTGCCCGTTAATTAACAACAGGTGATTTAATTATGATGTGTAATCCATGACAGTAGCATGTTACCAGTATCTCATTTTGAACAAAATATTAGCGCATATAAAAATATGGTGACTACTTTTTGGTCTGTGTATTTGTACCGCCCCTTCTCTGCTGATTAAATATGCTGCATCCACAGAGCTCACAAACTGCGCTTCTCATTTTGTTGTTGAGTTTATTTTTTCATTTGCTTCAAGCTATTATTTCTTACATTTTTCTTTTGTTTACTTTTGTAGTTCAGGGAAAGATAATTTTGTACAAAGTCAATCACAAGCATTCTGAATTTAGGTGTATTTGTTGTGGAGGTTGCTGATGGTTTCACTTTCTCTTTCATAAGATGTATGCAATTGCCAAAAAATGCTGTTTTTATCATAATTTGAGTTAATAATATAATTTTTTTTAGCCGAATACTTACTAGATAAATGGAGATATTTAAAAACTGCCCTGTTGTTTATTGTTTTTAGAAAATACTTTAATACTTTCCGGATGCCATTTAAAATGAAAATTACAAAATTAAAAGATCATGTATGTATGTGATGTATGTGTGTGTGTTAGGGTCATCACGATTCTGGAATTTGTTACCAATCTATACTGTTTATATATATATATATATATATATATATATATATATATATATATATATATATATATATATATATATATATATACACGATCACATAAATTATATTTGTGTGTATACAGTTAAATAAAGTATTTTAAAGATTTTTTTCTTCTTTTTTAAATATTTCCCAAATGATGTTTAACAAAGCAAGGAAATTTTCACAGTATGTCTGATAATATTTTTTCTTTTGGAGAAAATCTTATTTGTTTTATTTTGACTAGAATAAAAGCAGTTTTATTTTTTTAAACACCATTTTAAGGTCAAAATTTTTAGTCCCTTTAAGCAGATTTTTTTTCTAACAGTCTACAAAACAAACCATTGTTATACAATAACTTGCCTAATTACCCTAACCTGCCTAGTTCACCTAATTAACCTAGTTAAGCCTTTAAATGTCTTTTACAGCATTATTTACTGTCATCATTACAAAGATAAAATAAATCAGCTATTAGGGATGAGAAATTAAAACTATTATATAGATATTTGTTTAAAAAAGTCTGCTCTCCGTTAAACAGAAATTAGGGGAAAAAATAAAAGGGGCTAATAATTCTGACTTCAACTGTGTGTATATATATATATATATATATATATATATATATATATATATATATATATATATATATACTTACTTTCTTTGTTATATCAGATTTTTGTAACACTTTAAATGTTTCTTTTTTCATATATTTATTACTTGAATCTAACATGACAATATTGCGTTGAGTCCTCCACAGTTTATGCGTGATTTGTAAAGATTTATGTCATTTTTAAAAATAAAAACAAAAGGCCGCCGTTGCTCCCGCTTCGCCGTGATGACGTCAACACTGACGCGTTCATTCAGCGTCGAGTCTTCAGAGCTGAGGTGAGTCGTTGACGCTTTTTCTCGTGTTTACACAACAATAAAACACACTTTACAGTTTATTAAAGCGACAATCTGCGACTAGTTTCTGCATTGAGTTCACCTCTATCTGTGTGTCTGCTGACCAAAACAACACAGCAGGCAGAGAGAAGCTCTGAGAGGACAATATGAGCTCAATGTTTGTTTACAGTGTGAGTTTTCCCTCATTTGTGATTATTTCGATAAATATGATCTGTGAAGGGAATTTTCTGCAGCAGATATGTGAACTATGATGCAGAAAACAAAAGTAATAGTTTGTGGAGCTCTGTTTTCTAAATGTTTTTGTTTCTGTACATTAATGTGCTGCTGCTAGTCATCTTATAACTTTATTAATTGATATTTAAACTTGATATTTATATAAATGCGATCTTATATTGTATTTAGTCTGAGGCTAATCAATATTATCAGTATTAACAAAATCCTCTTTATTTCATGTCAGTAGTTCTTGTTTTTCTCATTCATTATACTGCTGTCTTCAGATCTATAAATTGCCACATTAAGTTAATGTTATTGCTGTCAGCTCACTGAGCAAATTATTTAGTCACATATTGTGTCTCCTATAGAATATAACTAGATAACATACTATTTATTTCCTCCATCAGTGTAAATGAATCAGATTTCTCTGTTTGTTCTCCTGAAGCTCTGCCGCCATCAGTGAAAGACAAAGACAGAGTTTATTGAAGGACAGTGAGAAGATGAGTGATCCAGAACCCTGCAGAATTAAACAGGAAGAGACTGAAGAACTAATAGGTTTGTGTTTATTCATCACTCTTCAATTTGACTGTGGTGTGCAGTTTGTCGCAAAATGGCTGCCGTCGCATCATCCAGATGGATGCTGCACACTGGTGGTGGTGGATGTAAAGTTATTTACAGTGCCCAGAAAAGCGCTGTATGAATGTAAAGAATTATTATTATAAGAATTACTAATGATTTACTTGATTAAGAGTAAAAGTACACATATTTAAAAGTACACGTTACCCAATAATTTTACTGAAGTAAATGTAATTCGTTTAAACCCACCTCTGGTTACGTCCCACAGATCGCACTAATGTTTTTCTCTTCTTTTTCAATGTTTTATAACCTGTTTTAACACATTTTAGTCATTTTTATTGTTTGTTTTTATTTTTCGTATACTTGTCTCTTTTATTCTTGCTTATGTAAAGCACATTGAATTGCCACTGTGTATGAAATGTGCTATATAAATAAACTTGCCCTGCCTTACATGTAACTAGTTACTCCTCAACACTGCCTGTACTGTAGGGTAGTTTACAGTTTAACCCAAAGAATGAGCAGTCTGGTAGATGAAGAAGAGCCGGAGTCAGAGATTTAAATAAATAAATCAAGTTTACTGAAGATAGTTTGCAGTTTTATCCGCAGAAGCCAGCTTCAACACTCGCAATGAGTTCCTAGGCCGCTTTGCTTACAATCACCAATCAATAATAATTATACTCACACATAACGTCATTAACTGCGTCATACATACAGGTGTTCTAACCTGATTGGTTAAAACACAGATAGACTGGGAAATTATCTTGTGGGGTTCGTGCGTATATTCTGAACAATATCTTAAGCATAAACGTCAGACATCCCTTAGACTGATTAGAGCTGACTCCAGACCTGTGAAATGGATCAACAATCAAATAGAACACACACACTTTAAGTATAATCTGTTTCTTATCCAAGGCTGAGTGTACTCTCAGCCGTCTTTATCAAAACTGGTTTAAAACCAGTATAATCTACATTCAGGCAGTTATATTCTTACTACACAAAGTCTATCTTGAATAAAAGAAGAATCACTTTAATAGATTTAACCGTAAAAATAGCAAAATCACTTTAGATATTTTAGATAGTAATAACTACTAGAAATAACAATAGAAACAGTTGCTTCCAGTCCTCAGTTCCACTCAAGATCTCCATGACCTCTGTCCTAGTTGGGTGGCTTCTGAAAATAGGTATAAAGAGACAGGCAAATGCACTGAACATTCTTATATTAAGCAATGTGTTAACTTACTCATTAATTCAAATCAATTCACAGTTAAATACTGACAAACAGGATGATGGAAAGGATAAACGTTGGTCCATGATGAGACGGATTGGAAAGCAGAAATCCGAATCCTTCAGTATGGTTAGAAACTATTCAAGAGTGGCGCATGCTGTAAAACACTAGCAGATTAACATGTGACTTACTCATTTTCAGATGTGAAGGTGAAGGAGGAGAGTGAAGAACTGAGTGAAGATGAGGAGAAACATCATGTCAAAACTGAAATCGAAGCTCAGACAAAGACTGAAGAAGGTTTTTTAATGAGAAGAACAGCCGTGAAATGTTTCACCTGCACTCAGTGTGGAAAGAGTTTCAGCCATGAATACAATCTCAGGCGTCACATGATGATCCACACTGGAGAGAAACCTTACAAGTGTTCATATTGCGAGAAGAGCTTCAATTGTTCAGGAAACCTGAATAATCATGAGAGGATCCACACGGGGGAGAATACACACAAATGTGATCAGTGTGGAAAGAGTTTCACAACACCGTCACATTTTAAAGACCATCAGAAGATCCACACTGGTGTGAGAGAGTTTGAGTGTTTGACATGCAATAAGACTTTCTTTACATCTGGAGACTTGAAAAAGCACCAGAAGATCCACACTGGAGAGAAACCGTACGTGTGTTCGCACTGCAACAAGAGATTTACTCATTCAGCACAGCTGAAAGTACATGAGAGGACTCACACTGGAGAGAAACCGTACACGTGTACTCAGTGTGGGAGGAATTTCGCACAGTTATCAAACCTTATAAATCACATGAGGATCCACACTGGAGAGAGACCGTTCACATGTACTCAGTGTGGGAAGAATTTCACTCAGTTATCGCACCATACAGATCACATGAGGATCCACACTGGAGAGAGACCGCACAAATGTGATCAGTGCAGTAAGACATTTTTGAGGCCTTCAGATCTGAAGAAACATCTTAGAGTTCATACAAAGGAGAAGCCTTACTGTGTGCCCACATCGAAAGCGGCGACAACATCAAAGTAGCTGTAGGTCATTCAATTTTAATAGTAGCTGGCGGTAGGGCTGTGCAATTAATCGAAAATCCGTTTTCGATTTTGGCTTGTAACGATTATGAAAAACCATTAATCGGGATAAACGATTATTCCATCACGTACCGCCCCCTTTCCAGTTGTACACCTGTGAAAGCTCTTTGCCTCTGCAAAGCTCAGTTCCACGTGAAAATGACTGAAAGCATGTGCTGTACTGTAACTTTTGCAGCACGAGATGTGCATCATTCATGTTTTTAAAAGCGCAAAAGAGCAGGTGCTGTTGTGTGTGTGCACCGCGCTTAGCCTCGGACAGGTAGCATGTGTGTGTTTCCACGTGCGCCGCGCTTAGCCTCGGATAGCAGAGCACACACACATCTAACACGATCTTAATATGAGCGCTTTAATGGTCAAATACATGCACATTTGTGTCAAAGCGCGGTGTTTAGTGATTATTCATATTAACCCTTATTTGTGTAATAAACAAACAAGTTGAGAATCAAAAGACGCGTGAAAGAGAAACCATATCAGAGCCGCACGATTCTTAAAGTGACAGCGTGCGGTATTCCTGCTGCTGCCGACTGTTTTTAATATTGATCAATAATAAAATCAAAAATACAGTGAAGTTGCTTAAAGCGCAGTTTAAACAACAGATTTGATAACTCATTTCTAATTTATGATTTATTTTATCTTTGCTATGATGACAGCACATTACATTTTACTAGACATTTTTCAAGATACTAGTATTCAGCTTAAAGTGACATTCAAAGGCTTAATTAGGGTTGTAGGGATAGTTTACAGTTTAACCCAAAGAATGAGCAGTCTGGTAGATGAAGAAGAGCCGGAGTCAGAGATTTAAATAAATAAATCAAGTTTACTGAAGATAGTTTGCAGTTTAATTCGCAGAAGCCAGCTTCAACACTCTCAATGAGTTCCTAGGGCGCTCTGCTTACAGTTTCAACAATCGAACAATTATACTCTTTACACAAGTCCAGAAAGGGTGGGATCCAGGTAAACAGTTCTCATTGGTTACAACAGAAATAGACAATTCTAAATACATGCGTCAAAGAAACATAGTATCTACTTCCAGATATGGACGGCCTTAATGTGTGCGTCAAAGAAAGCATTGTATCTGTCTCCAGATATGGATGGCGACCTGATGCCCGGAGGTGAGGTCGCCTTAAGTTATTAGGAGCTGATCTCCGACCTGTAAAAAGCTAAACCAGGAACACAATAGACACAAACGACCATCTGTGTTAAAGACTCAAGGATGTTTCTTGTACGTTCAGCTGTGTTATCAGGCTGGTTCAAGACTGTTTCCATCAACAGTCTGCTGCAATATCTTGGCTACACACAGTCTGTCTCCACACAAAAAGGAATTACATTAAAAATGTATTATACTCATAAACAGATCAATCAAACAGCTATAATATTATAGGCAATATATCAGGACAATAAAACAGGTGTCTTCTTCTCCTCTGTATTGGACCTCCAGTCATAAGAACAGATGGAGAGAGAGAGAGAGAGAGAGAGAGAGAGAGAGAGAGGTCTCCATGACCTATGACCTGGTTTGTGTGTCTCCTGAAAACAAAGTTAAAATAGACAGGCAAAAAGAGAAACAAGGACACAGAACATTCTTGCAGTAAGCAGTTTTAACTTATTCATTAGTTAAAATCAATTCACAGTTAAATACTGAGAAACAGGATGATGAAAAGGATAAACGGTGGTCCATGATGAGACGGATTGGAAAGCAGAAATCCGAATCCTTCAGGGTAAATAGACAAGTCATTGTATAACAGTAGTTTCTTCTGCAGACAATAAAACATATATTTCTTAAAGGGGCTAATAATATCGAGCTATTAAAATAGGTTTCAAAATATTCAAACCTGCTTTTAATCTAGCTGAAATAAAACAAATAAGCCTTTCTCCAGAAGAAAAAAATATTATAGGAAATACTGTAAAGAAATTCCTCTGTTAAACATCATTTGGGAAATATTTATATATAAAAAATAAATTCACAGGAGGACGAATAATTTTAACTTCAACTGATAATCGTTTTGAATAATCGTGATTTCAATTATGACCAAAATAATCGCGATTATGATTTTTCCCATAATCGAGCAGCCCTAGCCGGCGGTGACCAGCAGCATGGTGCATCTTCGCCAGTGTGGGCGTCGAGGACAGTTGAAGTCAAGTCAACTTCATGGTTATGAGCTATGACGCTGTTCAGTGGCAAGCAATCGAAACGTAGAAGTCCAGCGCTTGAGAGGAGTCCAGAGAACAGCCCTGTGAACTTTGGTTCTGACCGCAGCTGTTCTCAGGGATTTGATTATTGCATTCGCTGGATTTCCAGTTATTTATGATGTTTTCTTACAGGAACAGACATTAATAAAAGATACTGGCGAGTTACTGATGTGCATTAGTGTTATTATTTTTCTTTAATAAAGCGGGAATCTCATGCGACAGCACAAAACTGCTTCAGAATATTTCAGATATCTGGACACATATTGGGTGAGTGGAGCAAAGCCACACCACATGCAGCTCGATCTTCCATTGTTAAATGAATCTTATCAGAAGTGCTCAATTTTTTCATGCTAGAAAGTAGTGATGGTGAAATGAAGCTTTCTGAACCAGCGAAGCGTTTCAATTGTATCGGAAAAAGGTTCGTTACTCGAAGCTTTCTAAATCAGAGCTCGATGAGGACCTCTTCTGGTGAAAGTGTGGGAAAGCACTGTGTTGCCATAATGTCAAATGTTCACAACTGACCAACTCATTCATGTAGTAATACAACAACAGCAATATAAACAAATTACTCAATTACTGTAGTTTTTACACAAGATGTATTACATTACACAACTGATGACTGTGGTAAAATCCAAGGTACTGTTAAACACACACTACGATATGCGTTGATTTTCTTTAAAGATAGTCATAAAAAATACGCTAATACACTTTAGTATTGTTCAAAACCTTTTTACTAAAAATACTATTGTAGTTTAGTTTAATTACTGGTGTGTGGGACTGGTGCAGTGCTTTGAAACAAATGTATGTAATAGACGCAGATTCTCTCGCTATACACTTTACTATGAGGGTGTTTAAACCTTTGAATCAAAATTCGAAGCAGTCACGTGGGTAAAGGCGAAAATGAAGCTTCGGACGTCACTGATCACGTGATGATGGCAAAACGAATCAAGCTCCGGTACACTGCTTCACTGCGAGATGTATCGTTTTTTTGATACATGCTTCGAAGCCTCGGCGCACAACGTCACATCACTACTAGAAAGCACGCTTTATGCGGGAATCTAACTGATTTGCTGATAATGCTGCACACATTTTCTAAATTATTTATAGCATTACCCACAATTATCAGCAATGCAGTTTCTATTGATTGCTTTAAGAAGCTTCTTAAGCCGCATCTCAATATGTATCTTTTGCTTTTTTATTGTTTTATTGATTATTGTGCGTGACTTTTGGCTCGTTACTGGGATTTTATGTAAGCTTGTAATTCTGGCTTGGGCTGCGTTTGTATTTTTTGTTGTAGGATTATTCATTGGTTTAACGCCAGTATGCTTCATAAATGGAAAAAGAAATCTCTCGTAATAAACAACAGATGATTAAATTATGATGTGTAATCCATGACAGTAACATATTACCAGTGTCTCATTTTGAATAAAATATCAGTGACTATAGAAATGTAGTGACTAACCAGTAATATTTACTGTTTGGTCTGTGTATTGGTCCCGCCTCTTCTCCGCTGATTGGACAGATGGGTAAAAGATGACAGTGACTGTTTACAAGCACCATCTTAAGTTCTTATCAGATTTTAGCAACGTTGAGATTAAATTTTTACCTCATTTGTAGGTCATTTAGGCCCAATTGTACCCTTTAAGCCCTTACCTGTTCCATATATCTTAAGCTTGAAGATGTAAGAATAATTGGCAGTGCGTGTGTGTGTGTGTGTGTGTATATATATATATATATATATATATATATATATATATATATATATATATATATATATATATATGAATCGAATATGACATTATTGCGTTTAGTCTTCCACAGTTTATGCGTGATTTGTAAAGTTTTATGTCATTTTTAAAAATAAAAATAAAAGTCCGCCGTTGTTCCCGCCCCACCGTGATGACGTAAGCGCTGACTTGTTCATCCAGCGTCGAGTCTTCAGAGCTGAGGTGAGTCGTTGACGCTTTTTCTCGTGTTTACACAACAATAAAACACACTTTACAGTTTATTAAAGCGACAATCTGCGACTAGTTTCTGCAGTGAGTTCACCTCTATCTGTGTGTCTGCTGACCAAAACAATACAGCAGGCGGAGAGGAGCTCTGAGAGGACAATATGAGTGAATGTGCTTGTTTACAGTGTGAGTTTACCCTCATTTGTGATTATGTCGCTAAATAAGATCTGTGAAGGGAGTAGTTTTTGGAGCTCTCTGTTTTCTAAATCTTATTTGGGATTTTACAGTTTCTGTATTATAATGTGCTGCTGTTAGTAATCTAATCACTTTATTGGATGAAATTTAAACAAGATCTTCATATAAATGCTGTCATATTTTTTGTCTGAAGCTCATCAATATTATCAGAATTAACAAACTCCTCTTTATTTCATGTCAATTGTTTTTTTTTCTCTTATTCATTATACTGATGTCTTCAGGTCTATGATATTCCCACATTAGATTAATTTTATTAGCATCAGCTCATTGCAAATTAACTGCTCATATATTATGTCTCCTATAAGATTTAACATCATACTATTTATTTCCTCAATCAGTGTAAATGAATCAGATTTCTCTGTTTGTTCTCCTGAAGCTCTGCTGCCATCAGTGAAAGACCAAGACAGAGTTTATTGAAGGACAGTGAGAAGATGAGTGATCCAGAACCCTGCAGAATTAAACAGGAAGAGACTGAAGAACTAATAGGTTTGTGTTTATTACATTTATTACAATTTGAGCCAAACACACAAACGCTTTTATTCATGATTGTTTGCCTGTACGGTTAAAAACTATTCATGAAAAAACTAGCAAATTTGGCTGCTGTACGCACTAACAAAAATATATCCACTTATTGTGGACTTCATTGTGGCACAAGACAGGGTTGCCCTTTGTCCCCACTTTTACTTGCAGTTGTGATGGAAGCTCTGGGCTGGAGTGGAACATAAGGTTTCATTTTATGCGGACGAGATGTTATTATATTTGTCACACCCCCTTTCAAGTTTTCCCAAATTGTTAAAGTTACTTTGGTAAACTTTCTGGCTATAAAATCAACATTATAGTGAATTAATGCTTGTTGGAGATGCGGTCAATTTATCAGCCCCTTTTAAAATTAGCCTTTAGAAATTGAAATGCCTATAAAGATTTATATGTGTCCAATTATCAGCTTTTATTATCCAATCTGAAGCAAGATTTTGAGCGATGGGACACCTGCCTTTGTCATTGGGCGGTAGAATTAGTACGGTACAGATGAATGAGCTGCCAAATTGTTGCATATCTTTCAATATCTTCCTTCTTTTCTTACAAAATCGTTCTTCCTTAATTTAAATAATCAGATATCAGCCTTTATCTGGAATAAAAAAAAACACCTCAGATAAGAATCAAGTATGCTGCAGAGACCTCGCGCAAAGGGACGAATGGCACATCCAAATGTTATAGTCAGTATAAGAGCATTGCTATATTGGATGAGCAATGACACCACTGATCCTTCACGGGCGATTCCTGAGCGGTCTTCAGTTGATCCCACCTCTATAGAAGCCTTTTTGTGGTCTAGACTAGCATTCGCACAGCCTATCTATAGTCTGACTTCCAATCCAGTTGTTATATATTCAATTAAAATCTGGAATCAGATGAGGCATTATTTCACTCTTAAAGATTCATTATGGTGGCTTGAGAATGTCAACATACTGTTATACTACATAAACTTATTACTCTTCCGTCTTCTGGGACTATTTTTAGAACGCATCTCCTCCTAGACTGTTCAAACTACAACCACCAAAGTAACTCCAAACCTCCAAACTATACTGAATTAACTTGCTATATCTTTTCCAACTGATCCGACTTACAGTTTTCTGAAAACTGACCCGGAAAATTTGAAAAAGTCCCATTGCCTTAACATTCGACCAAATTTGTGACCTCATAACTTTCCGCCAGATCGCATAAGAGATGTGCGAATAAAGCAGCGTTTCCATCCACTGATTGAAAGAGAAAGAAAATCATCACTTGCTGATAAACGGGCGCCAAATATCAACAGTAAAAACAGAATTTACTGCGGTAGAAGCTGCGTGAATCATTTCTTTATTTAATAAATGAATTTTAACTCAGAGGACAAATGCTGACACACAATGAACATGTGATGGTGTTTGAAGGCATCAGACCCAGAACATAGATGCTCTTGACAGCTCTGGAGGTCATTAAAAATATAATAACACTAATACTGAACCGGTCAATGCGTTTTAGAATGATCAAAACATCATTTCAGATGGTTTACAGTGTGCTCAGCCTGCTGATTTGTCCATTCACACACATTTTAATCGTCACATGATCTCCTTTAACAAAATCATATGACCTTTTTTTAAAGCGCATACTGGAATTTGTTCTGTAAAATAGTTTCCATCACAGTTGATGCGCATCTTTTCTTAACGAATAAAAGTTTATCCTTCTCATTTATGCGCATACATTTTTACCCGTGTTTTCAAAGTTATGTGCATCATGGCGTTTTCATTAATTGTTTTTATACGCATCTCTACATGATTATTAAAATAGGTAGGTGGAAACGTAAGGCTAAGGCGAGAAATAGCGCTTCATCTTTAAAAAAGGGGAGGAGACCGACAGAAACTCTGAGTTAAGAGAATAAAACCTGCTCCTGACTAGGTTAGGTTCACAGAGTAAGTTACCTCAGTAACTGACCCCTAGTAAAAGTTACCTCTCTTTCTTAAACAGGCTTGACTTACCCTGCTCTCTCGAGTTTGACAAACCTGCCATTTTAAAATGGAAAACCCAGAGTTTATCTCAATTCAGGGTTAAAATACTCTTGAGTTTTCACTAAACCTCCTTTCTAAAACAGGGCCAGTAAGGCATACTATCAAAGGTCTGGCAACCTTTTTTAACTCTTGTGTTGGAAATGGACACGCACAACATGACAGTCTGAGAAAAAAGGAACTTGTGTCATATTTTCATGTCATGTATTTTATTTTCTCTATGGACATTTGATTATATATTGTTCCTAGTTCTGGCGTTTTGTTTGCTCTGTACAACTTGGAAAACAAATAAAAAAAATTGTAAAAAAAAAAAACACTAGCAGATTAAAATGTTACTTATTCATTTTCAGATGTGAAGGTGGAGGAGAGTGAAGAACTGAGTGAAGATGAGGAGAAACATCATGTCAAAACTGAAGATTTTTTTTTTAATGGAAAGAACAGCCGTGAAAGGTTTCGCCTGCACTCAATGTGAAAAGAGTTTCAGCCATCAATACAATCTCAAGCATCACATGATGATCCACACGAGCTTCAATTGTTCAGAAAACCTGAATATTTATGAGAGGATCCACAGTGGAGAGAAAACACACAAATGTGATCAGTGCAGCAAAACATTTTTGATTTCTTCAGATCTGAAGAAACATCTTAGAGATCATACTAAAGAGAAGCCTTATTCAAGTGCTGAGTTTGGAATCAGTTTTAGACCGCAGTCGAATTTAAGAAAACATGTTAAGGTCCACACTGGCGTGAAAGAGTTTGTCTGCTTTGAATGTAAGAAGAGTTTCTTTAGAGCTGAACAACTAAAGCTGCACCAGATGATTCACACCGGAGAGAGACCGTACAAGTGTTCACACTGCGACAAGAGATTCAGAAGGTTACAAACATTGAAAACACACGAGATGATTCACACTGGAGAGAAACCATACACATGTTCTCAGTGTGGGAGGAGTTTCAGGCAATCATCATCCCTTAATAATCACATAAGGATCCACACTGGAGAGAAAACACACATATGTGATCAGTGCGGGAAAATATTTTCAAGGCCTTCACATCTGAAGGTCCATCTTAGACTTCATACAAATGAGAAGCTTTATTCATGCGCTGAGTGTGGAAAGAGTTTCACAACATCGTCACACTTTAAAGACCATCAGAAGATCCACACTGGTGTGAGAGAGTTTGCGTGCTCTGCATGCAATAAGAATTTCTTTACATCTGGAGACTTGAAAAAGCACCAGAAGATCCACACTGGAGAGAAACCGCATGTGTGTTCACACTGCAACAAGAGATTTACTACTTTAGGACAGCTGAAAGTACATGAGAGGAGTCACACCGGAGAGAAACCGTACACGTGTACTCAGTGTGGGAAGAGTTTCACACAATCATCAAGCCTTGTAAATCACATGAGGATCCACACTGGAGAGAAACCGTTCACATGTTCTCAGTGTGGGAAGAGTTTCACTCAGTTATCACACTATATAGGACACATGAGCATCCACACTGGAGAGAGACCGCACAAATGCGATCAGTGCGGTGAAACGTTTTTGAGGCCTTCAGATCTGAAGAAACATCTTAGAGTTTATACAAAGGGGAAGCCTTACTGTGTGCCCACATTCAAAGCGGCGAGAGAGTCAAAGTAGCTAAAAGTCATTCATTTTCAATAGTAGCTGGCGGTGAGGAGCAGCATGGTGCATCTTAACCAGAGTGTGTGTCGAGGACAGTTGAAGTCAAGTCAACTTTATGGTAATGAGCTATGACGCGGTTTGGTGTCAGCCAATTGAAATGCAAAAGTCCAGCGCTTGAGAGGAGTCCAGAGAACAGCCCTGTGAACTTTGGTTCTGACCACAGTTGTTCTCAAGGATTTGATTATTGCGGTCGGCGGATTTCCAGTTATTTACGATGTTTTCTTACAGGAACAGACATTAATAAAAGATACTGGCGAGTTACTGATGTGCATTAGTGTTATTATTTTTCTTTAATAAGTGGGAATCTCATGCGACAGCACAAAACTGCTTCAGAATATTTCAGATATATGAGCTGCGTCCCAAATTGCATACTTATGCACTATTCTACGCCATTTTGTAGTATAAATAGTATAAGTAGTGTGTTCACACTGAAAACTTAAAAAAATAATAAGTGCACTTCAATTACCCGGATGATGCACTCATTCAGCCGCTAAAATCACGCACTCAACGACTGCAGGTTTGCTTACGTAGCGGAAGGGGGGGAGCTATCGGGCGCACATGTTGGATTATTTCATTTGTTTTGGATGGTGAAAGCAAAATTCTCCTACGAGAGTGATTATAGCGCCTTCCAATGGTGAATGCGGTTATACTCACGGCAGGTATTATTTGGTAATTCGGTCGTTTATTTCACTGATTTGGCAAACGTCATCAGGGAAACGGTTTGAATTTCCGCTTAGTAAAAAAACATTAGTGTGCCATTTGGGACGACACTACATACATATACTATCCTGTTGAGTGTGTAAGTGCATAAGTACATAGTGTATAGTGTGCCATTTGGGACGCAGCTATGGACACATTGGATAAGTGGAGCAAAGCCACACCACATGCATTGACCATTGTTGACTGAATTTGATAAAAAGTGTGCAACATTTTCATCCGGGACACAAGTTTTATGCGGAAATGTAACTGATTTGCTGCTAATTCTGCACAGGGGCGTGATTTTTCTAAATTATGGAAAGCATTACTATATTTAAAGCTGTGATTCATCAGCGGATCGCTCATATTTCAGCTCATATACAAACCAGCTGATCGACATGACTTTGAAACGCTCCATTGTTCCTATATCTGGGATTATACTCAGTAAACAGAGGTGAGTTCGGTGAACAGATGACCTTCTCGGCCAATCACAGTCATTTCTGTTGAGCATGTGAACACAATGGCAAATATGCACTGTTTAGAAAACGCTCAGTAGAGCTCAAAAGTTAGTGGGAAATGGACCGAATACCAGTATCGTGACAAGCCTAATATACCAAATATATATACATATAAATAAAGGGTTCAGATGCAAAACCTAAATGCCATGTAAAATGTCCTAAAATTAGCATTTTCCCCCGCCTCCTATATTTATGTTCAGTTGTTTCACATTAAAGGCAATGAAAAGAACTTATTCGTCACTATAAAAGTGAAATAACAGAGTCCACACACTACAGTTGGAGAAAAAAAATTGTGATTTTAGGAGAAAATATGAAATGGCGTTTAGAGTTTTTATTTACATCTAAACTCTTTATCTTTTTTCATATATATTACTTGGACCTAATATGACACTATTGCGTTGAGTCTTCCACAGTTTATGCGTGATTTGTAAAGTTTTATGTCATTTAAAAAACTAAAAATAAAAGTCCTCCGTTGTTCCCGCCCCGCCGTGATGACGTCATCACTGACGCGTTCATTCCGCGTCGAGTCTTCAGAGCTGAGGTGAGTCGTTGACGCTTTTTCTCGTGTTTACACAACAATAAAACACACTTTACAGTTTATTAAAGCGACAATCTGCGACTTGTTTCTGCAATGAGTTCACCTCTATCTGTGTGTCTGCTGACCAGAACAATACAGCAGGCAGAGAGCAGCTCTGAGAGGACAATATGAGTGAATGTGTTTGTTTACTGTGTAAGGTTTCAACGTTTGTGATTATTTCGCTAAATAAGATCTGTAATGGGAATCTTCTGCAGCAGATATGTGAACTATGATGCAGAAAACAAAAGTAATAGTTTGTGTTTTTTGTTTCTGTACATTAATGTGCTGCTGTTAGCAATGTAATCACTTTATTGGCATATATTTATACTGGATAGTCATGATCCTCTGATGCTCATTAATATTGTCAGAATCAACAAAATCCTCTTATTTCATGTCCATACTTCTTGTTTTTCTCTCATTCATTATATTGATGTCTTCAGATTGTTCAATTGCCACATTAAGTTAATGTTATTGGTGTCGGCTGATTGAGCAAATTATTTAGTCACATATTGTGTCTCCTATAGAATATAACTAGATAACATACTATTTATTTCCTCAATCAGTGTAAATGACTCAAATTTCTCTGTTTCTTCTCCTGAAGCTCTGCCGCCATCAGTGAAAGACAAAGACAGAGTTTATTGAAGGACAGTGAGAAGATGAGTGATCCAGAACCCTGCAGAATTAAACAGGAAGAGACTGAAGAACTAATAGGTTTGTGTTCATTCATTACTCTTTAATTTGAGCCAAACACAAAAACGCGCTTATTCATGATTGTTTGCCTGTATGGTTAAAAACTAATCAAGAAAAAAACTAGCAAATTTGTCTGCTGTACGCAATAACATTAGTATATCTGCTTGATTTGAACAAGACAGGGTTGCCCTTTGTCCCCACTCTTATTTGCAGTTGTGATGGAAGCTCTAGCTCTGGGCATTCAGCGGGCAGGAGTGGAACATAAGGTTTCATTGTATGCGGACGATATGTTATTATATTTGTCACACCCCCTTTGAGTTTTCCCAAATTGTTAAAGTTACTTAAGCAAAATATCTGGCAATAAAATCAACATTATAGAGTAAAAATGCCTGTTGGAGATGCGGTCAATCTATCATGTTTAGGATCAGCCCCTTTTTAAAAAAATTGAATCGCACCTGTATTTTCCCGGTCATGGCTAGGCGTGTATCGGCAAACAAATACAACCCTGATTTTGCTGAATAAACAGTGATCCACCAGATCCTATATGTATGTAAGTTAGTATAGTTTACTGTTGAACAACTCATTTTATCATGGTAAAATAACACAGAAATGTAATTATAAGCCTTCAATCTCCTCCTGAAGCTCTGACGGACTGCTATGACAAACTGTCAACAACTATCAATGACAGTGACACGCCTTATTTTTATAGCTTTAAATTACTGGCCAAAAACAAACTGTTTACAAAAATGAAGATCTGCAGCTACATCAGCATGATAACCTTAATTGACCAAAACCGTCTTGCGGGACATTTTAATGCAAGTGTATTTTTTTTATTTGGGCTATACCGGTTGTAGATCATTTACAATCAAAATTTTAGTGTATTAAAGAAATGGGGGGACACAGTGAAAAGTTGCTGGAATTTGAGGCTACAAAGTTCTGAAAGTTGCAAGTACCGGTCTACAAAGTCTACAACCGGGACCTTTACTCATAAGCAGGCGTGTGGCACACTTGGTTTGAAACAAGGTCTAGGAAGGACGTGATTTCGCTGTCTGATCTTTATATTGATGGAAACCTTGCTTCTTTTGAACATCTAGCACAGAAATATGACATTCCCAAATCACACATCTATAGGTACTTGCAACTTTCAGAACTTTGTAGCCTCAAATTCCAGCAACTTTTCACTGTGTCCCCCCATTTCTTTAATACACTAAAATTTTGATTGTAAATCTTTCAGCAATACAAGCAATTTTCTCATCATCCATGTGCCTCAGACATGCTGTACAGTGGCGTAGCGGACGGGCCCGCAGGGCACGCACCGCGGGGGGGCCCCGCGTGATTAGGGGGCCCCACGTCGTCGCGATTTTTAATAATTGAAAATCCAGGAACCGCAATAATCAAACTCTTGGGAACAACTGTGGCCGGAACCAAAGTTTACAGGTCTGTGTTCTCTGAATTCCGCTCAGGCGGTGGACTACTTCATTCTGATTGCTTGCCGCCGAACCGCGTCATGGCCAATGAAGACGCGCCGCTGTTTCTCGCCGCCGGTTCTCGTTAAAAAATGAATGACTTCTGGCCTCTTTGACGCTCTCGCCACTTTCGGTTTGTGATAGCTCCTCAGTTTGTGAAGGATTCCCCGCGTTGTCGCTCCACCCCGCCTCCTTTCCCCGCTCCTCAATTTGTGACATAGATATATATACACTAGATATCGCATAGGGACCCTGAGCATGCGTCAATAGCGCCGCCACATTGGTACAGTGCTCCCAGGACAAATGTCATTCAACCGCACTAGTCAGGACAGTAATATTACGTGAAGATGCTCGACTTAAGCGCTGTCTACGAGTGTAGTAACGAGAAAACAAAGCACAAAGGCAGAACATTTCATAGGATTAAGTTTTTTATGTTTTTGTATGTTTTGAAATTTGTGCTAAACAGGTCACGTTATTGATAATAGCTAGTCACTTACTGCATTCACCATAAGGCAAAGTAACACCAACTCGCACTAAACACTCGGTTTATGCTAGGTTTGTTGAATAAATCAGCAAACAATGCAAAAGAAATATGACAAAGAGATGCTGCGCTGCCAGAAACTTATTATTGTCGGCTAACGAACGAGTCGTTCATAACAGAGATTCATTCACAAATGAATCGCTCCCTCCGTCAGTATGAGAAGTGAAAGCAGGAGAGGAGCTGTGTTTCAGCACATGATTAGATCAAATTTAACAGGGAGAGTGAATAGTACATTTCCATACACACAAACACAAGCTTTTTGTCAGGAAAGCCCGTGCGATAAGTGATCCATCAATGTAGAAAAGTGGTCAAATAAACATTTTCATAATTAAAAAAAAAATGCATACTAACATCCAGGAAAACTCCCGATCATAGATATATGTGTATATATATATATATCTGTATATACACCCCCCCTCCCCGGCTTCTACTTGGGGGCCCCGTCGGTGATCCCTGCAGGGGGGCCTCCGCATTTTGCGCTATACAATACACTACAAAATTGTTCATCGTTTGCACTTGTCTAAACTCAGACTCTCTAAGATCAATGCCGACATGATCCTGCTACCCTGCTGCACATGTTCTGGACATGTCCAAAGCTTTAAATATACTGGATTAGTATTTTTGAGACCTTCTCTAAAGCATTTAGGGTGAAGCATCACCATTTCTCGTGTCGTTCGGGGTGGCCCCTGAGAACACTCCTCTCAACACAAGACAACTGAACATGTTATCTTTGGTTCTCCTCTGGCTAGAAGACTGATATTGTTTAAATGGAAAGACCCTGTTCCACCAACACATACTCACTGGATAAGAGGAGTGATGTCTCATCTTAAGTTGGAGACAATAAGGCATACAAGGGTCTGTCAAGACATTTTATAAGGTCTGGCAACCTCAAGTAGTTTGATTACTGATGTCCATGTAAACACCGTCACCGTCTTTTTCCCCTGCGTCCTTGTGTTTGTTTAGCCTCTGTGGAAATCAGCGCGTGCCCAAACTGAAACTCCCCTTTTTATGCAAACCCTTTCCCTCTTCTGACACTCCCACCTAAACAGAGCTGGACACACCCACTTTCCTGACTTATTTCAAATTAAAAGTGTGAAAACAGGGTTTCATGGCCCTTTAACTCGTGTGATGGAAACGGACGCAAACAACATGACAATCTGAGAAAAAAGCAACTCGTGTCGTATCTTCATCTCATGTTTTCATCTTTTATTTTCTCTATAGACATTGGATTATATATTGTTCCTAGTTCTGGTGTTAAAAAAACTTGTGCAAAAAACAAACTAGTAAATTAAAATGTGACTTATTCATTTTCAGATGTGATGGTGAAGGAGGAGAGTGAAGAACTGAGTGAAGATGAGGGGAAACGTCATGTCAAGAGGGAAGAAGAAACTCAATCAGAGACTGGCGATAGTTTTTTAATGGAAAGAACAGCTGTGAAAGGTTTCACCTGCACTCAGTGTGGAAAGAGTTTCAGCCATGAATACAATCTCAAGCATCACATGCTGATCCACACTGTAGAGAAACCTTACAAGTGTTCATATTGCAACAAGAGCTTCAGCCGTTCAAGAAACCTGAATAAACATGAGAGGATCCACACTGGAGAGAAAACACACAGATGTGATCAGTGCAGGAAAACGTTTTTTCATTCTTCAGCTCTGGAGAGCCATCTTAGAGTTCATACAAAAGAGAAGCCTTATTCCTGTGCTGAGTGTGGAAAGAGTTTTACACTACAGTCATATTTAAGAAAACATGTTAAGGTCCACACTGGCGTGAAAGAGTTTGTCTGCTTTGAGTGTAAGAAAAGATTTATTAGAGCTCAAGAACTGAAGCTGCACCTCAGGATTCACACCGGAGAGAAACCGTACAAGTGTTCACACTGCGAGAAGAGATTCGGACGGTTAGCCACAATGAAAACACACGAGAGGATTCACACTGGAGAGAGACCGTTCACATGTACTCGGTGTGGGAAGAGTTTCAGGCAATCATCATCCTTTAATAAACACATGCTGATCCACACTGGAGAGAAAACACACAAGTGTGATCAGTGCGGGAAAATATTTTCGAGGCTTTCAATTCTGAAGGTCCATCTTAGAGTTCATACAAAGGAGAAGCCTTATTCATGGTCTGAGTGTGGAAAGAGCTTTACTCCGCAATCACATTTCAAAGACCATCAGAAGATCCACACTGGTGTGAGAGAGTTTGAGTGCTCTGCATGCAAGGAGAGTTTTTTTACATTAGGAGACTTAAAAAGGCACCAGAAGATCCACACTGGAGAGAAACCGTTTGTGTGTTCACACTGCAACAAGAGATTTACTACTTTAGGAAATCTGAAAGTACATGAGAGACTTCACACTGGAGAGAAACCGTTCACATGTACTCAATGTTGGAGGAATTTCTCACAATTATCAAACCTTAAAAGTCACATGCTGGTCCACACTGGAGAGAAAACACACAAATGTGATCAGTGCGGTAAAACATTTTTAAGGCCTTCAGATCTGAAGAGACATCTTCGACTTCATTCAAAGGAGAAGCCTTATTCATGTTCTGAGTGTGGAAATAGTTTTACTCAGCAATCCCATTTGGAAGCACATCAGAAGATCCACACTAGAGAGGAACCGTACACGCACTCAGTGTTGGAAGAGTTTTGCACGATCATCATCCCTTGATAAACACATGATCGGTGCGGCAGGACATTTTTTAAGTTTTGCAGTCTTAAGAAACTTCTTGATCTTCATACTGAGGAGAAGCTTTAGTCCTGCATTTAGATCTGAGTGCTGCATTCGATACTGTATGTCACAGTATATTATTGGACAGACTTCACTAGTGGATCTGTTGATCTGGAACTGTCAAACTGGTTAACATCATATCTTTCCAAACGCTCTCAGTTTGTCTTTCTGTGTGCCATTGCGTCAGTGTGTCCCACAGGGATCAGTTCTGGGTCCACTCTTATTTAGTATTTATATGCTCCCTTATGGGGTGGCTCAGTGGTTAGCACTGTCACCTCAATGCAAGAAGGTCGCTTAGGCGACTCCCAACTGGGCCAGTTGGCATTTCTGTGTGGAGTTTGCATGTTCTCTCGTGTTGGTGTGGGTTTCCTCCAGGTGCTCTGGTTTCCCCCACAGTCCAAACACATGAGCTATAGGAGAATTGGGTTAACTAAATTGGCCGTAGTGTATGAGTGACTAACCAGTAATATTCACAGTTTGGCCTGTGTATTGGTCTGTGTATTTGTCCCGCCCCTTCACCATCTTATGCCTAGTTCACACTAGAGGATTTTAAGCCTGATTTGAGCCCGATTTGGAAGTTAATAAGCTCGCTGACAGATCGGGCTGTGATCGGGAAGAAGTCTGCGGGTGCTCGGCGCTCGCCGCTCTTTATGTGTGAACTACTGAACAACGCATCAACGAGGCTCGCTGACGCGTCGCCGACACCTCGCAGATGGAAATCCAACATTCAGCATGCTAAATATTCCAGAGCAGTCGGCCGACTCAACACCACGTGTGGTCATGTGTAGTGACGAGCTGCAGCCAATGAGAGAGCAGATCAGCATGGGCTGAATGCCTGTGTGCTCAGTAGCTCAGCAGAAACATCTGTGATTGGTCAGAATGGGCATCGGTGCACTGGCTTCATTCTGCGTTAACACAGACATGAGAGGAGGATATATTAACAGTGGAACTAGAATTCTGTAACTATTAGAATTACCATACTGCTCATTCTGACCGTTCTCATATAAAGCGCCATACTGTCACAACATATTTACATTCAAAGCTATTATTGAGATATTAAAATTAAGCTTTGAATGTCTGGCATCATATTTAATGACACCATTACCCTAAAAATATCATCTTTTTTTGGTAATACAGCCTATAAATATGTAGCTAAGATACTAAAACACTTTCATTTTCACTTTCAAACAGGAGCTATTTCACGGCACAGAATATGCTGTTCTGAAAGATATCTGAAGTAAATTGATGTTTTTGCCATCAGAAAGTTTTGTTTATGCTAGCAGGAAGTTGCTAGGCAAGAAAATGCACACATATTTAAAGTCACAGCGAAAAGGATCAGACATGCATGCAGTCATTTTGACCAATATGGTAATTTAGGGCAGAAATGCTCAGTTCTTTACTGTTTTGTAACAAAAAATAATAATAATAACAATGTCAGAAAGAAATACACTGATAGTTAGAAAACGGCAGGGTGTTATTTGTTAGTTTTATTTCAAAGAGTTATACAATTACAAAAATTAAAAACTCTCTGTGTATCTATCCACTGGAACCTGCAGATGAGTGATTAATCCGCTGATAAATCAGCTGATTTGATGATGTTTTTAAATGCTTTCTTCAAAGCTTGAAACGCTGTCAGTGATGTAATCCGCACACAAGCAGCCAATAGTGTTCAGCTTTTTCTGACGACTCCTCCCTCAAATTTTCATTGGCTGTGGTTTGGTAGCTTGAATGAGCTGATGGGGAATGAGTTGTTATCAGATCATGTAGTGTGTGACCCCCCTCTTGTGGATTATTCACGGAGTGTTGCGTAGTGTGAACACCACAGAGATCAAAAGACACAAAGTCAAGTCATGTAGTGTGAACGGCACAGCGATCTGCTGATGTTTAAAATCCTGTAGTGTGAACCAGGCTTTAAGTTATAATGAGATTTTAGCAATATTGAGTTTAAATTTTACCTCATACTTGGGTCATTTAGGCCTAATTGTACCCTTTAAGCCCTTACCTGTCCCAACAACATGCCTCCAAAACTGACTAAGGAGACCCACTAATGTAAAAAAGGAGCTGTGATGTTCAGTAAAGATGGATGGTTTATGCTTTCTTTAAAAACAAAATAAAAGATTGTGCATATTTAGGATTGTTTTAGGGGTGATAATTCACATAAACAAAGCCAAACAAATATCTTTGGTTTGAACGTTTACTACTAAATGATGTGAACATCCTTACGATCACTCATTTTGATGCAACAATACAAATTAAATTGTGTAACTCGGGTTTTCTCAGCAGTCCATTATGCATGGGAAGTGTTTAATGAGCCATGAGTATTTAGTAGATTCAGACCAGGGCAGGCAAGAAACTTCCCCAATCAAAGCTAATGTTCACCCATCAAGAGAAAACGCTGTGAACCAGCCTGAAGAAAGAAAGAACTGAGAAGATTCAAAGACTGTTTTATTGTAAACGAAGTTGTAAGTTATCATGTTGTAAATATAAACAATCTTTTGGAAGGTGCATGTACATGTTGAGAACAAGAGGTTTTCATTCATGTGGAAGATTATCATCAATGCTCAAGCAGCACATATATACTCAGTTGCTGTTAATTCTTACATTTTTTTTCTTATTTTATTAAGTTTTGTAGTTCAGTATGGCATTGTCAAAGCAGGCTTTGTTTTCCCCAATTTGATTTAATATATTGTTTTAGCCAAATACTTAATACATAAATTGAGATAATTCAAAACTGCTCTATTGTTTATTGTTTCTAGAAATTGACAAATTGAAAAGTTATATATATATATATATGTATATATATATATATATATATATATATATATATATATATATATATATATATATATATATATATATGTATATATGTACATATATATATATATATATATATATATATATATATATATATATATATATATGTATATATATATTGTCAGCTTGGTATTATAAGGTTCAATCTGCCTTATGAATGATTTTGAGATATTTTGCATTCCATATAGCAAACTGTATATGTATAACAATTGTTATTAAAATTAAGAAGTCTTCAAATGTAAACAACTTATAAAAAACATCCCATAATCTAAATAAGTTGTCATTTAATATTATAAGAATAAGTTATGCTAATAAGTAATAAGTCAATAGAACCTTATAATTCTAGGGTGACAATGTATATATATATATATATATATATATATATATATATATATATATATATATATATATATATATATATATAATACTTGTATTTATCATGACAATACTGCGTTGAATCTTCCACAGTTTATGCGTATTTTGTAAAGTTTTGTCATTTTTTAAATAATAATAAAGCCCGCCGTCGTTCCCGCTTCTCCGTGATGACGTCAGCGCTGACGCGTTCATTCAGCGTCGAGTCTTCAGAGCTGAGGTGAGTCGTTGACGCTTTTTCTCGTGTTTACACAACAATAAAACACACTTTACAGTTTATTAAAGCGACAATCTGCGACTAGTTTCTGCATTGAGTTCACCTCTATCTGTGTGTCTGCTGACCAAAACAATACAGCAGGCAGAGAGCAGCTCTGAGAGGACAATATGAGCTCAGTTTTTGTTTACAGTGTGAGTTTATCTTCATTTGTGATTATGTCGCTAAATATGATCTGTGAAGAAAATAATGGGAAAATTCTGTGTCAGATATGTGAACTATGATGCAGAAAACAAAAGTAATGGTTTGTGGAGCTCTCTGTTTTCTAAATGTTTTTGGGAATGTGCTACTGTTAGCAATCTAATCACTTTATTAATTGATATTTAAACGAGATATTTATTTAAATGCTGTCTTATATTGTATTTATTCTGAGAATTTGTAAATAATATTTTACTGAAATTATATTATTAAGGAGAAAGTCTGAATATAAAACCAAATTTACTTCTATAATTTTATTAGCATCCGCTGACTGAGCCAATTACCTGATCACATATTGTGTCTCCTATAGAATATAACTACATATCATACTATTTAGTTCCTCAATCAGTGTAAATGACTCAAATTTCTCTGTTTCTTCTCCTAAAGCTCTGCCGCCATCAGTGAAATCTGCAAAGACAGAGTTTATTGAAGGACAGTGAGAAGATGAGTGATCCAGAACCCTGCAGAATTAAACAGGAGGAGACTGAAGAACTAATAGGTTTGTGTTTATTACTCTTTAATTTGAGCCAAACACAAACGCTCTTATTCATGATTGTTTGCCTGTACGGTTAAAAACTATGTAAGAGTGGCATGTGCCGTAAAAAACTAGAAAATTTGGCTGCTGTACGCACTAACAATAATGTTTACGCTTATTTTGAACTTCATTGTGGCACAAGACAGGGTTGTGATGGAAGCTCTAGCTCTGAGACAAAGTCCTGATATCAACGGCATTCAGCGGGCAGGAGTGGAACATGAGGTTTCATTGTATGCGGACAATATGTTATTGTATTTGTCACACCCGCTGTCAAGTTTTCCCAAATTATTAAAGTTACTTTGGCAAAATATCTGGCTATAAAATCAAAATTATAGTGAATTAATGCCAGTTAGAGATGCGGTCAATCTATCATGTTTAGGATCAGTCCCTTTTAAAAAATTGAAATACCTTGATGTATGTGTCATATATAATTATTCAGATTTATGTGTCCAATAATCAGCCTCTCTTATCCAATCTAAAGCAAGATTTTGAGCGATGGGACCACCTGCCTTTGTCATTGGGCGGTAGAATTAGTACGGTAAAGATGAATGTGCTGCCCAAATTGTTGTATATCTTTCAATTAGGGATGGGCGATACCACAATTTTTAATTCGATACGATACTGATAGTTTTTGTTAAAAAAAATTACGATACCGATATCGATACCACTTATTATTAAAAATATTAATGTAATTTTTCAAAATGATGTTAATTAAAAATAAACATTACATGTAAATATATATATATATATATATATATATATATATATATATATATATATATATATATATATATATATGTATATATATACTGTAGTGTGTGTTTGTGTGTAATATAAACACGCACATACATCCATATTGGATATACACACTGCATACACATACATACTGTATATACACACTGCACAGATACACACACATCCTTATATTTATTCTTATTCACCATAATGGTAACAAGAAAGTAAGAATTACAGAGCTGATTTATTTATTTGTTTATTTTTATTTGTATTTATTTATTATTATCCTATATATTATAATACTATACTACTGTTTGCTCTGTTTGCTAAGCTTATATATATATATAAGCTTATGAAGTAGCGCCTGTTGTTGGTGTCGCGGGGGGAAATCTTCCTTCTGAAGCACCGCTGAATGCTTCCATCATCCAGGTTAAGTTTCTGGAGGAGTTTATGAGCTCACAGAGCTGGGTGCACCTCTGACAAGATCTAGTGGACTCCGACACGGCTCCAAACGAATTTACGCTGTTTTTCAGTCTTCATAAAGCACATAAACACAGCTATCCTCTCAGTAAAATCCATGTTAGCCATTTAACAACGAAGCTACAGTCACCGGGCTGACAGAAGCCCTGCCCATGATGCGAATCTGCATATGTGAATTTGACGCGCTAATGAAGCGGATTTTGAATCGCTAATGCAGCTAGCAAACATAAATAATCACACGTCTGTTTACACACAAAGAGCCAAACTCATCCGCACGTTCCGCGTCCGGTGTAAACAGCATTAGACTTACTTAAAAATAAATGGGAGACAGATTTAGATGCACCAATCTCAGATGCAGATTGGCACAAAATAATACAAGGAGTTTTCTCATCAGCAGTATGCCTCAGACATGCTGTAATACACTTGAACATTGACCAGTTTGCAGTGGTCTAAAGTCAGACTCTCTAAGGGTGCTTTCACATCTGTAGTTTGCTTCATTTGGTCCGGACCAAGGGTAATAAATGATACATTGTCGCATCTTCTGTCGTCTTTGGGTCGTTTTCACACCACACTGCTGGCTTTGGTCCGAACCAGTTGAAACAAACCAAAATGCAGTCATCTGACAAAATCCACATCTCTCATTGGCCAGATGTTGTTGAACATATTTCCTAAACTGCTTATTGATTGGTCAGAATTCACGTGCGGGAAAATGCCAGTGAACTTACACAGGTAAACAAAACCTTTTACTCTGGAGGGACGACTGCGCTGGCTGATTGTATCCCTGCTTTAGACAAACTATACATTACGAAAATGAAGCGCGGCCGCGGCTGGAAAACAGTGTTCAATGCATCGCTCGTCACTTCAGGAGGAGGCGTGAATTAATTTAGCTAAACTGCGACATGTTAATTTTGCGGAAATATTACCAGCGATCCATCAGGTAATGTCTTCACTCTCTCTCTCTCTCTCTCTCTCTCTCTCTCTGTTGGTAAAGCGCTGTCAACAAATATTTTTCCTCCATATCCCATAATGCACAGCGCATCGGCCTACGGCAGCTGAATTAGTCCAAAACGCGCAGTACTTTTTGCGGTTGGACCTGTTTTAGTACGGATCATATTCTCACCACAAACTAACCGCTCCAGGGTTCGTTCGAAAGCGTACCGAGTCCACCTCTTCAAGCAGGTCTCGGTACGCTTATTTGGTCTGCTTTTGGTGCCGCTCGAGTACGATTGCTGCATTCTCACCTGACGAACCGTACCAAAAGGGAAAACGAACTCTAGTGCGATTCAATCGAACTAAATAAGGCAGGTGTGAAAGCACCCTAAGATCAATGCTGACATAGTTCCCACATGCGATCGATCCTGCTACTCTGCTGCACATATTCTGGAGAGTTCCAAAGCTTTACATATACTGGATTAGTATTTTTGAGACCTTTGAGGCCATTTCTTCACCATTTCTCGTGTTGTTCAGGGTGGCCCCTGAGAACGCTCCTCTCAACACAAGCCAAATGAACATGTTATCTTTGGTTCTCCTCTGGCTAGAAGACGGATATTGTTTAAATGGAAAGACCCTGTTCCACCAACACATACTCACTGGATAAGAGAAGCGATGTCTCATCTTAAGTTGGAGAAAATAAGGCATACAAGGGTCTGTCAAGACATTTTATAAGGTTTGACAACCTCAAAAAATGTAAACACAGTCACTTTCTTTCCCCCCTGCGTCTGTGTGTTTTTTAGCCTCCGTGAAAATCAGCGCGTGCCCGGACTGAAACTCCCATTTTTATGCAAACCCTTCCCTCTTTCCCTCCCCCGACACTCCCACCTAAACAGAGCTGGACACACCCACTTTCCTGACTTTTTTCAAACTAAAGGTGTGAAAACTAGGGGGGTTGACAATCTGAGAAAAAAGGAACTCGTGTCATATCTTCATCTCATGTTTTCTCTATAGACATTGGATTATATATTGTTTCTAGTTCTGGTGTTAAAAAACCTTGTGCAAAAAACAAACTAGTAAATTAAAATGTGACTTTTTAATTTTCAGATGTGGTGGTGAAGGAGGAGAGTGAAGAACTGAGTGAAGATGAGGAGAAACATCATGTCAAGAGGGAAGAAGAAACTCAATCAGAAACTGACGATAGTTGTTTAATGGAAAGAACAGCTGTGAAATTTTTCACCTGCACTCAGTGTGGAAAGAGTTTCAGCTACGAATACGGTCTCAAGCGTCACATGCTGATCCACACTGGAGAGAAACCTTACAAGTGTTCATATTGCGAGAAGAGCTTCAATTGTTCAGGAAACCAGAATAAACATGAGAGGATCCACACTGGAGAGAAAACACACAGATGTGATCAGTGCAGGAAAACGTTTTTTAATTCTTCGGCTCTGAAGAACCATCTTGGAGTTCATATAAAAGAGAAGCCTTATACCTGTGCTGAGTGTGGAAAGAGTTTTACACTACAGTCATATTTAAGAAAACATGTTAAGGTCCACACTGGTGTGAAAGAGTTTGTCTGCTTTGAGTGTAAGAAGAGTTTTATAAGATCTCAACAACTGAAACTTCACCTGATGATTCACACTGGAGAGAAACCGTACAAGTGTTCACACTGCGACAAGAGATTCAGAAAGTTAGAAACAGTGACAACGCACGAGAGGATTCACACTGGAGAGAGACCGTACACATGTACTCAGTGTGGGAAGAGTTTCAGGCAATCTTCATCCCTTAATAATCACAAGAGGATCCACACTGGAGAGAAAACACACAAGTGTGATCAGTGCGGGAAAATATTTTCGCGGCCTGCAGATCTGAAGATCCATCTCAGACTTCATACAAACGAGAAGCTTTATTCATGTTCTGAGTGTGGAAAGAGTTTCACAACACAATCCCATTTTAAAGCACATCAGAAGATCCACACTGGTGTGAGAGAGTTTGCGTGCTCTGCATGCAATAAGATTTTTTTAACATCCGGAGACTTGAAAAAGCACCAGAAGATCCACACTGGAGAGAAACCGCATGTGTGTTCACACTGCAACAAGAGATTTACTACTTTAGGACATCTGAAAGTACATGAGAGGATTCACACAGGAGAGAAACCGTACACGTGTACTCAGTGTGGGAAGAGTTTCACACAATTATCACACCATATAGATCACATGCTGATCCACACTGGAGAGAAAACACACAAGTGTGATCAGTGCGGGAAAACATTTTCGAGGTCTTCAGATCTGAAGAGACATCTTCGACTTCATTCAAAGGAGAAGCCTTATTCATGTTCTGTGTGTGGAAAGAGTTTTGCTCGGCAATCCCATTTGAAAGTGCATCAGAAGATCCACGCTAGAGATGAACCGTACACACACTCAGTGTTGGAAGAGTTTTGCACGATCATCATCCCTTGATAAACACATGATCGGTGCGGCAGGACATTTTTTTAAGTTTTACACTCTTAAGAAGCTTCTTGATCTTCATACTGAGGAGAAGCTTTAGTTCTGCATTTAGATCTGAGTGCTGCGTTCATTACTATATGTCACAGTATATTATTGGACAGACTTCACTAGTGGATCTGTCGATCTGGAAAGGTGAAACTGGTTTACATCGTATCTTTCCAAATGCTCAGTTTGTCTTTTTGTGTGCCATTGCGTCAGGGTGTCCCACAGGGATCAGTTCTGGGTCCTTTTATTTAGTATTTATATGCTCTCTTATGGGGTGGCTCAGTGGTTAGCACTGTCACCTCACTGCAAGAAGGTCACTTGTTAAAGCCTCAGCTAAGCCAGTTGGCGTTTCTGTGTGGAGTTTGCATGTTCTCCTCGTGTTGGCGTGAGTGTAATGCTGTGTTCACACCAGATAAATCGCGCTATTCGAGCGTAAATAGCCGCATGAACATTTGAGGTTACTCGCTTTATTCGCCCGTCAAATCCGCTTCATTCGCGTGTCAAATTCACTTCAGAACAGACGCGGATTCGCGTGATGGGCAGGGCTTCTATCTACCCCGTGACTCTAGCTTCATAGCTAAATGGCTAACATGGATTTTATGAAGAAAATAACAGTGTTTATGTGCTTTATGAAGGATGGTAAACAGCGTCGATACGTTTAGAGCTGTGTTTGAGTCCACTACATCCTTTCAGAGGTGCATCCAGCTCTTTAAGCTCATAGACTCCTCCAGAAACTGAACCTGGCTGATGGAGGCTTTCAGCGGTGCTTCTGACTGAGCCAAGCCCAGTTTGATGAACTTCTTGTCGGTGTCTGCTGGGGGATTTCCCCTGGGACACCGACAACAAGCGATACGTCACAATCACGCCCCCACAAGAGCAAGCTCCTGATTGGTTAATGTGGCGCGAATGTCCGCTGAAGTTCAGATTTTCGAACGCGAGTGATTCGTGTGGAACGCGCATTAAGCGCATCAAAAGCTCAATTCGCGCCATGCGCACCGCGCAATTTTCGTCATTCGCGCCGCAGGATGTCTATTCGCGCGTTTGCATTGACTTAACATGTAAATCACTCGCGCTTGACGCGCGTGCCGCGTCTGGTGTGAACGCAGCATAAGAATGTCAAAGTGTATGGGTGTTTCCCAGTGCTGGGTTGCAGCTGGAAGGGCATCCGCTGCATAAAACATATGCCAGAGTACTTGCCGGTTCATTCACTCCAGATTACATGTGTGATCTGCTGCACTGAAGTGTAAAAGCCATGAGAGGTGGAGCTTTTTCTTATGGTGTTTAAGTTATGGAAAGCATTAAGCCTGATTTATACTTCTGCGTCAGGTGACCGGCGTAACCCACGGCGCAGGCAACGCGCGCAGCTGTGCATTTATACTTCTGTGCACTGTCTCTGTTGGTCTGCATTAACACTTCCGAAACGCTAGTTGGCAGTGAGGTGTAAATGTTCCTCTGTGTCGAGTTTCTTCGCTTCTGTTTTGCATTTCCTGCACACTTTCGGAATGTACAAGTGGCTCAAACTCGCTCATTTTGAGGCAGGAACCGGCGGACGTGCAACAACTTTAACTATGAGGTAAACACAAAACAAAACTTTCCATCCGGAGCTCCTTCAGGGGACTCCACACTTGTAAACAATCGCTTGCGCGGCGTCGCGCCATTCGCGCGCCTCTCAGTCCCGCCCAGACTCGTCAGCGCTACCAAGCCGACCAATCACAGAGCTTACGCTACGCGTCGTTGCGACGTGTAGTTACATTTTTTGAGAGGTGCACGTCAGCGACGGCGATGGCCACAGCGAAGGGCTATGCGTCAGCGCCGTAGCATACGCCGGTGTTTGACGCAGAAGTATAAATCAAGCTTTACCCACAATTATCAGCAATGCAGTTTCTTTTGATTGCTTTAAGAAGCTTCTTAAGACGCATCTTAATATGTATCTTTTGCTTTTTATTGTTTTATTGATTATTGTGCCTGACTGTTGGCTTGATACTGTGATTTTATGTAAGCTTGTAATTCTTGGGTTGAGTTTGTGTTTGTTGTTGTAGGATTATTCCTTGGTTTAACTCTATAAAGGCAAAACAGAAATCTCTCCTAATCATCAACAGATGATTTAATTATGATGTATAGTCCATGACAGTAGCATATTACCAGTATCACATTTTGAGTAAAATATTAGTGACTATAGAAATGTAGTGACTAACCAGTAATATTTAATGTTTGGTCTGTGTATTGGTCCCGCCTCTTCTCCACTGATTGGACAGATGGGTAAAAGATGACGGTTTACAAGCACCATCTTAAGTTCTAATCAGATTTTAGCAACATTGACATAAAATTTCACCTCATACTTGGGTCATTTAGGCCCAATTGTACCTTTACCTGTCCCAATTCTCTTAAGCTTGAAGGTGTAGGGGTGAGGGCTGTAGAGCTCTTCAAACAGAGAATTTTCAAGACCATATTGCAAATGAAGAGGTATGAGAGCCTTCTCTACACCAGGTAAAGCAACAACATGCCTCCAAAACTGACCAAGGAGACCCACTAATGTAAAGAAGGAGCAATGATGTTCAGTAAAGATGGATGATTTTTGTTTGCATTAAAACAAAAAAAAACAGATCATGCATATTTAGGATTGTTTTAGAGGTGAAAAGTCACATAAACAAAGCCAAACAAATATGCTTGGTCAGAACGTTTACTACTAAATGATGTGAACATCCTTACGATCACTCATTTTGATGCAACAATACAAAATAAATTGAGTAACTCAAGTTTTCTCAGAAGTCCATTATGCATGGGGAGTGTTTAATGGGCCATGAGTATTTAGTAGATTCAGACCAGGGCAGGCAAGGAACTTCCCCAATCAATGCTAATGTTCACCCATCAAGAGGAAATGCTGTGAACTGCTGTCGCCACTGGCTTGCATGGTTCGTGACCTGTGGAGCTGCGTATCGATGGATTTGCTCTTCAGTGTTTGAACTCTCAGCAGTTAATATTAAATCACACTAAACTGAACTTCAACTCTAAAAACTGGACTTACACCGTTTCAGTTTACTATAACTGTCTATGTAAAGCTGCTGTGACTCAATCTTCATTGTAAAAGCGCTATTGAAATAAAGATGAATGGAGTTGAGTTGTGAACCAGCCTCTGTAAATGCAGATCATATTGTAAATATAAATAATCTTTCACAGGGTGCATGTACATGTCGAGAATAAGAGGTTTTTCCAATCATATGAAAGATTATCATCAACGCTCACTCAATTTCCATATAAACTGATTGAAAATGCTGCATCCACAGAGCTCACAAACTGCGCTCTTCCTTTTGTTGTTTTCATTAGATTTTTTTTATTAAATTGTTTTTATATTGTTTTAAAGCGGTTATTTCTTAAATGTTTCCTTATTTTATTAACTTTATTTTTGTTCAGGTTGCTGATGGTTTCACTTTCACATTACAAGACGTATGGAATTGTCAAAGCAGGCTCAGTTTTCCCCGATTTGATTTAAAATATATTGTTTTAGCCAAAAACTTAATACATAAATTGAGATAAAAAAAAAAAAAAAATATATATATATATATATATATTTTTTTTTTATTATTTTTTTTTTTATATATATATATATAAAATTTTTGTAACACTTTAAACGTTTTTTTCATATATATATATATATATATATATATATATATATATATATATATATATATATATATTATTTGATTCTAATATGACACTATTACCTTGTGACTTCCACAGTTTATGCGTGATTTGTAAAGTTTTGCCATTTTTACAAATAAAAATAGTCCTCTGTTGTCCCCGCCTCGCCGTGATGACGTCAGCACTGACGCGTTCATTCAGCGTCGAGTCTTCAGAGCTGAGGTGAGTCGTTGACGCTTTTTCTCGTGTTTACACAACAATAAAACACACTTTACAGTTTATTTAAGCGACAATCTGCGACTAGTTTCTGCATTGAGTTCACCTCTATCTGTGTGTCTGCTGACCAAAACAACACAGCAGGCAGAGAGGAGCTCTGAGAGGACAATATGAGTGAATGTGTTTGTTTACTGTGTGAGTTTACCTTAATATGTGATTATTTCGCTAAATATGATCTGTAATGGGAATGTTCTGCAGTAGATATGTGAACTATGATGCAGAAAACAAAAGTAATAGTTTATGGAGCTCTGTTTTCTAAATGTTTTGGGGTTTCCATACATTAATATGCTGCTAGCCATCTAATTACTTTATTGGTTGAAATTTAAACAAAATATTTAGCCTATATAAATGCTATCTTATATTGTTTGTAGTCTGAGGCTCATCAATATCGTTTATCATTTAATTTATTTCCTCAATCAGTGTAAATGACTCCGATTTCTCTGTTTATTCCTCTGAAGCTCCATCAGTGAAAGACAAAGACAGAGTTTATTGAAGGACAGTGAGAAGATGAGTGATCCAGAACCCTGCAGAATTAAACAGGAAGACACTGAAGAACTAATAGGTTTGTGTTTATTTATCACTCATCTTCATCATCATTCATCTTTAAGCACTTCATCAATTTTAGTACTTTTATTTATCTTAACATTTTTTTGTCACGTAATGACAGGTGTTATAAACATGGATTTACATTTGTGACATGTCTTATCATGAGAGTAAAGGTTTCATGAAGTAAAGCCCCTTAAGTAAAACTCTTTCCCTGCTGCTTTTAATTTAAATTTTCAGGATAAGGCAGGTGTTTGGTGTTCAGTTCTTTACTTTTCCCCTCACAAGGAGTAATGTTCTGTTAAATGCTTCTGGATGTTGACCCTTTTTACAAATGTTTCTTATCAATGCTCTCTTCTGTTGAATGAGTGAAACTAAGTGACAACTTACACTCACGGCCACTTAATTAGGTACACCTGACTACGGGTTGAATCTCTATTGCATTCAGAACTGCCTTAATCCTTTGTGGAATAGATTCAACAAGTTACTGTAAATATTCCACAGAGATTTTGCTCCATATTGACATGATAGCATGTGGATTTGCTGACTGCACATCTATGATGCCAATCTCCCGTTCCACCACATCCCAAAGCTGCTCTATTGGATTAAGTTCTGGTGACTGTGGAGGCCATTTGAGTACAGTGAACTCATCGTCATGTTCAAGAAACCAGTCTGAGATGAATCACGCTTTATGACATGGTGTGTTATCCTGCTGGAAGTAGCCATCAGAAGATGGAGACACTGTGCTCATAAAGGGATGGACATGGTCAGCAGCAATACTCAGGTAGGCTGTGGCATTGACACGATGCTCAATTGGTACTAATGGACCCAAAGTGTGCCAAAATAATACCCCCCACACCATTAAACCACCACCACCAGCCTGAACCGCTGATTCAAGGCAGGATGATCCATGCTTTCATGTTGCTGAGGCCAAATTCTGACCCGAGCATCCGAATGTGTCAGCAGAAATGGAGTCTCATCAGAGCAGCAACGTTTCTCCAATCTTCTATTGTCCAGTTTTGGTGAGGCTGTGTGAATTGTAGCCTCAGTTTCCTGTTCTTAGCTGACAGGAGCGGCACCCGGTGTGCTCTTCTGCTGCTGTAGCCCATCCGCCTCAAGGTTGGACGTGTTGTGTGTTTAGAGATGCTCTTCTGCAGAGCTCGGTTGTAACGAGTGCTTATTTGAGTTACTGTTGCCTTTCTATCATCTGGAACCAGTCTGGCCATTCTCCTCTGACCTCTGGCATCAACAAGGCATGTGCGCCCACAGAACTGCCGCTCACTGGATATTTCCTCCTTGTCAGAGCATTCTCTGTAAACCCTAGAGATGGTTGTGCTTGACAATCCCAGTAGATCAGCAGTTTCTGAAATACTCAGAGCAGCCCGTCTGGCAGCAACAACCATGCCACGTTCAAAGTCACCTAAATCCCCTTTCTTCCCCATTCTGATGCTCGCATAATCTGCAGCAGATCATCTTGACCGTGTCTACATGCCTAAATGCATTGAGTTGCTGCCATGTGATTGGCTGATTGGAAATTTGCTGTAACCGGCAGTTGGACAGGTGAACCTAATGAAGTGGCCGGTGTGTGTATATCTCTTTCCACCCGTGTGCTAATTCAGTTGCTTTGCTTTACTATTAGCCCTAGACTTAGGCATTTTCTTGTCTTTCTCTTCTTTTTTTTGTGTTCATCTTAAAATTATAAGCAAGGAAGGCAGAGAGCAGCAGTATTTAAACACTTACCATCTCAGCCAAACACACAAATGCTCTTATTCATGATTGTTTGCCTGTACGGTTACAAACTATTCAAGAGTGTAAAACACTAGCAGATTAACATGTGACTTATTCATTTTCAGGTGTGATTGTGAAGGAGGAGAGTGAAGAACTGAGTGAAGAAGAGGAGAAACATCATGTCAAGAGTGAAATTGAAGCTCGGACAAAGACTGAAGATTTTTTAATAGAAAGAACAGCCGTGAATAGTTTCACCTGCACTCAGTGTGGACAGAGTTTCAGCTATGAATACAGTCTCAAGTGTCACATGATGACTCACGCTGGAGAGAAAATACTCAGATGTCATCACTGCAGCAAAACGTTTTTGATAGTTTCAGCTCTGAAGAGACATCTTAGAGTTCATGCGAAGGAGAGGCCTTATTCCTGTGCTGAGTGTGGAAAGAGTTTTACACTGCTGTCATATTTAAGAAAACATGATAAGATCCACACTGGCGTGAAAGAGTTTGTCTGCTCTGAGTGTAAGAAGAGTTTTTTTAGAGCTGAAGACTTGAAGCTGCACCAGAGGATGCACACTGGAGAGAGACCGTACAAGTGTCCACACTGCGAGAAGAGATTCAGAAGGTTACAAACATTGAAAACACACAAGAGGATTCACACTGGAGAGAGACCGTACACATGTACTCAGTGTGGGAAGAGTTTCAGGCAGTCTTCATCCATTAATAATCACATGCTGATCCACACTGGAGAGAAGCCACACAAGTGTGATCAGTGCGGCAAGATATTTTTGAGACCTTCAGATCTGAGGAAACATCTTAGAGTTCACACAAACGAGAAGCCTTATTCATGTTCTGAGTGTGGAAAGAGTTTCATAACATCGTCACATTTTAAAGACCATCAGAAGATCCACACTGGTGTGAGAGAGTTTGCGTGCTCTGCATGTAAGAAGAATTTTTTTACGTCTGGAGAATTGAAAAAGCACCAGAAGATCCACACTGGAGAGAAACCGCATGTGTGTTCACACTGCAACAGGGAATTTATTAATTTAGGACAACTGAATGTACATGAGCGGATTCACACTGGAGAGAGACCGTACACTTGTACTCAGTGTGGGAAGAGTTTCAGGCAATCATCAAACTTTAAAAAACACATGAAGATTCACACTGGAGTGAAAAAGCACCCCTGGGATCGTGATCAATGCAGCAAGACATTTTTAAGGCCTTACGAGCTTAAAGAGCATCTTGATCTTCATACAGAGTAAAAGCTTTAGTCATGCATTTTGGTCCTGTTAGACCTGAGCGCTACACTGCAAAAAATGCTTTTCTTGCTTAGATTTTTTGTCTTATTTTTGGTCTAAATATCTAAAATTTCTTATATTAAGAAGGATTTTCTAGACAAGCAAAACAAATTGTCTTGATTTGAGAAATAAAATGCCAATATTAAGTGAGTTTTTCCTTAAAACAAGCAAAATCTGCCAATGGGGTAAGCAAATTAATCTTGTTTTTTCTTTTGACGTAAGATTATTTTACTTACCCCATTGGCAGATTATTTTGCTTGTTTTAAGGAAAAACTCACTTAATATTGGCATATTATTTCTCAAAACAAGACTATATGTTTTGCTTGTCTGGAAAATTCTTCTTGATTTAGGAATTGTTAGATATTTGGACTAGAAACGAGACAAAAATCTAAGGGTGCTTTCACACTTGTGAATCGATTCAGTTGTTCCGAAACAGAGATTACAAATGTTACATTGTTGCTCTTTGCTCTTGGAGCGGTTCACTTTCACACTGCAAAGTTTCTAATCGGACCAAAAGAGCTAAAACAAGTCACGTGCGAGTAAACTCTCCTCTCATTGGTCAGAGTGTCAGGGTTTATTTTGCAGCGTCCCGCTCAGCTGTCAGGAGAGGTGGTGGTTTGGTGGTGATTGACAGGGTGCGTGCGCGTGACGTGTCTGAGGAGAGACACGGTGGGGAGGGGTGAGAAGGGTGCGCGATGATGCCTATTTGAGGACTGGGAGAGAGACACTACCGGGAGATTATCACTCGTTTGCGGGCATCCGGAGACTCGCGAAACTTCCCGCCCTACTCATAATTCTCTCTTCATATAGCCGCAAGCCTATTACATATACATAAAACACTGTGATATAACCGCGCTCGGATCGTATCGCTTTCTCACTGCAATCGAACCGCTCCAGGGTTCATTTCAATCGAGCCGAGACCACCTCATTCAAGCGATCTCGGAGCGATTACTTTGGCGCGGAACAGAGCGCGATTGCCCTGTTCACATATGCCAAACGAACCGCGCTAACTTGGCAAACGAGACACGTTCCGAAACAAAAGTGTAGATGTGAAAGCACCCTAAGTAAGAAAAGCATTTTTTGCAGTGTAGTTTAGATTACTGTTAGATTAGGTGCTTTCACACCTGTGAATCGATTCATTTGTTCTGAAACAGGGATTAAAATTGTTGCTCTTTGTTCTTGGTGCGGTTCGCTGTCACACAGCAAAGTTTCTAAACCAGGGGTGCTCAATCCTGTTCCTGGAGAGCCACCTTCCTGCAGATTTCAGTTGCTACCCATATCAAACACACCTGAACCAATTAATTAGGACCTGAACACCACGTGATAATTACAGGCAGGTGTGTTTGATATGGGTAGCAACTGAAATCCGCAAGAAGGTAGATCTCCAGGAACAGGGTTGGCCACCCCCGTTCTAAACGGACCAAAAGAGCTAAAACAAGTCACGTGTGAGTAAACTCTCCTCACATTGGTCAGAGTTTCACGGTTTGTTTTGCAGAGTCTCACTCAGCTGTCAAGGAGGGTGGTGGTTTGTTGGTGTTTGACAAGATGCGCACGACGTGTCTAAATGCTGATTTATACTTCTGCGTCAAACACCGGCGTATAATACGGCGCTGACGCATAGCCCTTCGCCGTGGCCGTCGCCATCACTGACGTGCACCTCTCAAAAAATGTAACTACACGTCGCAACAACGGGTAGCGCAAGCTCTGTGATTGGTCGGCTTGGTAACGCTGACGAGTCGGGGCGGGACCGAGAGTTGCGCAAATGGCGCAAACCCAATGTAGCGATTTGTTTACAAGTGTGGAGTCCCGTGAAGGAGCTCCTGATGGAAAGTTTTGTTTTGTGTTTACCTCATAGTTAAAGTTGCTGCACGTCCGCCAGTTGCTGCCTCAAAATGAGCGAGTTTGAGCCACTTGTACATCCAGGAAGTGTTCAGGAAAAGCAAAAAAGCAGCGAAGAAACTCGACACAGAGGAACATTTACACCTCACTGCCAACTAGTGTTTCGGAAGTGTTAATGCAGACCAACAGAGACAGCGCGCAGAAGTATAAATGCACAGCTGCGCGCGTTGCATGCGCCGTTGGTTACGCCGGTCACTTGACGCAGAAGTATAAATCAGGCTTAAAGAGCGAGGAGGGATGCGGTAGGGAGCGGTAAGAAGGGTGCGCGACGTATTTGAGGACCAGGAGGAAGACACACGATTTCCGGGAGATTATCACTCATTTGCGGCCATCCGGGAGTGTCTGTGCATTTGCGGGAGACTTGGGATGTCTATTGACCTCCCGCCCTACTCATAATTCTCTCTTCATATGGCCCCAGCCTATTACATATCCATAAAACACTGTGATATAGCCGGTCTCGGATCGTATCGCTTTCTCACTGCAATCAATTCGCTCCAGAATTCGTTTCAATTCGAGCAATTGATTTGGCTTGGATCCGAGAGCGATCGGTGGATTCACATATGCCAAACGAACCGTGTTAATTGTGCAAACGAGACGGGTTCCGAAACAAAAGTTTAGGTGTGAAAGCACCCTTAGATTATTGCTGCATTCGATACTGTATGTCACAGTATATTGTGAAATAGTCTTATTGTTCGCTAGTTGGCCGGTTTTTCTGGAATTCTGTTAAACTGGTTTACATCTTATCTTTCCGAACATTCCCAGTTTGTCTTTCTGACACGTACAAAGTTCGAATATTTATCTTGTGACCACACTTATAATCAGTGTGACCGAGACGTCAATAATAAATTTAGTTCAGTCGAAAAACGGTTATGAAGTGACGTGCGTCTGTTCAATACAGCACGAGCTGCAGTTGAAGGCTGCGCAAAACGTGAGTCACCTGACATTTAAGCGAGTGGCGCGAGCAGCCGAAAACATTTGGATGTGTTTGTAGAAAAGGCCTTTTGTACAATGCACTGATTAATGATCGTTAATATGTATGCAAGGATTAGCTGATTTCACTATTAACCGTGCTTTAACTCATTACGGTTAATTAATCATAAAGGCTTGTCAAAGCCGTGTTTCTGTTGCACAGAACAAAACTGCTACAACTAAACAAAGTTATGTCAACTGTGCGCTAGTATAAAGTTTTAAGTCTATACCGAGGCTTAAACGCACACTGGATTAACTATAGCAGCAGGCCGTTCACATATTGCGTCTTTTCCGCACGCAAGTTTATTATTTCCAATGTAGACGTAAGCATATTGGGATCGGTGTGCGCACGGCTTGCAAGCGACATAAACATACTTCCAGGCGCAGTAAGATTGGCTTTTTTTTGACAAGAAAAAAAAGCGTGGTGTGCTTTTGTTTATGTCGCTAGGCTATGACTGAATCAGCTGGGTATAGAGTGGAGGAACTATGACGTCAATTTGCATGCAAAAACCCAGAAGCGAGTTAGCATTTTAGCAGTCCTGTTTCCCTCGTCCTGAAGTCAATGTGTTTTTTGTATGGGATTTCAGTAAAATCGCTTAAATAAGGTTCGTGGCTAACACAAACTCAAGATACTTTCACGTTTTGTTCTACGACATAAAACACATCAGTTACAGCACACTCTTGAATTTTTAAATCGGTTACGCTTCTTTAAAAAGACGGCTGCTATCAAGTTGCTAAATGGGACTACAGACGGTGTCTGGGACATTATACGTCATCGAGCTGAACTGATCTGGTGCGCAGCTCGCTTGTGTTGGGCATTTGGATTTGTCTGTTATTTAGGTATTTTCATCAATAGTATCTTATAGTTTGTAGTATTATACTAATTGGGAGTTCAGATTGTGTGTAGATAATTCCTTCACTTGTTAAGGTTGTCGAGACGGATTCATTTGTTGATCATTTATTTTAATAAACAATATTATGAAGATACTGCTCACCAGTGCAGCCTGTCTCTCTCCTGCTCTCAGTAATGCAAACATGTGAATAATTGTGTAAAATATATGCATGTTCACTGTCATTTTAACGTGATCACGTGATTTTTCGTCTTTTTTTCTTCATCTGAACACATTTAACTAGCAGATGTGACTGTATAGGCTGCTTTTCAGTGTATTTTGTGACAAAAAAGAAATATTGAATGTTTCTTAGTGCTCAGGCATTTGATAGACTTGTACCTCACTGTCGTCTGTTAAGGTAAGCGGGTTGTGTGCACGCGAGCGATACACTTATTTAAATATGTCTTATGATAATACTATGTAGGCAGATTTACACACAGTTTTAAAACTTACAGAACAACCACAAAGCAAAACGGATGTATTTCCTACGTAAAAACAACTATCCAAAAGGCACATAGGTCTATGTGTTTTTGCGTATTTATTTGTTTAAAATATATACCGTAGATTATAATATAATAAACAGAGAGATTAACTCTTTGTCATGGACAATATGTCTAAAAATACACTTGATAAGTCGTCTGTAGCAGGGTTGGCCTGACGTCATTGAAGAGCGCCCCGAGGGCTCTGTAGTCCGTTTATAGCCTAATGTTAGCTTTTCAGTTCTTGCGTTTGCATTTAAGATCCAAAAGTGCTCAAAGTTGTATTTTCGTGTGAGGATTATCCGGCTGGACAAAACGTGTAAGTGTATAGAACAGTGTTTGAACACAGAGCTTATTATTCGCAATCTTCGAAAAGCCTATCAGAAGATCCTATAGGGATTTTCACGAGGGAACCAGTTTTATACTAGCAGCCGATTAGCCTACAAAGTGACGTCATAGTTCCTCCACTCTATTGTGCGAGAGTGTTGTTGATACTAATATAATTTAACTTGACAACACAAACACTGCAGGCACCTCAACGAAAACCCAGCCTCTGCTTTCTTTTGATTGGAGAATTAAACAGACGCAACTGACGTAGCAATCTTTTTCTGCTCTGAGTTTACTTTTTTCAACTGTGAGCGCATGGCCCGCAAAATTGACGCGTTTTGCGCAATCTGCTCATGTTCGAAAATCTGAACTTCAGCGGATATTAGCACCGCATTAACCAATCAGGAGCTTTCTCTTTTAGGGGCACGCTTATGACGTAGCGCCTGTAGTTGGTGTCCTAGGAGGAAATCCTCCTGCCGACACCGGACAACAGTTGATTAAACGGGGATCGCCTCAGTCGGAAGCACCGCTGAAAGCCTCCATCATCCAGGTTAAATTTCTGAAGGAGTTTTTGAACTCAGAGTTGGCTGCAGCTCTTTAAGGATCTAGTGGACTCAGACACGGCTCCAAATGAATCTACGCTGTTTTTCAGCCTTCTTAAAGCACATAAACCTCCAAAAAAAAATATGTTAGCTGTTTAGCAATGAAGATAGAGTCACCGGGCTGAAGCCATGCCCATGACACGATCCCGCATCTATTGTGAAGCGGATTTGACAAGCGAATGAAGCGAGTAAACTTGGAATGTTTATGCGTCTATTTACGCACAAATAGCATTGTATAGTTTGTCCTAAATACTCTAAATAGCCTATCCCACAAAACACCCAAAACCTACATACATTTTATGAGTAAATTACATGTAATTTAAATAAACACATACATTTGATTGACGGAAGCATCTATTACACAAACTAACATTACCAAAAAAGTAGACGCCCCCCCCGATCGTCAATGTTTTATGCGCACACTGGTGCTACTCACTGTGCCGCCCTTTAAAAGCTATTAATCAAAATTAAAAAGCAATTTGCATTACAGGGCGACGCAGTGGCGCAGTAGGTAGTGCTGTCACCTCACAGCAAGAATGTTGCTGGTTCAAGCCTCGGCTGGGTCAGTTGGCATTTATGTGTGGAGTTTGCATGTCCTCCACGCGTTCGCGTGGGTTTCCTCCGGGTGCTCTGGTTTTCCCCACAGTCCAAAGACATGCGGTACAGGTAGGCTAAATTGTCCGCAGTGTATAAGTTTTGAGTGTGTGTGTGTGTATGGATGTTTTCCAGAGATGGGTTGCGGCTGGAAGAGGATCTGCTGTGTAAAAACATGCTGGATAAATTGGCAGTTCATTCTGATGTGGCTACCCCAGATTAAAAAAGGGACTAAGCCGACAAGAAAATGAATGAATTTGCATTACCTTTTAAAAAAAGGATTTTTAAATTTTTTTTTAAATCAATGCGATACTTTACTTGCTACTTACAGAAATCATATTATTACGTATCTTGCATTATTGTAATGCGTTACCCGCAACAACGGCTATATGCATTTTCTATCTGAATTCACAAACCGTAGAGTACAGCATTTATTTTATCCATGTATTTGGCGATGTATTTATAAGCAAAGTAAATCTGAATGTCAAACACAGGCTATCTTTACTGAGGTTTATCTGTCATGGAGATTGCTAATGGTTTCACTTTCTCATTACAAGATGTATGGAATTGTCAAAGAATTTAAATTTTACACAGCGCTTCATAGCTTTTGACCAATCAAAAGAAAAAGGGGCGTCGCCCACACGTGGAAATTGACATTTTTTTTGCTGTTTGTTTTTTTTAATAAACGAAAAAATGCAGTTTTTTGACTCATTATTTTGTTTTGAGTTTTGAGTTAAAAACAGGATCACAGATGAGCTTTAGTGTTTTTGTGCCGACAGAATAAACAGAAAACTAAACATTTATTGTTTTAATGTGGTTTTGTTTTCCATAATAAATTAAATAAACAAATAGATGAAATTGTTTCGATCTAATATGACACTATTGCGTTGTTTCCACAGATCATGCGTAATTTGTGAAGTTTTACGTTATTTTTGTGCATTTTCAGTTTTAAAAAGCAAAATCCGCCGTTGTTCCCGCCTCTCCGTGATGACGTAATCACTGACGCGTTCATCCAGCGTCGAGTCTTCAGAGCTGAGGTGAGTCGTTGACGCTTTTTCTCGTGTTTACACAACAATAAAACACACTTTACAGTTTATTAAAGCGACAATCTGCGACTAGTTTATGCATTGAGTTCACCTCTATCTGTGTGTCTGCTGACCAAAACAATACAGCAGGCAGAGAGGAGCTCTGAGAGGACAATATGAGTGAATGTGTTTGTGTTTTTCTGTGTCAGTGTGTATGAAATTGTCCAAGTTTATGTTAGTAATATGGCAAATTATGATATGTAAGGAAAAATTATGGGAATATTGCGGCAGATATATACACTTTGAAACAGAAAACATTTTATAGTTATAATTCAATAGTGGTGCTCTTTATTTTCTAAAGTTTTTTGTTAATTCCCAGTTTCTGTGCGTAGATGTGCTACTGCTAACAATCTAATCACTTTTTTAGTTTGAACGATTGCCGTTTAAATTGATGTAAATACAACAATATGATTTATCAATAGTAAATAGTACCTTATATTCCAAACACTATAGAATGAGCTGATCTGCTGTTTTAATGTTCATAGTCTTCTCTGTTTGTTCTCCTGAAGCTCTGCCGCCATCAGTGAAAGACAAAGACAGAGTTTATTGAAGGACAGTGAGAAGATGAGTGATCCAGAACCCTGCAGAATTAAACAGGAAGACACTGAAGAACTAATAGGTTTGTGTTTGTTCTTTACTCTTCTATAATGAGCCTGAAGCATAAGGTTTTATCTTAAAGGGCGTCATCAATTTTATTAAATTTTTATATTAACTTCTATTTGAATTTTTAAGTTTAGAATATGGGACTAGGGCTTCATGATCCTGGCAAAAATGTAAAACACAATTTTTCATTTATTTTTTGCTTAAAATCAAGATCACGATTCTGTAAATGTAAAATAAAAGTTAATATGATTAGCCTATTATTGTTCATTCTTAAACATATGGTAAAACAACACTAATAATATGAGGCCTGTGTGTAGCTCTACTGTTGCTTAAAATGCTAAATTGTGTACAGTCATTATGGTGGACTTGAACAGACTTTCAATATGTCCTGTTTGTTAATTCACAGTAAAATGATGACATCAGAATATAACTATTCATAATTATAACGTTGAATTTAGGGTTGTAACGGTATGAATTTTTCGCGGTATGATAATCGTCTAAAACAATACCACGGTTTGACGGTTTCGCGGTATACGGTATGTTACAAATGTTACAAAATAATAGAACAGTGAAGCAAATTTGACTTTTTCCAAATAATATATTTTTAGTTACTATAAACAACACCACTTACAATGAACAAATAAAAAAATAAGAAAATAATAAATAATGTGTCAAAGTCCAAATAAAGTCCAAATAAACATGGTGCAAATCCTCAGTAAAAAATAGATATAAATATTTACTATACTATAAATAGTTACATAACGAAACTAGATTCAATATGGAACATCCTTAGGTTTTATGTGCCAGCATGGATATGGTTGTCTGTGGATATGGATTTGGATGTGGTTGTCTGCAATGCAGACTAACAAACCGCTGCATCTTCATTTGCGTCTTTTGAAAACAGCAAGAGCAGCAGTTCGTCTTTGCTGTGTCACTGTTTTGTCATGTTTCTGTGCTGCTGTGCATGCAAAAGTACTTAGTATGAGAATTATTTCATGCAAAACTTTTTTTTTTTGCGTTTTATTTAGCCGCGCATAAATGTATGCCTTTCTCTCATTCCGTGTTGTTCAAAAAGCTTGGTCCACAAACAAAAGCGAAACCTATGCTTATTGGTTGTGATATAGCGAGTTTGAACCAATCTGGGCATGGAGGAGGGACAATGCATCAATGTATCGTGTCTGGTTTGTCCGGAGACACAGTGACGAGCGTTTCTTTGTCAAATCAGCGTTGTCAAATGTTGATGACGTAACCGCACTGATTCCGGAGCCTCTGAAAGGCCGCGAATGTTATGTGATACAGCACTGGAAAGCTGAGATTCTCTTCTTTATGCCAATCTTTGAATGGGATCAGCGGATCAAAAGTTATTAAACATTTAAGAGCAATACTTATTTTTAGCCGCGGGCGGCTGTCTCGGTCTTTAAGGGTTAAAACCGTTGATATGCAATTGTTCATGGTATGATAATCGTGCACGTTCAAATCGTGGTAAACCGTCATACCGGTATATTGTTACAACCCTAGTTGAATTATTATGTTTAAGACATGTGCTTGTCATCTGTTATTGACAGCATTATTAGATCATTTGTTTCACTGGTAAAATTAGAATTTTGTCATTATCAGACTCCTTTTTGCATTTTATTCCACTTTATATATAGGCTAGGGTTGTTAAACTGACACACAGTAAACATTTATTTTCATGCACAACATTTTGTGTTCGCTATGAAAGAAAAAAACAAATCAAATGCTTGTTGTAATCATAACTCTAAAATGTGATATGATCATCTAAATGATGTGCGCACAGGTTTCACTTTCACTTTCGAATGCGGCTCATGGCTGCTGTCACTGTGAGAAAAACAAACACATGCAAATTAAACCTCCCGCACGGCCCTCAAACGATCGCTCTGTGCAACAAACTTGACGTTATTTAAAACTTCATTACCTGTTATCCACGGCCTATGCAGCTGTTCACTAAAGTAGGCGTCATAGACGGGCATGCGCGCGTTCTCAGCAATGTTGCCAGATTGTAAAACATGACATAGGTGGGTAGTGTAAAATTGGGTGGTTTTATAACGGCGTGCCCGCCAGCCCCGGTCTTCACTTATAAACCTGTTATGATCCCCCAAAGAGGTGAGAGCTCATTTTAATCTCGCGGCCCAGCAGGATCGCTGAGGCCCACCAATTGAGAATCCCTGATATAAACCGTAATTAATAATTAAAACATGTGATGATGATTAGCCAATCAGTCAACGCCGACTTTCGGCCACTTTATGGATCGTAGTTTGCCACGCTTTCCTATTTCTGACTGCTTCTTTCAGTTGTTCCATGTTCAAGTTCGTGTCAGTCTTGATTGTGTCCAGCTATCGTGTTCTCTGACGCCCTCTTCTTCTCTATCCACTGACTGCACCGAGCATTAAAGCTGTTTCCATGGAGTTGGCTCGCATGATTTGACCAAAGAACGAGAGCCGCTGCTTGGTGGTTTTGCCCTCTTGCGATACTTTTTGTTTGACACGCTCCAGGATCGTTTTGTTTGTGATCCTCGCCGTCCATGGTATGCGCAACATTCGCCTCCAGCACCACAATTCGAAAGCATTGATCTTTCTTCTGTCTTTCTTCTTGAGTATCCAGCTCTCACAAGCATACGTGAAGATTGGGAAAACGATGGCGTTGATTATTCTTATCTTTTTTACTATGCTGATGTCCTTGCTTTTCCATACCTTCGCCGTTCCTTGCATTGACAAGTTTGATTCTTCGTCTGATCTCTGGCTTTGACTCGCCATTGTGGTCGATCTTGGATTCAAGGATGATGAAGTCTTGGACTGATTCAATTTCCTCATTGTCAATTGTTATGTGGACTATACCATTGCTTGCTGTTGTCATTACTTTCATTTTCTTGATGTTGAGGTACAGACCCATATGTTTACTTTCTTCTTTCACTCTTCGGACCATGTAAAACATGCACACTGTTCTAAATTGACAGTCTTTAAAATATTTTTAAATATAACGATAGTTGGTACAGATTTCATATGTAGTATATCTTGAAGCTCATTCCAGACATTTGGAGCATACTTAGAGAATGCAGATCGACCCAACTGTGTAATAAAATGGCATCTTAAAGGGCCATGAAACCCCCTTGTTTCAGCAGGGTGTTTTCACACCTCTACTTTGGAAAAAGCCAGAAAAGTGGGCGTGTCCAGCTCTGTTTAGGGGAGAGTGTCGGAGGAGCAAAAGAGGGATGGTGTGGGAGTGTCTATTTGAGTTTCAAAACACACACACGCAGGGGAGAGAGTGACTTTGTTTACATGGACATCTGTAGTCGAATTATTTGCCAAATTATTAAATGGTGGACTTTAACTGCAGTTTGGCTCTTTCATTCAGGGAATTCATTCGTGCCCCTCGCGACAAACGAGATATTTGATTGGAGGAACTGCTTTAAGCGTGTATTTTTCATGCAATGTTAGATACCGCACGGCGAATGAGAGAAGAAAAAAAACTCTGCATTTCTATGTAACTTAGATGCACTCGGCATGTAAGCCGCATGTGTTAATCCGGTCACAAAATGTGGTGAAAATCTTACACGAGGTTAAAGTTTGGTTGTGGTGCTAACATGTTTACACTCGGTGCAATAGTTAGTTCGATTCGAACAAACTGAATATACAAAGAGCACTGGTCGCTCACTTACCAAATCTGTAGAGACAGGACAATCACCAGCAACTAGAGCCGCGTCTTTATTAAGAGGAGACGAGCAGCAAATCCAGATCTCACCATTTGCAGATGAGAACAGCTCTCAGGTAAACAATGTTCCTCCTTAGACACGTAAGTTATTGTTGTCGTGCATCGCGTACACTGTTAATCCACACGTCCAGCTGCGCTCTCACAGAGAGAAAATGAAAACAAAACTTCACTTTAGCAAATTATGAAAGCAACACTGCGCACTTGTTTTGCCAACACAATGTGGCCTCTCTCTGCCGTCTACACTAACATTAATGAAATTGCACAATAGCTGATTGGTTTGAACCAAGCCTTACTCGTGCATTAATGCAGCACACTTGGAGACGTAATACGGGACGCCCCGGTACAGACGTCTAGTCAACATGCTAGAATACACGCTAAGATCTCATAGTCGTGATGCAGCTTCAAAAATTCGTTTCAAACCGGAAGTACGAATTTGTCCGAAATAACGCAAGAACAACCAGTTTTCACTTTTTAGTGAGATATAGGTGTCCTAATAGTGTTTTTAGCAGTGTGGGACACATATACGACTGTCAACAGCTCAAAACATGTGTTTTGGTGTTTCGTGACCCTTTAAGTAAGAGTGTATCTGCTGATCTGGTATTGTAGGTTTTGTTTTATGTGGAGTTCTATGTCCAATGAGAGACACCATTTTGTTCTACTGCAGGGGTCACCAATCTCGGTCCTGGAGGGCCGGTGTCCCTACAGGGTTTAGTTCCAACTTGCCTCATCACACCTGCCTGGATGTTTTAAGTATACCTAAAAAGACCTGGATTAGCTTGTTCAGGTGTGTTTGTTTAAGGTTGGAGCTAAAATCTGCAGGACACCGGCCCTCCAAGAACAAGTTTGGTGACCACTGTTCTACTGTATGCCCACACATGTAGCAGAATGAGAATGAAGCTTGGCTTGACTTATTTTTCAGATGTGATGGTCAAGGAGGAGAGTGAAGATGAGGAGAAACATCACGTCAAAAGTGAAAATGAAACTCAATCAAAGACCGAACACAGTATTGTAGCAGTAAAAGCTTTGACCTGCACTCAATGTGGAAAGAGTTTCAGACGGAATTACGATCTCAAAGGTCACATGAGGACTCACACCGGAGAGAAACCGTTCACTTGTACTCAGTGTGGGAAGAGTTTCACACAATTACCATACCTTCATAAACACATGAGGATCCACCCTGGGGAGAGACCGCACAAATGTGATCAGTGCAGCAAGTTATTTTTCATTTTTTCAGAGCTGAAGGAGCACCTTAGAGTTCATACGAAGGAGAAACCTTCATGCTCTGTGTGTGGAAAGAGTTTTACACGACAGTCGAGTTTAAGAAGACATCAGAAGATCCACACCGGTGTGAAAGAGTTTGTGTGCTTGGAGTGTGGGAAGAGTTTTGTTACAGCTGCGCACTTGAGACTGCACCAGATGATCCACACTGGAGAGAGACAGTACGTGTGTTCACACTGCAACAAGAGATTCGGTCACTTAAGTGTACTGAAAGTACATGAGATGACTCACACCGGAGAGAAACCGTACACATGTAGTCAGTGTGGGAAGAGCTTCACACAGTTATCAAACCTTCATCAGCACATGATGATCCACACCGGAGAGAAGAAACACAAATGTGATCAGTGCGGCAAAACATTTCTGAGGCCTTACGAGTTGCAGAAACATCTCAGAGTTCACACAAAGGAGAGGCCTTACTCATGTCCTGAGTGTGGAAAGAGTTTTACACGGCTGGCATATTTAAATGCACATCAACATGTCCACACTGGCGTAAGAGAGCATGTATGCTTTGAGTGTGAGAAGACTTTTATTACAGCGAAAGACTTGAAACGACACCAGATGACTCACATGGCAGAGAGACCTCACGTGTGTTCACACTGCAACAAAGCATTTCGGGATTTAGGATGTCTAAAATCACACGTAAAGATCCACTCTGGAGTGAAACCACACAGATGCGATCAGTGCGGCAAGACATTCTTGAGGGCCACACATCTGAAGGACCATCTTAGAGTTCATACAAAGGAGAAGCCGTAGTCGTTCTTTAAAGGGCCATGAAACCCCCTTGTTTCAGCAGGGTGTTTTCACACCTCTACTTTGGAAAAAGTCAGAAAAGTGGGCGTGTCCAGCTCTGTTTAGGGGGGAGTGTTGGAGAAAAGCGGCTTGGTATGGGAGTGTCTATTTGGGCGCGCTGAATTTCAGAGTCAAAACACACAACCACAGCGGACAATGTGACTGTGTTTACATGGACATCTGTAGTCGAATTATTTGCCAAATTATTAAATGGCAAAAACAACCAATTTACACTTTTTAGTGAAATATAGGTGTCCTAATAGTGTTTTTAGCAGTGTGGGACACATATACGACTGTCAACAGCTCAAAAAATGTGTTTTGGTGTTTCGTGACCCTTTAAGAGTTTTACACATGAAGGAAATTCGCCTTCCTGAAAACACCAGATTTCACAGTTAAACGTGTGTATGCTTGCGTAATCCCTGCCTAGGGCTGCATGATTAATTGAAGTGAATTTGAGATGGGGATTCAGCAAAAGCTTTGATTCTCGTGCATATGCTAGTGCACAATATCTCACACACACAAACACACACTACACTTCATGTTAAATCCAGAAACGAAGCTTTTTTTGCACTGCAGCTGATGATCAACAATAAAAATTACTAATTTTACCTCTTCCCATCAGGGAGAACCACCAACGATCTAGAATACATGATTAAATGCTGTCATAGACTTTGCAATCAAAAAATGGGATTATAATGGAAGTCGATGCGGCAAAAACAGCCCCCAACATAACCAAAGGGGAGACAATTTGAGTGTATTGTTGAGTTTTTGAAAAATTCAAAGCACTTTTTTCCCAAAATATGCCAAAAAATAAGATTTATCACCAAAAATCATTCATTTTGCTGAAACACAGAGAAAGCTTTGGCCAAATTAGGCCTCAAAATCATCTCAGATTGGATGAAAACACCCCCAATCATCAAGCTTTTCTCAGAAGATCACAAGCTGACAAAACATTGCTGCGGTTCTGATACAAGTTTTTATTATGGAGAAACTTAAAAAGGACTGCAGTGTTTGGGCGTTCTGTGTCTGTCTGAGATAATTAATCTACCGAAATGTGTATATTTCAAGCTGAAGCACAAGTGGTTTCCGTAATACTGATTTATTTGACGGCTTTTCCCCCAAATCCACCGTGAAAAACTAAACAATAAATATTTAATTCAATTCAATTCAGCTTTATTTGTATAACGCTTTCACAATGTAGATTGCTTCAAAGCAGCTTCACATAAATGGTCATAGCAATTGAAACAGAGTAGTTCAGTTTTTAATGTTTAAGTTCAGTTCAGTTTGGTTTGAAATCATTACTGAGAGTCCAAAAACTGAAGAGCAAATCACCAATGGGTAGCTCTACCGATCCCAAACCATGCAAGCTAGAGGCGACAGCGGAGAGGGAAAAAAAACTTGAGGGGAAACCAGACTCTAATTTCTAATTAATTTCTCCGCTGGCCAAACGTCTTGTGCAGAGCTGCAGTCTCAGCGGCAAAACAAATGAACTTAATGTAAACCAAAACAAACGTAAACAAACAAACCTTAGAAACTTTAAACACAAAATACAAATATAAAGCACAATACCTCATTGGCTGCATGCTACATGAAGGTAATTGTCTTGAATACTCTTTCAATCTCTTGTTCAAGTTCTTTGCATTTAATACATCCATTGACGCTCGCATGCAAACAGTTCATGTTTGCCGATTGCTTGCTCACAAGTAAGAACCTTACAGGCAGTCAACTGTCGAGATTTTAAAATCAAAGCACCAAACCAAATAACAAAACTACATTTACAAATAATGAATGTAACCTATTTTCTCAACAACAAAAAGGAAACGTAAACAACTTATATACACAATATACAACATAACAGCAAACAGTTACAAGCTGATCGAGCAGTTCTTGTCACATGGTGCACTCACAGCATTCTTTGAACTTGGTGTGTCTGGAAGGCGTGAGCGTGTCACGCCCATACCTGCCAACACTTCTCGTTTTCTAGGTAGTCTCGTATTTCAGACCCATCTCCCACCACCCTCCCGTTTTGTTATTTCTCTCAAAAAACTCCAGTAATTTTGATTTTCGAGTCTGTAGTCTGTATTTTCCTGTCTGTAACACCCCCGGGTCCCCAACTTTGGTATAGTATCCAATAACAGCGGCCGCCCGAGACCCGGTCCATAATGCAGTTACTTACCCGGCTCTCAACTGTGTTATTCAAACAAACACACAGCCTCTGCCTTGTGTGGCCTGGTACCATTTGGCCCTGTGGTTGAGGACCGCTGCCGTATCACTGAGAATGAACGCAAACAGCTGTAAAATCTCAAAACGAGTCTTCGATTCCAGAATCACATTAAATAAATAATCGACGATCTTTTGCGTAGCTTGTCAGTGAACTTTGGGTCTGTGCAGTAAAGCTGCTCAATCTGAAAACTGCCTTTGATGAATCATCCAGCGCTAGCCCCGCCTTTTAATTTTATCTGAATAATCACATGTCCAGCAATGCAGTGGTATATTCACTGCTGGGACTCTACTGTTTCATAATCGCACAAAAAAACAACACCTCATGCTTCAAAGACATTCACCAAAGTGAAAAGACGTCAGCTTTAAAATGTCAGGCGCTCAACACGTCCAGTTGGTGGCGCTTTAGTTGCACAAAATTGTTCCAGCTGAAGGCTGATTTATACTTCTGCGTCAAACACCGGCGTATGCTACGGCGCTGACGCATAGCCCTTCGCCGTGGCCATCGCCGTCACTGACGTGCACCTCTCAAAAAATGTAACTACACGTCGCAACAACGCGTAGCGTAAGCTCTGTGATTGGTCGGCTTGGTAGCGCTGACGAGTCTGGGCGGGACCGAGAGCCGCGCGAATAGCGCGACGCCGCGCAAGCGAATGTTTACAAGTGTGGAGTCCCGTGAAGGAGCTCCGGATGGAAAGTTTTGTTTTGTGTTTACCTCATAGTTAAAGTTGTTGCACGTCCGCCGGTTCCTGCCTCAAAATGAGCGAGTTTGAGCCACTTGTACATCCAGGAAGTGTTCAGGAAAAGCAAAAAAGAAAAGAAACTCGACACAGAGGAACATTTACACCTCACTGCCAACTAGCGTTTCGAAAGTGTTAATGCAGACCGACAGAGACAGCGCGCAGAAGTATAAATGCACAGCTACGTGTGTTGCCTGCGCCGTGGGTTACGCCGGTCACTTGACGCAGAAGTATAAACCAGGCTTGAGACGATTTGTTTGCTTTAGTTTGGAATCCATGACAGTAGTGAACATAATAATAATGACAATTAGTGGATGTGCCATCAATCCGTCTCTTCTTGTCTTGTTTCTCTCTTTGAATTAGCAGGATTTGAAGGCGAGTAACATAAGACAGTCCAGTGATGTCATTTCGAACATGTTTAATACCAACTTAACTGAACTATATTACACGGTCAAAAACTGTCTTGCTTCCATCTTCATTACACAACTTCTCCCTTCCCGGAAGTGACATCAGCATATACTCTATATTAAATATTTAATTACTTTTAGTTAAATATTTTCAAGTTTCGCCTTTCACAATATTATTAATTTAACATAAACAAAACAATGAACTTATGGCTCTTATACTTAGTGAATATAAAATTGTACGAAACATTAACCTTAACCTCTCCTTTGTTGTTTAGCCATTGGTCTGTGTATTTGTCCTGCCCCGCCCCTATAGCAACTACTGTGAAAACTGTTCAATCAGAATCAGGATGAGCTTGATTTGCCAAGTGTGGATTTTTATTTATTTATTTAATTTTTTTGTGTTTTTTCAGGAGCTCATGTATGCATGTATATCAACACAAGAACTCAGAAGGACTATTAAATAGGTGGAAAATAAAGTAAATACCAATTGTTAAGTTATACATTTAGATGGTTTATGTGCAACATGTGCATTGTTGACTTTTTTACCTGTACAAATAAATGTACATATTTATACGAAAGTATTTACAGTTGTGTCTTTATTGGTTACACAGTTGTTCAGTTTTACAAAGGAATGTTTAATAATGGGATATTGAAAGACTACAGAATAAAACTAGATTAATTAAGTAAACTTAAAGCATTAGAGTTAATACAGTCATAACTCATTCGGTTTGGGTTCTGCTTAATATGATCAGTTTAATGGTGATAACTTATTGTGGTGATTTTCACTGTGACAGTGTGCATGTACATCTAGCTCCGTCCCTCCTCCATCATTTAAACGTCTTTTTCCTCCAATAGGTCTTCAATTATTTCTCCATTTATGTCTGTTTTTTGTAATATATCATTTGTATTGATTTTTATTGGTTTATTTATTACATATTATAGGCCATCTGGTTTTTGTAATACTTTTACACACACACACACACACATATATATATATATATATATATATATATATATATATATATATATATATATATATATATATATATATATATATATATATATATATATATAATATAATATAATATAACACACATATATAAATAAAATACAAATCTGCCGTTGTTCCCGCCTCGCCGTGATGACGTCAGCACTGACGCGTTCATTCAGCGTCGAGTCTTCAGAGCTGAGGTGAGTCGTTGACGCTTTTTTTCGTGTTTACACAACAATAAAACACACTTTACAGTTTATTAAAGCGACAATCTGCGACTAGTTTCTGCATTGAGTTCACCTCTATCTGTGTGTCTGCTGACCAAAACAATACAGCAGGCAGAGAGGAGCTCTGAGAGGAAAACATGAGCTCAGTGTTTGTGTTTTACTTAGTGAGTTTGTCACGGTTGTGTTTGTTATTTCGCGAGTATGATCTGTGAAGGGACATAATGGGAATCTTCTGCGGCAGGTATATAAACTTAGATGAAGAAAACATAAAAGTTATCGTTTGTAGAGCGGTTTGTTTTCAAAATGTTTTTTTTCTACCAGTTACTGTGCTACTGCTAGCGATCTAATTAGGTAATAAGGTATTTATATAAATGCAGTACACACACACACACACACACACACACACATATATATATATATATATATATATATATATATATATATATATATATATATATATGCTTTCTGTTCAAGTGCTTGAACAAGTTGCCGGTCGAGTTAAAAGCAGTGGAAAGCTCTTTAGTTTTGTTTTTTAAGCTCAATGAATTCAGAGTAATGTCTGTATTTCTACTCGAAGAAGCAAACACTCTCGTCAGCAGCTATGTCAGCTCACAATTTTGAGCAATTTAAAAGCAAATGCTCATTAACTGATGTTGTCGCAGAAGAAAATGTGATTTAAAAAATAGATATTTTTTTTCTCCTCTAAATATTATATTTGTAATGTAAGTAGCGTAATTACACTGACTTTAGTGACTTATCAAATTACTCAAGTTTAAACTGTAATTTATTACGTTTCTGTGTTTCCCAAAAATTTCAATAAAATTGAGTAACGTCTTACTGTGGAACGCATTACAATCAACTCTGTTACATATTGCGTCACCTATAAGATATAACATCATACTATGTTTTCTTTCCTCAGTCAGTGTAAATGAATCAGATTTCTCTGTTTGTTCTCCTGAAGCTCTGCCACCATCAGTGAAAGACAAAGACAGAGTTTATTGAAGGACAGTGAGAAGATGAGTGATCCAGAACCCTGCAGAATTAAACAGGAAGAGTCTGAAGAACTAATAGGTTTGTGTTTATTCATTACTCTTCAATAATGAGGCTGAAGAACAGTGGGGTTGTTCATATTTAACCGGTTAAACTCTGTGACATCATCGACTTTCGCTTTAAGATTTAAAGGGCCATGATTGCACCAGACCCCTGTAAGTGGTTTTGTTTGAAAGTGTAGAATCTATATTTTATGCTCATATGCATCACTTTGGTTTTTATTCTACTGTACAAAAGTTATTTACACTTAAATACACAGTATTTTGGATACCTGAGCTGGGTATTGAACATTGGTTAATTTTTATATTGTTCATATGACACATGTACAAGTTATAGCTCAAATGAAAGCTCTTGCCGGTGCTCATACGGTTCTAGCATTCCTTTACTTAATTATATTCACATATCAAACAGTTGCCGAATGAATCGCGGTGTTTCCATGGCGCAGAAGTGAAAACAATACATTTATGATCAATAAGCAGCCCCAGATAGCACAGACAGCTGTCATCTCTCACCTTATGCTGTGCGCTTCAGGGCCATTTCTCCTCTGTTTTTGAGGGGATGTGCATAAGTAATCCTTTTATATGTCTGACGTGCTCCAAACACAGTGAATTATGTTTGATCAAACAAAAGAATAGTGAAATATGAAAACACTGATAGGCCTCTGTGGCTTGTACAGCACCTCTCATCAGTTGGAATACAACAACTTTTGCATAGATTATGGTGGAGACGTTTTTCTTTTTATTATGATTACAGACATGTGCAGGAACCACCAACATTAATTACAGCAACCTATAACAATATGTTAACCAAAAAAAGTGCCTCTTTTTTAGGTGTTTATTATAACGCAGAAAACATATACAATTATTTTAAACACTTTCAATAGTGTTTTATGAAAATTCAAAGGTTTTTCCTTAAAATGATACCAAATTTTTGCATTCATACCTCTGCATGTGGTTTTGGGAAGCTTTTAAATTAGGGTAGGCAAAATCCCAAAATAGCAGAGTTTAACTGGTTAACAGACCACGGGATCAATCGCAGAATCGATGATGCAAGTATGGATAAAACCCGATATGAACCAGTTAAAGAAAAAAACCCTCTCATCTGTTGGATTATCTATCTCTATTCCATGCGTGTTCAATTCAAACTCGGGAGAAATTGTTCAATGCTTAAAAGTTTAGTAATTTATTGAATACAAATGAATAATTCAATGTTCAGAGCTCTGGGCATACACCAAGATAGTCTAACCGTTATACAATGCTAACCGGGACTAACGTCAGGTACTCTGCCCCGCCTGGGATCTAGAAACCCAGTTTTACACACAGAAGAAAGAGAAGGCGGGTTGTCTCTGTCAGCTTTTCGGCACCATCTCTAGTTCCTCTTTTCTGCACAGAAAAACAAGACCAGTTAAATGCACATGCTTAGAGACCTACATAGGCTCCAATACTTTTTCACAGGAAATCAAAGGCGAAAGACACGTTATTTTTATTGTTTCTGCTGCATATTTCTTGTCCAAGATAGCTCTTTCTGCGAAATGCCTCATTAGTATGCAAAACACATCTCCTCAATGGCCAGTTTTGGTTAGCATATAATTTCACAGAACATACAAAATATAGTATAGAATATAAGAAAATATATATAGTAAAGAATGACTGTAAGGTAAATGATTTAACATCTCTTTAGGCAAAGCATACACAGCATACTAATAGAGAATCAAGACTAACTCTGAGAAATAAAAAAGAAGAATTATATTTTCTACACATCCACCAATCTAAGAACTTCCATTATGTCGAGTTCAGACTGCATGATTTTTAAAGTAGTCGTGTTTACGCACTGCATGACTATCTGAACTATCGTTTCGTCGCTGCTTTGTTTACACTGCAAAATGGATCGGCGACAGGGACTTTCACATTTCATGACATTACAATAGGAAGAATCGCTGACAACTTTGTCCAAACTACGTCTCACACGCAAAACACGTCGTATATCTTTTGTTATTTACTACATAACGAGAAAGAAGCTTTTAATGAGGAAAAAATGTACTATTGCTCATCTGGGTTTCAAGGGAATTAGCAATTTCTCCTCAACTTTCTTTTTTAAGTTTCTGTATGAAACGTCAAACAGACACGGGTGCTCCTGTCAAACCTCCACTTGTTTTTTTCTCCATTTCTTGGGTCTAGGGTTGTAACGGTATGAACTTTTTTACGGTATGATAATCGTCTAAAACAATACCACGGTTTGACGGTTTCGCGGTATACGGTATTAAATAGTAATTCTCATAGCAAAGACCCTGAAAAGAATAAGAACACGTTTTCTGACTGAACAAAGGTTTTTCTATGGGGGAAAAAATGCATTTATTTACTGACAATGTATTTGCCCAAAAGGTCTGGGAATGAACTAAACAGAAAAAAAGTGTTACAAAATAATAGAACAGTGAAGCAAATTTGACTTTTTCCAAATGATATATTTTCATTTACTATAAACAACACCACTTACAATGAACAAATAAAAAATAAGAAAATAATAAGTAATGTGTCAAAGTCCAAATAAAGTCCAAATAAACATGGTGCAAATCCTCAGTAAAAAAATAGATATAAATATTTACTATACTATAAATAGTTACATAACGAAACTAGATTCAATATGGAACATCCTTAGGTTTTATGTGCCAGCATGGATATGGTTGTCTGTGGATATGGATTTGGATATGGATGTCTGCAATGCAGACAAACAGCTGCACCTTCATTTGCGTCTTTTGAAAACAGCAAGAGCAGCAGTTCGTCTTTGCTGTGTCACTGTTTTGTCATGTTTCTGTGCTGCTGTGCATGCAAAAGTACTTAGTATGAGAATTATTTCATGCAAAACTTTTTTTTGCGTTTTATTTAGCCGTGCATAAATGTATGCCTGTCTCTCATTCCGTGTTGTTCAAAAAGCTCATTGTTGGTCCACAAACAAAAGCGAAACCTATGCTTATTGGTTGTGATATAGCGAGTTTGAACCAATCTGGGCATGAAGGAGGGACAATGCATCAACGTATCATGTCTGGTTTGTCCGGAGACACAGTGACGAGCGTTTCTTTGTCAAATCAGCGTTGTCAAATTTTGATGATGTAACCGCACTGATTCCAGAGCCTCTGAAAGTCCGCGAATGTTATGTGATACAGCACTGGAAAGCTGAGATTCTCTTCTTTATGCCAATCTTTGAATTGTATGAATGGGATCAGCGGATCAAAAGTTATTAAACATTTAAGAGCAATACTTATTTTTAGCCGCGGGCGGCTGTCTTGGTCTTTAAGGGTTAAAACCGTTGATATGCAATTGTTCATGGTATGATAATCGTGCAAGTTCAAATCGTGGTAGACCGTCATACCGGTATATTGTTACAACCCTACTTGGGTCCAAATTAACCGAAGATAAGCGCTTTTAACTTCTCCCTCAACCTCCTGCTGACCAGCAGGTACACACACACACACACACACTAGTGAATGCTGCTCTCTCATTGGCTGTAGGCGATCGCTGATGTTATTTTTAATCAGAGCACATTTCACACGGCATGATTTAAATCGCCGACAGCTCCAGATATTCAGCACGCCAAATATCTCGCAGGCATCGGCGACTCATCTACGATTCTCTCAGATCCCGTCTTTGATAATTCATACTGTGTAATTGTTACTCACGAGCACCGATTTGCCTGTGATTTCAGGCATTTGCAGCTGATTTCTCAAAACCTGTTGGTGAGTCAAAATCGGGGCTAAAATCACGCAGTCTGAACTCAGCATTACTTTCATCGTCATTTATTTTCAAATGTACGCTTTAAAATATAGCTTACTTTATTTTCAGATGTGCTGGTGGAGAAGGAGAGTGAAGCTGAGGAGAAACATCAGGTCAAAAGTGAAACTGAAACTCGCACAAAGGACAAACACAACTCTATAATGAAAAGAAAAGATTTCACCTGCACTCAATGTGGAAGGAGTTTCAGCCAGAAACACGACCTCAACGTTCACATGTTGATCCACATTGGAGAGAAACCCTACATGTGTTCACACTGCGGCAAGAGATTCAATCGTTCAGGACATCTGAAAAGACATGAGATGATGCACACTGGAGAGAAACCGCACAAGTGTGATCAATGCGGCAAATTATTTCCATGGCCTTCAGATCTGAAGACCCATCTTAGAGTTCACACAAACGAGAGGCCGTATTCCTGCTCTGAGTGTGGAAAGAGTTTCACATATCTGTCACATTTAAAAGGCCATCAGAAGATCCACACTGGTGAGAAAGCGTTTGTGTGCTCTGAGTGTGGGAAGAGTTTTATTAAATCTGGAGACTTGAAACAACACCAGATTATTCACACCGGAGAGAAACCGTTCATATGTACTGTGTGTGGGATGAGCTTTAGGCAATCATCACATCTTCATCAACACAAGCTGATCCACACTGGAGACAAAACACACAAGTGTGATCAGTGCGGCAAAACATTTCTGAGGACTTCAGATCTGAAGAACCATCTTAGTGTTCACACACAGGAGAAACCTCATTCGTGTTCTGAGTGTGGAAAGAGTTTTAAACGTTTGCGAGAGTTAAATTTGCATCAGCAGATGCACACTGGTGTGAGGGAGTTTGTGTGCATCGAGTGTGAGAAGAGTTTTATTCGAGCTAGAGACTTGAGACGACACCAGAAGATCCACACTGGAGAGAAACCGAACAAGTGTTCACACTGCGACAAGAGATTCATTCAAAAAGCACATCTCAAAACACATGAGAGCACTCACACTGAAGAGAAACCCTACACATGTGCTCAATGCGGGAAGAGTTTCAGAGCTTCATTTCTCCTTAATTTACACATCCTGCGCCACGCTGAAAGGAAAAACCACAAATGTGATCAATGCGACAAAACATTTTTGAGGGCTTCAGAGCTGAGGAAACATTTTCTAGCTCATACACAGGAGAAGCCTCATTCATGTTCATGTTAAGAAACGGTAAACAGCACTAGCTACGTTTTCATCCACCTGTTTTTATGTGTGTTTGGGAGATGCGCATAACTGAGGAGAATAAACTTTCTATTCGATAAGAAAAGATGCAATAGAAACACTTTCAGATCAAATTCCAGTATTTGCTTTAAAAACTTTGTTATCAGAGATTATTTGTTGATTAAAATGTGTGCGAATGGACAAAGTAGCCGGCTGAGCACACTGTAAAACATCGGAAGTGTTGTTTTGGTCATTCAGAGTACCTGCGGAGTCTTAAAAGCATTTAAAGAATCTTATATTTAATAATCTCAAAAAGTAAGGCCTTAATAGCCTTGAATTTGGTACAAAAAGTCTTGGATTTTGTTACCACGTTCTTAATTTATTTATTTTTGCCTTTTACCATAACAAAATTAACTGTTACTAATGTAAGCTAATGAAAGATTGATGCACCTTACACTCCACTTCATAGCAGCAAGTGCGAAAGCCAGCGCACCTGTGACTATCATTACCAGGCAAGTTAGGTACAGAACAAGAGGGTCTCTAGCCTAGTTTGTTGGCTAATATGGGAAAGTGTTGGTTTAATCCGCTGTGGCCAAGGAATCCGAATTATGTTTAGGTCAAGCCTGTGCCAGGAAATGATCGCGAGGCCTACTGCTGTTGGTGCTGGAAATCTTTTAAGCTAGCGACAATGGGTGTTACGGCCCCGGACTCGCATATGAAAGGTACCAAACACACCGCGTGTAGTACTGCTCATCAGCGCCAACCATCTATTGTGCAGTTCTGTGCACCGGAGACCTCTTTGGTTACTGAAATCAGCTTTGGTATCAGTAATGAAGAAATGATTACATTATGAAGCACTGCCACCACAGCCAAGGAGCATCCTATCTTACTGTTGGTCGACAACAACTCTGCAGGCAGAGGTGATGTGGGTCCTTAAAAGAATCTCTGAGCACCACTCTTAAGCCTGGTTTATACTTCTGCGTCAAGTGATCGGTGTGACCCACAGCACATGCAACGCGCGTAGCTGTGCATTTATATTTCTACGTGCTGTTTCTGTTGGTCTGCACTTCCGAAATGCTAGTGGGCAGTGAGGTGTTAATGTTCCTCTGTGTCGAGTTTCTTCGCTGCTGTTTTGTTTTTTCTAAATGCTTCTTTAATGTACAATTGGCTCAAACTCGTGCATTTTGAGGCAGGAACAGGCGGACGTGCAACAACTTTAACCATGAGGTAAACACAAAACAAAACTTTTTATGTGGATCTCCTTCACAGGACTCTACAGTTGTAAGCAATTGCTCTATCAGGCTTGCGCGGCTCTCAGTCCCGCCCACACTCATCAACACTACCAAGCCGACCAATCACAGAGCTTGCGCTATGCGTCGTTGCGATATGTAGTTACATTTTTTGAGCGGTGCGCGTCAGCAACGCTGACGGCAACGGCGAGGGCTATGCGTCCACGCATAGGCCGCGCCGTAGCATACGCGTGCGCTTGACGCAGAAGTATAAATCAGCCTTTACACATGAAATGAGAACATTACAGAGGTTTTCAAAACCATGTTTCCTAATTTCGGAGTTTGCAGCTTCAATCTCGTTTGGATGCAACAAAACTGCATAAATTACTAAATTCGGATTGGCTACTTTTATAACTAAAGAACTTATTGACCAGGTTAATCAGACCAACGGGTTTGTGGTCATGTTTGACGAGAGTCTCAATCAGATGACAAAAAGTAAGCAGCTGGACCTTCATATTTGCTACTTTGTGGACAACCGTGCTGTTGCGCATGTATTAAATATAACAGATAATTGAAATAAAATGTTTTATTTAGTTCAAGTAGCCCATTTGTACATACTTATTTTCTAGAGTTCAAAACTTATACAGATTTGACATTTTCCCTCAGACCTCTGTCGGAATGGATATGAAGTTCACGTTGAATTTTATTTGAAATGATTTTAAAAAGTTCTTAAAATTCTTAGAATTTCGTTTGGAGGATCCCGGGGGTACCCTGTCCTTCTAAAACGCCTAAACCATTTCAGTATTCGTGTTGTTTAGGGATGGTTAAAATAATTGGTTAACCGTTAACTGAAAGGGTGCGTTTGTAACCAATTAATGGTATCAGTTAAACGATTAAAAAATATTATTTTATATATTTTTAGAGTTTGGCTGCATAAGGGGCCAATTGAATGCACTTTTTTGCGTTGAGAGGCGCATCTTTTGAATGGTTTACTAACTGCCGCAGGTGTTTTGCGCACGGCTCAAATCTCAAAAAAATACTCAAGGGTTTCTTGAACCTTTAATTCACAATTGACAGCAGTTTGATTCACGGGTGATCCAGTCAACCACAACCAGAAATTCTGTGCCCCCAGTATTGTGTACCATACAACCATCTAGAATACATGATTACATGCTGTCATGCATTTGCAGTTAAAACATTTAATTATAATGGAAGTCAATGGGGTAAAAACAGCCCCCAACATAACCAAAGGGTAGTAAAGTGTGTTGTTGAGTTTTTGAAAAAAAAAAATTAGAGTTTTTCCAAAATATGCCAAAAAATAAGATTCATCAGCAAAAATCATTCGTTTTGCTGAAACACAGAGAAAGTTGTGGCCAAATTAAGCCTCAAAATGAGTGAATGAAAACACCCCGACAGCACACAAGTGTTGAATGTGGTATATCACATGTGTTCAGCATTAATTCTTTCGGTTATATCTCCTGGAAAACCCATGTAATTTCACCCAGCCCCCTTTCCTCAGATTTTTGATACAGTCTGTAACACCCCCAGGTTGCCAACTTTGGTATAGTATCTAATCACAGAAGCAGCTCAATACCTGGTCCATAATACAGTTACTAAACCGGCTGTCAACTGTGTTATTCAGACAAACACACAGCGCCAACCATGAAAATAAGTAATGATTTCTTGTGTGGCCCGGCACCATTTGATAAACTGCTGTAGATCATTGAGAATGAACGCAAACAGCTGTTAAATCTCAGAACGAGTCTTTACGATTCCAGAATCACATTCAATAAATCATCCATAATCGATTGCGTAGCTTGTCAATGAACTATGAGTCTGCAGTGAAACTGTTATATCTGAAAACTGCTGCTGGAGGTTTACAGAGCCAATTATCGTGGCAAAATGCACATGAAGATCGCCTTTGATTACTCATGCAGCGCTAACCCCGCCTATTAATTACAGCTGAATAATTACATTCAATTCAATTCAGCTTTATTTGTATAGCGCTTTTACAATGTAGATTGTGTCAAAGCAGCTTCTCATAAATGGTCATAGTAACTGGAACAGTGTGGTTCAGGTTTTAGTGTTTAAGTTCAGTTCAGTTTAGCTCAGTTCAGTGTGATTTAATCATTATTGAGAGTTCAAACACTGAAGAGCAAATTCATTGATGCGTAGCTCTACCAATCCTGAACCATGCAAGGCAGTGGCGACAGCGGAGAGGGAAAAAAAACTTCACCTGATGGGAGTGAAGAAAAAAAAACCTTGAGAGAACCAGACTCAGTTGGGCACGACCATTTTAATTTCTCCGCTGGCCAAAAGTCTTGTGCAGAGCTTCATTCGCCGTGGTTTAGGCTGAACATCTGCAATATTCACTGCTGTGATTCCACTGTTTCATAATCGCAAATAAACGCTTTATGCCTTAAAGATATTCAATCAGTGTTTTAAGAAGTTTAACTTTAACAGTGTGCATGTACATCTAGCTTTGTAACTTTTCCAGAATCTTCCTATTTTTCCTCCAATACGTCTTCAATTATTTCTCCATTTATGTCAGTTTTGGGATCTCCATAGAGAATTATGCGTGTTAAATAACTTCCTTATTTTCCTCCATTCATACATTTTTTTAAATATGTTGTCTACTTTTTTCTACATTTCACATTTGACAAAATAATAAATCTCTACAGTGATATATTCTTGCTCATTTCCTACTGTCAGTTCTCTAAAAGCAATACTTTCTCTTATTAATGTCATTCATCTTCCCTCAATTACTGACAGAATCAATCATGTCCTCACAGATTATTATCTAGATTGGGTTTTAAACATGGTCTCCAGTATAATATATGATATAATAACATCAGGTTTATCATTTAATAAACTGTTTTATTAATTTGTTACTATATAATTCGCTATAGTTTTTTATCGATTCATTAAATAAGCAACGTTTTAAGTGCCTAATAACAGGATTTCACCTCACATGATTAAGGTGGGTTTTTTTATGATCCGCCGTTGTTCCCGCCTCGCCGTGATGACGTCAGCGCTGACGCGTTCATTCAGCGTCGAGTCTTTTGAGCTGAGGTGAGTCGTTGACGCTTTTTCTCGTGTTTACACAACAATAAAACACACTTTACAGTTTATTAAAGCGACAATCTGCGACTAGTTTCTGCATTGAGTTCACCTCTATCTGTGTGTCTGCTGACCAAAACAATACAGCAGGCAGAGAGGAGCTCTGAGAGGACAATATGAGCTCAGTAACTTATTTGTGTTGGTGTGTTCGAGTTTTTCCACGTTTCTGTTTGTTATACCGCGAAATATGATCTGTCAAGGGAATTATGTGAATCTAATATGTATTTTGATGCAGATAAACAGTTTGTGGTGCTCTTTGCCTTATTTATAAAATAGTAATTAGTTTGTCCTGCAAGCACTCAGTATAAAATGAGCTGATCTGCTGTTGGTGATCCTGAATGGCTGATTAATGAGTGTTTATATTCTGAGGCTCGTCAGTATTATCAGAGCTGCTGAAATCCTCTTTATTTCATGTCAATAGTTTCTTTTATTACCTCATTCATTATACTGATGTCTTCTGATATTGAAATTGCCACATTCAGTTAATGTTATTGATGTTGACTTGAGCAAATTACATATTCTTATATTGTATCTCCTACAACATTCAACATTGTAATATGTTTTATTTCCTAAATGAATCAGATTTCTCTGTTTATTCTCCTGAAGCTCTGCCGCCATCAGTGAAAGACAAAGACAGAGTTTATTGAAGGACAGTGAGAAGATGAGTGATCCAGAACCCTGCAGAATTAAACAGGAAGAGACTGAAGAACTAATAGGTTTGTGTTCATTCATTACTCTTCTATGATAAGGCTGAACGACAGTGAGATTGTTAATATTTAAACACTTCTTCAGTTTTATGACTTTTTTTTCATATAGAAACTGACGTATAGATCATTAGAATTAATCTTAGCCTGGTTGTTAGCCTGCTAGCTGCAAAGAATGAATCTCTATAGTAACTTGATTTAGCCAAAGAATATAAAATAACCAACACATGTCACTCGTATCTCTTTGAATGGGGAAAAAGTGTAATTGTCAATATGGTGAATAAAGCCCCACCCAATAGTACAGGACCTGATTTTTGATCAATTTATGGTGAACAAAGCCCTACTAATAAAGAAGCCAATCATTGATCGCTATAGGCCACAGGTGTCAAACTGTTCCAAAAGGGCTGCAGCTCTGCACAGTTTAGTTCCAACCCTAATTAAACACACCTGATCAAACTAATTGAGTCCTTCAGGCTTGTTTGAAACCTACAGGTAAGAGTGTTGGAGCATGGTTGGAGCTAAACTGTGCAACCGGCCCTCCAGGAATTGAGTTTGACACCCCTGCTATAGACTGACGATACTCTGGGGGAGGGGCTCAGATCAGACGTGAGTTTCTGCAGATTTTGTGTGAATTGGGTGTTTAGAAATGAAACTAAAGAGACGGTTGTTGTTTAATTTTATTGGTGATTCCTAATATGTAATTCAGTAGTAAGCTTGGCAAGCAGTTTTGGAGAATTTGACGTTTCCCTATTCAGACGGTGAAATTACTTGCCTTATAGGGACTTTGATTTAGCTTAAAGAGCCCCTATTTGGGGTTTTTGAAAATGACCTTGCATGAAGCGTGCATTAACAGCTCTAAGTGAAGTGAAATATCCAGCTAAGGCTTAAATCTGAAAATGAACAGTGTTTGGAAGACTAGCCCAGAGCGGTGTGTGCTATAAAATATATACAGGGCTCAACAATAAGGACTGCCCGAAGGCCCAGGGCCAGTGTTAGAGACGCTTGGAACAGTAGACTAGATCATTACTGGCCCGATTGGGGCCACCTTTTGTTAAATAATTTTGAACAGAAATTAAATACTTTCACATTTTTCGTACTGCTGTTTTTGTTTTGTTAACCCATAATTTTGCTCATTATACATATATTATACATTTTAAAAATATTATTTAAATAATTTTTAACATTTAAATAATTATACACATTATTTTTGACACATTATTTAATATATGGGACCAGTGAAAATTTTGGCAGGGCAAGTAAAAAAACTAAACCATTGGACCGATCGGACCAATAAAAAAAAAATCCTTATCGTTGAACCCTGATATATATTTTAGCACTCCATCTGCTGTTTAGAATGACCTTTTAAAATATGACTTGTTTATTTTTAGAAGTGATGGTGAAGGAGGAGAGTGAAGAACCGAGTGAAGATGAGGAGAAACATCATGTCAAGAGTGAAGAAGAAACTCACGCAGAGGACGAACACAATTTTCTAAAGAAAAGGAAAGGTTTCACCTGCACTCAGTGTGGAAAGAGTTTTAACCAGAAATACGACCTCAACGTTCACATGAGAATCCACACTGGAGAGAAACCTTACAAGTGTTCCCACTGCGACAAGAGATTCCATTGTTCAGCCCACCTGAAGAGGCATGAGAAGACCCACACTGGAGAGAAACCACACAAGTGTGATCAGTGCGACAAACTCTTTTCAAGGTCTTCAACTTTGAAGAGACATCTTAGAGTTCATACAAAGGAGAAGCCTTATTCGTGCGCTGAGTGTGGAAAGAGTTTTTCTCAGCGGTCAATTTTGAATGAGCATCAGAAGTTCCACACTGGTGTGAGAGAGCATGTGTGCATCGACTGTGGGAAGAGTTTTATTAAAACTGGAGACTTGAAACGACACCAGATAGTCCACACTGAAGAGAGACCCTTCACATGTACTGTGTGTGGGATGAGTTTTAAACAATCGGTAACTCTTAATAAACACATGCTGATCCACATTGTAGAGAAGCCTTACAAGTGTTCACACTGCGACAAGAGATTCAGCCAGTTAAGACACATGAAAGCACATGAGATGATCCACACTAGAGAGAAAACACACGACTGTGATCAGTGCGGTAAAACATTTTTGAAGGCTTCAGATCTGAAGGAGCATCTTCGAGTTCATACAATCGTGAAGCCTCATTCCTGTTCTGAGTGTGGAAAGAATTTTAGTCGTCTGTCAAATTTAAAAGACCATCAGATAAGGATTCACACGGGAAAGAAGATATACACACAGAGTCCTTGTGGAAAGAGTTGTAAGCAACCATCAAACCTTAATCAACACATGATGATACACCTTGTAGAGAAGCCTTACAAGTGTTCACACTGCGACAAGAGATTCAGCCAGTTAAGACTCATGACAACACATGAGATGATCCACACTGGAGAGAGAACACACAAGTGTGATCAGTGCGGCAAAACATTTTTGAGGGCTTCAGAGCTGAAGGAGCATCTTAGAGTTTACACAAACGAGAGGCCTTATCCGTGCTCTGAGTGTGGGAAGAGTTTTAAACGTTTACGAGAGTTAAATGCACATGAGCAGATCCACACTGGTCTGAAGGAGTTTGTGTGCCTTGAGTGCGAGAAGAGTTTCATTACAGCTAGCGGCTTGAAACGACACCAGAGGATCCACACTGGAGAGAAACCCTTCAAGTGTTCACACTGCGACAAGACATTCAGTCAATCAGGAAATCTGAGAGTACATGAGAGTGTTCACACTGGAGAGAAACCGTACACGTGTACTCAATGTGGGATGAGTTTCAGAGCTTCGTCTTCCCTTAACGTACACATGCTGCGCCACACTGGAGAGAAACCGCATAAATGTGACCAATGCGACAAAACATTTTTCAGGGCTATAGAGCTGAGGAAACATTTTCTAGCTCATACACAGGAGGAGAATGGGGTTCGTATGTTGCTAGTTGACCATCAACCGGATTCTCAGAGGATGACAAGCTGACAAAACATTGCTGCAGCTCTGATACAAGATTTATTTTTGGAGAAAACCTAAAAGAACTGCAGTGTTTGGGTGTTCTGTGTCAGTCTAGAGGTAATTAGTCTTACCGAAATGTGTATATACCTTATAAAGCAGGGGTCACCAATCTCACTCCTGGAGGTCTGGTGCCCTGCAGGTTTTAGCTCCAACTTGCCTCAACACACCTGCCTAGGTGTTTCAAGTATACCTAGTAAGACTTTGATTAGCTCGTTCAGGTGTGTTTGATTAGGATTGGAGCTAAAACCTGCAGGACACCGGACATGCAGGATCAAGTTTGGTCACCCCTGTTATTAGTGGTGGGCAAAGCGAGGCTTCGTGAAACACTGAAACAGTCGAAGCAAATGTGTCGAAGCTTCGAAACGTTTCGAAACCTCACTCTACAGTGACATGTAGTGGTCATTTTTTATGTATTGCACTGAAACAGCTTCAGCAAAGAACGATTGAACAAATTGAGGCATTAAACCTAACTTTGTACATAAAATCCTCAAGTAACATAGTACAGTGGATAAGGTATTAGACTTCCATGCAGGGTTAGTCGGTTTCGAAGCCAGTCTGTCGCAGTTGTTTTAAAATGCCTTAATACCAGTTGGTAATGCTTTGCTCTTGTATCGTTTTGTTTCAACATTAGTCTGATATCCGAATAAACAATTTGTGAATAAATATGTCTTGTTTTTGTCTTAAAACAGGGTTGTTGCTAGATCAAAAACGGTGGCCTGAAGTTATCAAGAATTATTTATATTATTCATTCAATTTCCCATTTATTGTATTTTATTAATGTCTACCCTAACCCTAAACCCAACCATACTGTAAAAATATTTATTATTGTTTTACAGTGTTACAAAAATGATGCTAAATTGATGGCATAACTGTAGCTGTATCCTATTTAGGCTATACAAAACAGAAACATGATTAAAATACATAAAACCATGATTTCAGAGTATTTGTACAAGTTGGGATTCGAACCCAAAACATCATACAAAGCATAGAATCATTAAGCAACCACACAGACCTCTAAGCCATATGAAACAGAGATTGATCGGAGACCTTGTCACTCAAATGACGATTCGCCAGGTCTCGAAACGTTTCTAAGCTTATCGATGCTTTGAATCGCTTTAGTCACATGACTAGGTGTTTCGAAACACTTTAGTCACGTGACTTGAGTGCTTCGGATCATGCTTCGGTGCAGTGTTTCGAAACACTTGCGCTTCGGGATCTCGACACTGTGTCGAAACATCAGTTTCACGTCAGCCATCCCTACCTGTTATAAAGTATAAAGCTGATCAGTCAGTTATTGTCATGTGACTCTCAGTGCACTTGTGGCATTCATTCAACTTGGTGTGCCTGGAAGGCGCAAGTGCGTCACGCCCATTATACTTATTTCAGACCCATATCCCACAATCCTCTCGTTTTTGTTATTTCTTCCAGAAAATGTATTCATCCATTAATTCATTTTCTGCCTCTTTTCTGGGGCTGGGTAGTGGGGGCAGCAGTCTTAGGAGAGAACCCCAGACTTCCCTCTCCCCAGACACGTCCTCCTGCTCCTCCGAGGGGATCCCAAGGCATTCCCAGACCAGCCGAGAGACATAGTCCTTCCAGCGTGTCCTGGGTCTTCCCCGAGGCCTCCATCCGGTGGGACATGCCTGGAACACCTCCCTAGGTAGGCGTCCAGGAGGCATCCGAAACAGATGCCCGAGCCACCTCAGCTGACTTCTCTCAATGTGGAGGAGCAGCATCTTTAATCCCTGCCACCCCTGAAGGAAACTCATTTCAGCCTCTTGTATCCGAGATCTTGTCCTTTCGGTCATGACCATGGGTGAGAGTAGGAACGTAGATTGATCAGCAAATTGAGAGCTTTGCCTTTTGGCTCATCTTCACCACAACGGACCGGCACATCGACCGCATTACTGCTGCTGCTGCACCAATCCGCCGGTCAATCTCACATTCCATCCTTCCCTCACTCCTGAACAAAACCCAGAGATATTTAAACTACTCCACCTGGGGTAAGGACTTTCCTCCAACCTGGAGAACTTCCAGAAAACTCCCGTAACTTCACTCTGCTATTTTCCTCAGCTTTTTGGTACAGCCTGTAACACCCCCGAGTTTCCAACTTTGGCATAATAATAATAATAATAATTCCTTACATTTATATAGCGCTTTTCTGGGCACTCAAAGCGCTTTACACACAATGGGGGATCTCCTCATCCACCACCAGTGTGCAGCACCCACCTGGATGACGCGACGGCAGCCATTTTGTGCCAGACCGCACACCACACACCAGCTGATTGGTGGAGAGGAGACAGCGATGAAGCCAATTGGAATATGGGGATGGTTAGGAGACCATGATAGACAAAGGCCAGTGGGCAGATTTGGCCAGGATGCCGGGGTTAAACCCCTACTCTTTTCGAAGGACATCCTGGGATTTTTAACGACCACAGAGAGTCGGGACCTCGGTTTAACGTCTCATCCGAAAGACGGCATAGTATCCAATCACAGCGGTCCATAATATAGTTATTAACCTGGCTCTCAATTGTGTTGTTCAGACAAACACACAGCGCCATCCTTGTGTGGTCTGGTTCCATTTGGACTGGTGATTGAGGACCACTGACGTAGATCACTGATGAATGCAAGCAACTGTTAAATCTCGGAACGAGTCTTTCCGATTCCAGGATCACAATGAATAAATCATCCACGATCGTTTGCAAAGCTTGTCAACGAACTATGAGTCCATGTAGTAAAGCTGTAGTAAAGATATATCAGGGACGTGCGGTCAGGGGAGGCAGGTGAGGTAGTGCCTCACCTGTCATCATCCTCACTTGCCATCATGAGATGTATACTAATGATAAAATAAATATTTGTCCTCTGATCTGTGCTATAGATGCAATTTCTATAAATGCAATAGCTCTGCCGCACTGAAGAGGGCGCGCGTGAGCTCACATTATCCTAGTTCAGCGGTTGCTCTTCTTCAACACAGTATAGTTCAACAGAAGGTCGTTATTTTTTGTTTTGCCCTGACTGTCTGCTATAATCATGGATATCGGCTCAAAAATGTATCAAAATTAGACTTTTAATCAAAACGTGAATAAATAATGGCCGACCAATGTAGGAGTTTGCTTCGAAGAACGGGACTGAAGATAGCGAGATCATTTCAAAGTCATTTAAAGTCATGTCTAGAAGTCCTTACCAGCCACAAACCTCACCGCTAGTCATAGATAGATAGATAGATAGATAGATAGATAGATAGATAGATAGATAGATAGATAGATAGATAGATGTTTTTTTTGTGCAAAATATGCGTTGTTGACCTTTTAAACTATACCAATAAGCAATTAAAATATTTATATAAAGGTATTTACAGTTAAGTGTCTATATTGGTTACACAGATGGCCTGATGTTCTGTTTTGCTCATGAATGTTTAATAATGGGATACAGAAAGTACAGACTAAAACTAGATTAAATGAACTTAAAGCATTAGAGTTAATTCATCCATAACTCATTTAGGTTGAGTTCTGCTTAATATGATCAGTTTAAGAGTTACCATAACTCATCATTAAGTCATATTTTTTATTTTATTTTAAGTTTAACTAACTTAATTAAGTGGTTTTCACTGCTACTGTTCATTTAAACATTTTTCCTCCTCGAATAGTTTTTTTAAAATAATTTCTCCATTTATGTATGTTTTTGTATTTCTCCAAAGAATTATGTGCATTAAAATCTCTATAAATACTTTATTTTCCTCCTTTCATAAATTTTTTTTGAAAAATGTTGTTCTACTTGCGTCTAATTTCACATTTAACTAAATAATGAATCTCTACAGTGATATATTCTTGCTCATTTCCTACACCCAGTTCTCTAAAAGCAATACTTTCTCTAATAAATGTTATTCGACCTCCACCAATTACATCTGACACAATCTGTCTGAAATCTAGATTTGTTTTCAAACATGTCTCCAGTATAATATTTAATATAATAACATCATATAAAATATATATATAATTTGTTTGTTCATTTATATATAAATATATATATATATATATATATATATATATATATATATATATATATATATGAAAAGTGCAAAAACCTCTAAAAGCCGTTTAAAATTTATTTTAAAGAATGAGCATTTTTCCTCTGCGTAGGTTCAGAAATTTTAAGTTTATGGCAAAAAATACACCTTTAAAAGTCTTTAAAATGAAATAACTTAACATAAACAAAGGAGTCTGAGATAAATGATCGTTTTTTGATGGAAATTTCAGACAGCACTTTTTTGCAATATATATATGTATGTATGTATAAATATATATATATATATATATATATATATATATATTTATATATATATATATATATATATATATATATATATATGTGTGTGTGTGTGTGTGTATGTATATATATATATACATATATATATAAATATATATATATTAGCAACATTTTTAGCGCCTAATAGACAGTATTTCACCATCCACATATTTAGTAAGGTGTTGATTTTGTGTACATTAGCAATTATTTTTGTAATCTGGTTTTTATGATCCGCCGTTGTTCCCGCCTCTCAGCGATGACGTCGCCACTGACGCGTTCATCCAGCGTCGAGTCTTCAGAGCTGAGGTGAGTCGTTGACGCTTTTTCTCGTGTTTACACAACAATAAAACACACTTTACAGTTTATTAAAGCGACAATCTGCGACTAGTTTCTGCATTGAGTTCACCTCTATCTGTGTGTCTGCTGACCAAAACAAAACAGCAGGCAGAGAGCAGCTCTGAGAGGACAATATGAGCTCAGAAACTTATTTATGTTGGTGTGTTTGAGTTTTTCCACATTTCTGTTTGTTATACCGAGTAATATGGTATGTGAAGGGAAATATGGGAATTCTCTGCAGCATAAACATTTAATTTAATGCAGAAAATGAACATAAAATTAAAAGTTTGCGGTGCTGTTTTTCTTATTTATAAAATAGTGATTAGTCCATCCTTCAAACACTCAGTATAAAATGAGCTGATCTGCTGCTGGTGATCCTGAATGGCTGATTACTAAGTGTTTATATTTTCTTTTATTACCTCATTCATTATACTGATGTCTTCTGATCCACAAATTGCCACATTAAGTTAATGTTACTGGTGTCAGCTCACTTGAGCAAATTATTTAATCATAAATTGTGTTTCTTATAAGATTCAACATTACAATATGTTTTATTTCCTCACTCAGTGTAAATGAATCAGATTTCTCTGTTTGTTCTCCTGAAGCTCTGCCGTCATCAGTGAAAGACAAAGACAGAGTTTATTGAAGGACAGTGAGAAGATGAGTGATCCAGAACCCTGCAGAATTAAACAGGAAGACACTGAAGAACTAATAGGTTTGTGTTTATTCATTACTCTTCAATAATGAGGCTGATGAACAGTGAGGTTAATCTTTAATATTTCATTATTTTAGATGCCCTTTGGTTCCCATGAACGAGACAGAGAGTTTCTGACGGGTGCTTGATTCTTTATTATGCTCAAGACGAGAGCCATTAAACTTTCGTTGCGAAGCACCGTGAAACTACACAAAGAAACAACAAAAATCAATAAAAACAACTCGTATACAGAATAATATGACAAATAAAGATATAATGTACAGAGCGACATATGAAAGTGCAACAATGAAGTATATGAAGACAGTTTGAAACAACTAATAAGAAGGCAGAGCTCACGATTAACATATACATACAAATGAACTCATGTGGCTTAAATATTAACTTCACATACCTCGCTCCGCTTTCCCAAAGGGTTCTATTAAAAATTTTTTTGCAGGATTAAGCCTCCTTTTTTCTATAAATCGCACTGCAACGTGTCTTCTCTTCGCTCCTGCTATCCTGATTAACCTATTAGTCACCTAGGCTACCGAAACACGTGACATGCTCTGATGCTCTAAAAATATTTAAAGGCATATAATGATTTAGTGGTCACTAGGGTTGTAACGGTATGAATTTTTTACGGTATGATAATCGTCTAAAACAATACCACGGTTTGACGGTTTCGCGGTATACGGTATGTTACAAATGTTACAAAATAATAGAACATTGAAGCAAATTTGACTTTTTCCAAATAATATATTTTCAGTTACTATAAACAACACCCCTTACAATGAACAAATAAAAAAATAAGAAAATAATAAATAATGTGTCAAAGTCCAAATAAAGTCCAAATAAACATGGTGCAAATCCTCAGTAAAAAATAGATATAAATATTTACTATACTATAAATAGTTACATAACGAAACTAGATACAATATGGAACATCCTTAGGTTTTATGTGCCAGCAGGGATATGGTTGTCTGTGGATATGGATTTGGATATGGTTGTCTGCAATGCAGACAAACAGCTGCACCTTCATTTGCGTCTTTTGAAAACAGCAAGAGCAGCAGTTCGTCTTTGCTGTGTCACTGTTTTGTCATGTTTCTGTGCTGCTGTGCATGCAAAAGTACTTAGTATGAGAATTATTTCATGCAAAACTTTTTTTTGCGTATTTAGCCGCGCATAAATGTATGCCTATCTCTCATTCCGTGTTGTTCAAAAAGCTCAGTGTTGGTCCACAAACAAAAGTGAAACCTATGCTTATTGGTTGTGATATAGCGAGTTTGAACCAATCTGGGCATGGAGGAGGGACAATGCATCAATGTATCATGTCTGGTTTGTCCGGAGACACAGTGACGAGCGTTTCTTTGTCAAATCAGCGTTGTCAAATTTTGATGACGTAACCGCACTGATTCCAGAGCCTCCGGGGCCGCGAATGTTATGTGATACAGCACTGGAAAGCTGAGATTCTCTTCTTTATGCCAATCTTTGAATTGTATGAATGGGATCAGCGGATCAAAAGTTATTAAACATTTAAGAGCAATACTTATTTTTAGCCGCGGGCGGCTGTCTCGGTCTTTAAGGGTTAAAACCGTTGATATGCAATTGTTCATGGTATGATAATTGTGCACGTTCAAATCGTGGTAGACCGTCATACTGGTATATTGTTACAACCCTAGTGGTCACTTACAATTATTCCTCAATGCCATGTTTCTCTCAGTATTGATAAAAGCTAAAAAAAAAAATGTTTCAAAATGTGAAATGAATATGATATGAAGTTTAGGAGTTTGGAGTTTGTTTTCTCGTTAAAGTTGCAATAGGGTATATGCCAAAGTATGCTAATAGGACTTTTAATTTGCCAGTAACCTGGGTTAATCGTTCATGGCGAACTGTATGCCATTGCAAAATCGGCGCGTTTAAGGTCTGTTTTCTTTAAAAATCAGCGATCTCCACTGGCTGAGTGATATCCGATATAAAGTGGGTCTCAGATTGTACAAGAAGCACTGCATGACATTACATTTCCCCCGCCATATCTTTATAATATGAGCATTTAGTTTACCCCAGTATATTCAATGGGGCTTCTGCACTAACCTGCCGATTCTGACAGGCGCGTGCGAGCAAATGGCTTTTTGTCTCGTTTTACGCTTGAGCAACTAAATGGATGCCAAAGTCTGTTTACTGATTGTATTTGAATTACATTACAACATCGATACTTTAAAAGGAACCATATAAAATGGCAAAAAAAATCACGATATCAGGTCACCGGAAGTGTATCAGCATGGGAAACGCATTAGCTCGGCATATACCCCATTATGATCGTGGTGGCCTTGATTATGTCAATGGGCCACTTCTAGCTCTGCGACTGGATACAATGCTTCGCTATTTCGGTCTTGATAAGTAGAAAAAATATAGTTCAGCACTCCATCTGCTGTGAAAAATGCGCCTTTAAAGTATTCATTACTTTCATTTTTTAGATGTGGTGGTGAAGGAGGAGAGTGAAGAACTGAGTGAAGATGAGGAGAAACATCATGTCAAGAGGGAAGAAGAAACTCACGCAGAGGACGAACACAAAAAGAACGATTTCACCTGCACTCAGTGTGGAAAGAGTTTCAGCAGTAAATGTGATCTCAAGTCTCACATAATGATCCACACCGGAGAGAACCCTTACAAGTGTTCACACTGCGACAAGAGATTCAAACATTCAGGACACTTGAAATCGCATGAGAAGACCCACACTGGACGGAAACGGCACAAATGTGATCAATGCAGCAAATTATTTTCAAGGCCTTCAATTTTGAAGATCCATCTTAGAGTTCATACAAAGGAGAAGCCTTATTCATGCTCTGAGTGTGGAAAGAGTTTTATGGATCAGTCATATTTAAAAACACATCAGAAGATCCACACTAGTGTAAAAGAGCATGTGTGCTTTGAGTGCAGGAAGAGTTTTATTAAAGCTGGAGACTTGAAACGACACCAGATAGTCCACACTAAAGAGAAACCCTTCACATGTACTTTGTGTGGGATGAATTTTAAGCGATCATCAAACCTTAATCAACACATGATGATCCACACTGGAGTCAGAACACACAAATGTGATCAGTGCGGTAAGACATTTTTGAGAGGTTCTGAGCTAAAGGACCATCTTAGAGTTCATACACAGGAGAAGCCTTATTCATGTCCTTTGTGTGGAAACAGTTTTAGGCGTTTACGAAATTTAAATGAACATCTGAAGATCCACACTGGAGTGAGGGAGTTTGTGTGCTTACAGTGTGAGAAGACTTTCATTAGAGCTACTGACCTGAAACAGCACCAGCGGATTCACACTGGAGAGAAACCGTACACATGTACTGAGTGTGGGAAGAGTTTCAGAGTTTCATCATTCCTTACAACACACATGGTCATCCACACTGGAGAAAGACCACATAAATGTGATCAATGCGGTAAGGCATTTTTGAGGCCGTACGAGCTGAGGAAACATTTTCTGGCTCATGCAAGACGGAGCCTTATTCATGTTCCCTGTTAACATCAATGATATTTACCTTCCTGGAAACTCTCCACTGTATTCACGAACATCAGATTTCACAGCTAAATGTATGTTAATGAGTTTTATTACATTAATACACAATTGACAAATCGCAGCAGTTTGATTGACAGGCGATCCAGTCTACTATGACCAGAAATTCAGTGCCCTCGTCACTGCCCACCATGTTTATGACAGACGTGGTAATAGAGATGCATTGACATTTAACATAAGCATGGTGAAGATGTGCTCTTATGGAAATGTTAATTGTGACATGACAGAACAACCAACAAGTTACCTGAGGCCTCGAAGTTGACCGGTGAGATGAGCTTACTTAAACTGTATAGCCTGGAGACCCAGATTAACAATCGATAAGTCTTTAATTTCTTAGGCCGTACTCACACTAGGTACAGTTGCCTCGAACCGGCCCAAAGCACGATTGTCCCCCTTCCGTCTCCCCCAACGGCCCGCACTCACACCACAAACGGGCTTCGGCACGCTTACGTCATTGCTGCTGCGCTGTTCATTGAGAAGCGCTCTCTCACTCAGCAGCACAGTGGAGATTTCTCTAGTTATATCGTGTTAGCTGTTTGTTATGCAGTCAAATATTTCGCCAAACAGTCCTTAGGGATGCGGTGACACGCAGTCAGATATTTCGCTAAACAGATCCGCCACTTTTGGCACTCAAAAACAATCATAAAGCTCTCGTGCTGCAGGAATGAGGAGGTGCAGCTGTTGTGCAGTGAGGAGTTCTCGTCTTTAATAAACTACGGCAGTTTGCGTTCACTGAACAGCCAGAATGATTAATAAATCCATATGAAACAGTCCCTTAAAGTCACGTCTCGCTTTCGGTTTCGGGCTTTGGCGCGTTTTGCGCTCACACACAAGCGTACCGCGCCAAAGCCCAAGTGAACTGCGCTCAGGCACACCTCTTCCAACCGGGCCAGGGCCGGCCAAGTGAACCGTGCTTGAGCCTGATTCAGCGCACTCACACTTCTCAAACGATCCGGGAAATGGGCCTGGGCACGGAACGGATGGCATAGTGTGAGTAGGCCCTTAGATGCAGCAGTCTCAGCAGGGAACCCCAAACCTTTCTCTCTCTACAAACACTTCTCCAGCTCTCCTGAAAAGATTTCAATGTGTTCACAGGCAAGCAGAGGGAGATAGTCCCTCCAGCATTATCCTGGATTTTCCTTGTGTCGTCTCCCTGGTGGGACAAGTTCAGAACCGCTCCCTAGGTAGGCATCCAGTAATCATTCAAAACAGATGCCCAGTCCTCTTGAGCTAGCTCTTCTTGATGTAAAAGAGCAATGGCTCTACTCTGAGCTCCTCCAAATGACAGAACCCCTCACACTTTCCTTAAGAGTTCTCCTGCTACCCTGCAAAAGACGCTCATTTCAGCCACTTTTCCTTTCAGTCATGCCCATAAGGCATTGGTCACCAAACTTGTTCCTGAAGGTCCGGTGTGTCCTGGAGATTTTCGCTCCAACCATAATCAAACCCACCTGAACAAGCTAATCAAGGTCTTACTAGGTATACTTGAAACATCCAGGCAGGTGTGTTGAGGAAAGTTGGAGCTGAACTCTGCAGGGACTCCAGGATTTGTGACCCCTGCCATAAGGCCTTCGGTCTTGTTTCTAAGGTCTTGTTCTTTAGGATGATGGGAGTTTGCCATGTGCTTCGTGAACATGAAGAAGGCCAGTTTGACCATGTCCCTTGTTGCATTTTGTAAAAATCTGCTGAGAAAGTATGGGGTACGAGACGCTTCTCTCATTCCCCAGGTATTCCCACTCTCACAACATTGACCTTGGGGTCATGACCAAAAGGACTTCAGAATTGTTATCAGGATCTTGTTCTTTTGGTTATGACCATCATGGGTTTTTATAGTGTTTTTTTATGTTGTTGCTGGTGTCGATGTGACGTAATTTAGTTCAGCATTACCTCTACCGTGATGTTTTGAACGACAAAATAAAGGAAACCTGTTGAGAAGTTTTGTTCCTAAACAGCAAACTCAGTGTCACACCTCTGCTCCGATGGTACACTCCAATCTCCTCATTCAATCTCTGGCCAATCAGGACTGCCTCAAGGGCTTTATTAACTGCACCTGTGCCCACAGTTTGCTAATCTCTGGCAGCACATGGCTGAACTGTGCAGAGGACTGAATTTGATCTCCTTTGTTTTCCTGTGTGTGCGCGTATTTGACCATGTAAGTGGCTTTTGCATGATTTAAGTTGACTTAAGTGCTCATGTTTCATGTTTGCCATATTTCTGTTTAGTTATGTACTTTGTTTTTTGGTAAACTGAAGCATTTGTATTTCTGTTATTTCCTTACTGATTACTGACACATTGTATATCTGTTATTTCCTTGCAGAAAATCACACACACACACACACACACAAACACACACATACATACCTTTCATCCTAAGTACAAATGTAAAAGCCAGAAACTACAGAACGATAACCAGAAACCAGCAACAATCTAGAATACATGATTATATGCTGTCATGGACTTTATAATTAAAAAAATGTCATTATAATGAAAGTCAATGGGGCAAAAACTGCCCCCAACATAATGAAAGGGTGGTAAATTAGAGTGTGTTGTTGAATTTTTGAAACATTTCAAAGCTTTTTTCCCAAAATATTTGTCAAAATAAGATTCATCATTAAAAATCATTCCATTTGCTGAAACAGAGAAAGTTGTGCCCAAATTAAGACTCAAAATCAGCCCAGAGTGGATGAAAACACCCCAACAGCGCACAGGGGTTTAGAGCTGTTAATGAGAATCAACACAAACAGCTTTTAAATCTCAGAAGAGTCTGTTCTATTCCAGAATCACATTGAATAAATGTAATATAATTTGTTGTAGTTTTTATTTGTTTATTATAAGCTATCTGATTTTTATAAAAAAGTTTTCATATATATTCACAGATGATGCGTGATTTGTAAACTGTCATTGTGTTGTAATCTTATTTGTAATTTAAAAACAATCAAATCCGCCGCTGTTCCCGCCTCTCCGTGATGACGTCAGCGCTGACGCGTTCATTCAGCGTCGAGTCTTCAGAGCTGAGGTGAGTCGTTGACGCTTTTTCTCGTGTTTGCACAACAATAAAACACACTTTACAGTTTATTAAAGCGACAATCTGCGACTAGTTTCTGCATTGAGTTCACCTCTATCTGTGTGTCTGCCGACCAAAACAATACAGCAGGCAGAGAGCAGCTCTGAGAGGACAATATGAGCTGAGTAACTTGTTTGTTGTTGTGTTTGAATTCAGTTGTACAGCGAAATATGATCTGTGTAGGGAAATACTGCAGCGTACATCTTTAGTTTGATGCAGAGAAATAGCTTGAGGTGCTCTTTGTCTTATTTATAAAATGGTAATTAGTTCATCCTGCAAACACTCTGTATAAAATGAGCTGATCCGCTGCTGCTGATTTATGAGTGTTTATAGTCTGAGGTTCATCAATATTATCAGAGCTGCTGAAATCCTCTTTATTTTTAGTCAATAGCTTCTTTTATTCCCTTATTCATTATACTGATGCCTTCTGATTAACAGATTATCACATTGAGTTAATGTTATTGGTGTCAGCTAACTTGAACAAATTATATAATCATATTGTTTCTCCTATAAGATTCAACATTATAATGTTTTATTTCATCAATCAGTGTAAACAAATTAGATTTCTTGTTGTTTCTTCTCCTAAAGCGCCATCAGTGAAAGACAAAGACAGAGTTTATTGAAGGACAGTGAGAAGATGAGTGATCCAGAACCCTGCAGAATTAAACAGGAAGAGACTGAAGAACTAATAGGTTTGTGTTTATTCATTACTCTTCAATAATGAGCCTGATGAACAGTGAGGTTAATCTTTAATATTTCATTATTTCAAAATGCCAACTTTTTAATTTCATGGGAATTCACACTTACAAAATCTAAATTTAAACCTGGACATTTTAAAACAAATACACTTCAACTCATTGCCTCCCTGGAATTTAAAGACGCCTATAATCAATATGGAGCTAGGACATCAGAAGAAAGCAGTTACTCATCCCAATATGTACAAACAACAATACCTGGATATCAGAACTCAATATTCTCAGCACATACCAATCTTCACAGATGGTTCAAAGATGGAAAGTAATGTAGCAGCAGCAATGGTAACAGGGGAACAAAGTCATGGAATCAGTCTGCCTAAAGAATGCTCCATATTCACAGCTGAAGCCCGCGCTTTACTTTTAGCATTGGAGTATATAGAAAATGCCCAACAAAAGAAATCCATCATTTTTACAGACTCTAAATCATGCCTCCAAGTTATGGAATCTCCAACGAATGATCATCCTTTGATTGACAATATTTTAACTAAAGTTCACCAACTACAAAATCAGTTTTATCACATCATTTTTTGCTGGGTTCCTGGACATGTCGGACTTTTAGGAAATGAGCGAGCTGATGCAGCTGCTAAAGATGCTTTGAAGCAAGTAGTGAACAAATGCCAAATTCCTCCGTCAGAGATGAAACCTTTTATCAACGCTTGCATTTTAAACAAGTGGCAAAAGGAATGGGATGCATTAGAAAACAATAAACTACATGAAATCCAACCTGAAGTTTCACACAGAATTTTAAGACATTTTAAGAATCGATTTGATCAAGTCGTTTTTACCAGATGTCGTATTGGGCATACGAGAATTACACATGGTTTTTTGATCCAAGGTGAAAACCCTACTCAGTGTTTGTGCTGCAAAACTCATCTTACTGTAAAACATATTTTACTGGACTGTCCTGCTTTTACTGATTCCAGAAGGACTTTTTATGAAATGAACTCTTTTAAGGACATTTTTGACAAAGTGAAACAAGAAAAGATTTTAGAATTTTTATCATGTATTAACACAAAAAATCTTATTTAATTTATGTTTTATTTTGTTTGTTAATTTTTAAATTGTATATTTATTGTTGAAAGATTCCTGCCATGAAGATAGCCTTGGTTGCTGACATGGCACTAAATAAAAAATACATTACATTACATTTTAATTTCATGGGGAGCTACTTGTCTCAGTATTGATGGAAGCTAGAAAAGTGCATTTCTAAATATAAATATACAGATATTTAAAATTTAAAGAGTTTTTTTTTTCTGTTTAAAAATGCAATTACGAGCGGGGTGGCCTTGATTATGTTGATGTAGACTGTTTCCACCCCTAGCTCTGCCCTTGCGACTGGAAACAATGCTTCCCTATTACAGTCTCCATAACTAGTAAAATATAGTTCAGCACTCCATCTGCTGTGAAAAAAAAATGTGCCTTTAAAGTATTCTTTACTTTCGTTTTCAGATGTGATGGTGAAGGAGGAGAGTGAAGAACTGAGTGAAGATGAGGAGAAACATCATGTCAAGAGGGAAGAAGAAACTCACACAGAGGACGAACACAATTTTATAACAAAAAGGAAAGATTTCACTTGTACACAGTGTGGAAAGAGTTTCAGCCGCAAATGTGATCTCAAGTCTCACATGTTGATCCACACCGGAGAGAACCCTTACAAGTGTTCACACTGCGACAAGAGTTTCTATTGTTCAGCCCACCTGAAATCGCATGAGAAGACCCACACTGGACGGAAACGGCACAAATGTGATCAATGCAGCAAATTATTTTCAAGGCCTTCAGAGTTAAAGATCCATCTTAAAATTCATACAAAGGAGAAGCCTTATTCATGCTCTGAGTGTGGAAAGAGTTTTATAGATCAGTCACATGTAAAAAAACATCAGAAGATCCACACTGGTGTGAGAGAGCATGTGTGCTTTAAGTGTGGGAAGAGTTTTATTAAAACTGGAGACTTGAAACGACACCAGATAGTCCACACTAAAGAGAAACCGTTCACATGTACTTTGTGTGGGATGAGTTTTAAACGATCCTCAAACCTTGAAAGGCACTTGCTGCGCCACACTGGAGACAAAACACACAAGTGTGATCAGTGCGGTAAAACCTTTTTTAGAGCTTCTCATCTGACGGACCATCTTGAAGTTCATACACAGGAAAAGCCTTATTCATGTCCTGTGTGTGGAATGAGTTTTAGGCGTTTACGAAATTCAAATGAACATCTGAAGATCCACACTGGTGTGAGGGAGTTTGTGTGCTTACAGTGTGAGAAGAGTTTCATTAGAGCTACTGACCTGAAACAACACCAGCGGATTCACACTGGAGAGAAACCGTACACATGTACTGAGTGTGGGAAGAGTTTTAGAGTTTCATCATCTCTTACTTCACACATGCTGCGCCACACTGGAGAAAGACCACATAAATGTGATCAATGCGGTAAGGCATTTTTGAGGCCGTACGAGCTGAGGAAACATTTTCTGGCTCATGCAAGGCGGAGCCTTATTCATGTTCCCTGTTAACATCAATGATATTTACCTTCCTGGAAACTCTCCACTGTATTCACGAACATCAGATTTCACAGCTAAAAAGTATTTTAGGTTGCTTTCACACCTACACTTTTGTTTCGGAACGCGTCTCGATTGCCCAGTTAGCGCGGTTCGTTTGGCATATGTGAACAGGGTAATCGCGCTCTGTTTCGCTCCAAAGTAATCGCTCCGAGATCGCTTGAATGAGGTGGTCTCGGCTGGATTGAAACGAACTCTGGAGCGGTTCGATTGCAGTGAGAAAGCGATACGATCCGAGCGCGGTTATATCACAGTGTTTTATGGATATGTAATAGGCTTACGGCTATATGAAGAGAGAATTATGAGTAGGGCGGGAAGTTTCGCGAGTCTCCGGAATGCCTGCAAACGAGTGATGATCTCCCGGTAATCTCGCGTCTCCCTCCCGGTCCTCAAATAGGCATCGTCGCGCACCCTTCTCACCCCTCCCCACCGCATCTCTCCTCAGACACATTGTGCGCACCCTGTCAATCACCACCAAACCACCACCTCTCCTGACAGCTGAGCGGGACGCTGCAAAATAAACCCTGACACTCTGACCAATGTAAGGAGAGTTTACTCGCACGTGACTTGTTTTAGCTATTTTGGTCCGTTTAGAAACTTTGCAGTGTGAAAGCGAACCGCTCCAAGAGCAAAGAGCAACAATGTAACAATTGTAATCTCTGTTTCAGAACTACTGAATCGATTCACAAGTGTGAAAGCACCCTTAATGAGTTTTATTACATTAATACAGCAATTAATTGTGACATGACAGAAAAACTAACAAGTTACCTGACACCACAAAGAGCTAACTTAAACTATAGCCTGGAGACCCAGATAAACAATCAGTCTTTAATTTCGAAGATGCAGAAGATTTCAATGTGTTCACAGGCAAGCAGAGGGACTCTGATCATGGATTTTTTCCCTGGGGCCTCTTCCCAGTGGGACATGTCCAGAACAGCTCCCTAGGTAGGCGTCCAGTAGTTATTCAAAACAGATGCCCAAACCACCTAGCTCTTCTTGATGTAAAAGAGCAACGGCTTCTGTGTCCCGTGACCGTGTCACTTGTTGCATTCTGTGGAAATCTGCTGAGGAAGTATGGGGTACGCCACACTTATCTCGTTCCCCAGGTATTCCTACTCACGAAACATTGACCTTGAGGTCATGACCAAAAGGACTTCAGTATTGTTATCGAAATCTTGTCCTTTTGATCTTGAACATCATGGGGATTAAATTGTTTTTTTTTTTTATGTTGTTGCTGGTGTCGATGTGACATTTAGTTCAGCATTACATCTACTGTGATGTTTTGAATGACAAAATAAAGGAAAACTGAAACTGAACTTGGTGGTTTACCCTATTGGGAAGAGGTGAAATGTGTCATTTTACTGTTGGTCAGCAATTGGCAGGATCAGCCCTTTAGATAGGCCTGTTAAAACATTTCTGGCTTCAATATGGGGTTCTGTGGAGTGCAGAAATTATGTTTACTATGTTTTCCAAGCTGAGCTGCTTATTTGTATTTTCTCTTACATATCAAGATAAGTGTGCAAAGGTCTCTGTTACAGTCTCACACACTATACTCCATGTAAAAGCCAGAAACTACAGAGCGATCACCAGAAACCAGCAACAATCTAGAATACATTATTATATGCTGTCATGGACTTTGCAATTAAAAAATGTCATTATAATGGAAGTCAATAGGGCAATAAACAGCCCCCAACATAATGAAAGGGTGGTTAATTAGTGTTTTTTTTTTTTAAGATTTCAAAGCATTTTCCCAAAATATTTGTCAAAATAAGACTTGTCATTAAAAATCATTCCATTTGCTGAAACACAGAGAAAGTTGTGCCTCAAATTAAGCCTCAAAATCAGCCCAGACTGGATGAAAACACCTCAGCAGAAGCAAGGGTTTAGAGCTGTTGATGAGAATCAACGCAAACAGCTGTTAAATTTCAGAAGTCTGTTCGATTCCAGAATCACATTTAATAAATTAATATAATTTGGTATAGTTTTTGTTTGTTTTATATTAGTTTATATATATATATATATATATATTCAAAGGTGATGCGTAATTTGTAAAATGTCAATATGCTGTCATCATATTTACAATAAAAAATACAAATACACCGTTGTACCCGCCTCCGTGATGACGTCAGCGCTGACGCGTTCATTCAGCGTCGAGTCTTCAGAGCTGAGTTGAGTCGTTGACGCTTTTTCTCGTGTTTACACAACAATAAAACACACTTTACAGTTTATTAAAGCGACAATCTGCGACTAGTTTCTGCATTGAGTTCACTTCTATCTGTGTGTCTGCCGACCAAAACAGTACAGCAGGCAGAGAGGAGCTCTGAGAGGAAGATATGATCTGAGCAACTTGTTTGTGTTGGTGTGTTTGAGTTTTTCCACGTTTCTGTTTGTTGTACCGCGAAATAGGATCTGTGAGGGGAAATATGGGAATCTACTGCAGCTAACATGTTTAATTTGATGCAGAAAATAGTGGTGCCCTTTGTTTTGTTTTGTTTTTGAAATAGTAATTGGTTCATCCTGCAGTATAAATGAGCTGATCTTTATTCATGAGCTGGTTCATTAATATTATCAGAGCTGCTGAAATCCTCTTTATTTCATGTCAATAGTTTCTTTTATTACCTCATTCATTACACTGACGTCTTCTGATGTACAAATTGCCACATTCAGTTAATGTTATTGATGTTGACTTGAGTAAATCACATAATCATATATTGTATCTCCCACAAGATTCAACATTGTAATATGTTTATTTCCTCAATCAGTGTAAATGAATCAGATTTCTCTGTTTATTCTCCTGAAGCTCTGCCGCCATCAGTGAAAGACAAAGACAGAGTTTATTGAAGGACAGTGAGAAGATGAGTGATCCAGAACCCTGCAGAATTAAACAGGAAGACACTGAAGAACTAATAGGTTTGTGTTTATTCATTACTCTTCTATAATGAGGCTTGATTTAAACCTGATTTAAAATCCTCAAACCGGGATTGAGTCTTCTTTTATAAATGTACTGACATACAACTGTGGTGATAAAGAAGATAAAATCGTTGTAATTAATTAAAACATGCTCTGTTTTAAGCTTGTAAAACTCATTCTTAAACACATTTGATGATGATTTATGATCACAGAGAGCTTAATGGATCTTTTAATCCTGGTTGCTTTGCGCATGTTCTGTCTTGTTGATATGATTATATGCGGCTGTCAATCAATTTGGTGGGCGGGGAAACTTAACTCCTACGTCACGTTGCGGTGGGCCTCAAAATGGGAGGGATTTGGATCCTATTTTAACGTCAGGAAATTTAAAGATACACTTATTGTGTTTGGCGACACAGTGGGTAGCACGTTCGCCTCACAGCAAGAAGGTCGCTGGTTCGATCCTCGGCTCAGTTGCCGTTTCTGTGTAAAGTTTCCATGTTCTCCCTGCGTTCGCGTGGGTTTCCTCCGGGTACTCCGGTTTCCCCCACAGTCCAAAAGACATGCTGTACAGGTGAATTGGGTAGGCTAAATTGTCCGTACTGTGTGTGTGTGGATGTTTCACAGAGATGGGTTGCGGCTGGAAGGGCATCCGCTGCTTAAAAAAACTTGCTGGATAAGTTGGCGGTTCATTCCACTGTGGTGACCCCAGATTAATAAAGGGACTAAGCCGACAAGAAAATGAATGAACTTATTATTTTTATATTACTCCAATTCAAATGTGGACTAGGGCTGCACAATTAATCGAAAAAAGATTGCAGCCTCAATTCGACCCTACTCACAATCTTAATCAGCTTTTCTATGATTCAGCCAATTATATTTTCATGGTCAGGAGAGAAGCATAAAGGTGGACAGACAAGTCTTCACATCAGTGAAGATTAGAGAAGAAGACTAGATGTGAAGTGGTGGTTATATCTGTGGGCACTGCGAATAATAACTCGTGTAATAAAAAATACATTATGATTAATTAATTGCAGGTGGATGTAGCGGGACAGAGTGGGCTTTGCAGAATGGGAAGATAAGACGCCCATAATAATGGATGAAATGCAAGAGTACTGTTCAAGCTTTCAGTTAGAGGAGTCATCAGTGGAAAATACTACATTCATTCATTCATTTTCTTTTCGGCTTAGTCCCTTTATTAATCCGGGGTCGCCACAGCAGAATGAACCGCCTACTGGTCCAGCACGTTTTTACACAGCGGATGCCCGTCCAGTAGTTTTTTTCCAGTGTTTTTTTTTTCTCAGTGACGGCAGCCATGAACCGTACAAGGCAGTGAAAGTGAAACTGAAAGCATTCACATTATTAACATGATCACATCACATTTTAGAGTTATGACTATGGCTAGAATTGAATGTTTTTTTCCTGTCATAGCAAACAGTAAATGTTTAGTGGGTCAGTATAACCACTCTAGCCTATATAATGTTGAATAAGCTGGAGTCTGATAAAAAAAAGCTGTGAAAAAATGGTCTAATAATGTTGTCAGTGACAGATGGCAAGCATATGTCTCAAACATAGTAAACTTCAGAATTATGATTAGTTGTATGCTGATGTGATCACTTTACTGTGCATTAACTTATTTAAAGTCTGTTTAAGTCCACCATTCCAAGTCTATACAAAATTTAGCAATTTAACCAACAGTAGACCAACACATGGGGCTAATAATATTAGTGTTGCTTTATCATATGTTTGAGAAATAACAATAATAATAATAGCCTACGCATATTAACCTTTATTTTACATCTACAGAATTGTGAGAAAATCGTGATCTTTATTCTCAGCAAAAAAAACAACAACAACATATAGATCGCTTGGATCATGGGTGGAATTAGTGATCCCTAAGCAATTCCAGGCCCTAGCATTGAAACTCAAATTACTCTCCATCTCTAAATACATATTTTTTCTCTGTACATTGGTAAATAGACTGCATGTAAAAATATATTTTAAGCGGAGCTTTTATCTTCCTAATGCATAATTATATATGATAAATTCACAAATAAAATAAATGCAAGTTTGCAAACTATGTACAGTTAATCAGTCATATTTGTTATTATGTTGGCTTGAGAAAGCCAACATACTGTTATACAACTCTGTCCTTGAAAACAAACTTATCTTCTCCTAGGCCGTTCATGCCACAAGGCCCAAATGTGGTCAAAATGTGCCTTCTGCATTCAAGATTGTTGCTATATCTCCTCATGCCTGCAAGACTTATAATTTTTTTAATAAAAAATGTTAAATGTTAAATTTTTATAATCCGGGCATATAAAAAAATTATACAAGCCCCAA